AAGGCACTGGATGTTCGGGTGGAGAGGGACAATACGGAGTATGCATTGGATGGATGGTGTGGGAGGAGCTGTCTACTAACCTGACAGAGAAGAATGACCAGGAGCTGGCAACGGTTGTGAATGTGGGAGGCGGGCCGGGGTGTCCTATCTTGGGAATGGTGCCAGAAGCAGGCGGCAAAAAATTACAAGTGGAAAAAGTGAGCTCTGGTGTGCTGGTGACACAGTTCGGTTCTGTAGTCTCTCGCTCTCCCTAGCTGCAAATCGCACTTGTCCTCTTTTGCATGAGGAGGTGGGTGTGGGTGATGCGAGTTGGTGTGCGCGTGCGAATGCGTCCGCAGTCTGGGTTCCTTTCCCTTTCTATTCGGTTCTCCCTTCTCCCTCAGCTGCTGGGTAAAGTGTTGGTGGCTGATTTTTCTATGAGGGGAGAGGGGGGAAAAGAGGAGTAGTCGGATGGAGAAGTGCGTGCGATGGGTGGGTGCAGCCGCAGTGTGTGTGTGTGTGTGTGTGTGTGTGTGTGTTGAAGTCCGAGGAGGGGACCAGCAGGTTGGCTGGCTGGCGTGTTGCTGCAGAACTGGAGGAGGAGCCGGGGGGATGATGATGATGATTAAGACAAGAGAGTCTCACGAGGACTGCCAGTCATGCGTGTGTCGCCCAGCTGAAGAGATCTGCGAGGCTTCGAGAAACTCGAGTTCCAGCAAGTAATTCTGGGGAAGTGGGAGGAAGGCGGGTTTTGGAGCAGATCTGAACGGTGGGAGTGTGGGGGTCCTTAAATCGAATGGGGGGGCCCAGAAAAGCAAAGCCCTTGAATCCATCCTGATCCCATCCCGTCTCCGTCAGCACTCATGCACCTCCCACCCTTCCTACCGGCTTCCTCGCCGCCCGGTAGTGCTCCTGGCTGCATTTCTTGCGCTTGCTCTGGACATGCCTCTGGGTTGCTAGGGTCAAACACCGGTCTGTCTGCCAGCCAACGTGCGTGCCAACCTGCAGACCCCAGACCTGCTGCAAGCATCTGGATGGGACAGCCAACCCCAGAGTGGGATGTTGTTTGCAAATCGTTTCCTTTCCTCTTGAAAAGAGCTTTTAGTCCACCGGGGGACCTACAAGATAGTAATGCGACCCAGCCTCTGATAAACAGTTCCTCGGTGTCATGAGATCATCTCACCACGACCACTTCATGTACTGTGTTCGAGTGTTGATTAGTCGTATCTGTCGTATGTCGTCACGTTTCCGCGGCTCGACAACCACAGTATGCAACCAAAACGCGAGTGGCATCCCCCTCAAGGCCACTTTCTCGAGATCGTCCCGACAGCTTCGATGAGGCTCCGAAGCTTTGGGCCGCCATTCAAGCCTCACAATCTCAAGGTGGCTCGATCCATGACACTCTCGAGTCGCCACGGACATTCATGGCGTCCCCCAGAAATGCCTCGTGCCACCCCCCCAAGAAGTACCAACAGACAACGGTGGCTTGCTGACGAGACGCCCTATCACATCTCGCCTACGGCCATTCCGGTACTTCCATGCCTTCTCTAATCCCTGCCCATGCACCTCGGTGTTGTGGTGGTGTTGAAAAGAAAAGAAAAGAAAAAAAGAACAATAGGATTACGACACGGGATTTGCATCAATGGATGGTGCCAGCCGCACCCTCACCCATCCATACACACAGCCAGCAAACTTCTCGACGGCTGGTCCCTGTCTTGCATCGAACTGGCTCGCTCGCATTTCCGTGACTGGCGGCCTTCAGTCCCGGGTGCGGGGGTCAACTCCCGCTAATTTAGGCCTCTTCCAGTGTCGCCCCAGCACTCTGCTCAGAGTACTTGTATGAGGTGACCCCCGCGGACCCCCTTTTTTCCCTCTGGCTGATGTGACTAGAGATCTGCTAGGGTAGGTACCCGTGGAGCCCGTGGAGTGATCTGCCAACTCTACAAGATGGGGAGGAAGACACATCTGCACGTGCAGTGCTGGAAGTCAACTACTGACCCTAAACCAAGGCAGGATCATGAAGAGGGCGCCGTCGGGAAAGATGTCTCGCCAGAGGCAACGTTTATTGGGCCACACTGTTCTCGTGCTTTGTTTGCGTCCCGAAAGGGGGGGGACGCCACAGGCGAGAGAGAGCTCAGGATAGTAAGGTACCTCTGGATCTGCCCTACTGGATGCGATTGCGCCCTTTGCGCGGGCCTTTCTGGTGTGTGAGCAGGGGATCCCGGGTCGCGCTGAAGAATAGCGTGCTGTTGGCGCAGGGTGGAGCCCGGGGTTGGTCGCAGCTGATTGGGTTCACGTTTGTTTGGCATCAGTCTTCCCACACTAGCCGGAGACTCCTCCGTGCGTCGGGAGCCTGAAAGGTCTGTCTTGCGTTCACCAGGTCGGTGGGCGCACGTTGTGACGAGATTGAGAGGCTGCGTGTGCCAAGGCGCAGCTGTCCGAGGCGCTCTGAGGCTCGACATCAACCGAGATGAAGATGGCCCTCTCGGTGTCTTCTATCTTTCTTGCATCTATTTCAAGGAGGCACCAGACGAGCCGATCTATTATTGAAACTGTCCTCGGCCAAGAGCCCACAAGGCTGGAGAGCTGAGTTGCAGCACGATGGTCTCTCGACCGAGTCCAGGTCACTAGTGAAGGCAAAGGACTGCACCGTCTCTTGCTAATATTGTCGGTCGATCATCCAACCAGTCGCGCTAGAGCAGCTGAAGGCCGCCGTGCCGTTCCCTAGGTTGTCGATCTGCTCAAAGGAAGAGTGGTCTCCTGAATGGTAGGTATTCCTCAAACATGCTTCCAGTTGCCTGGTTTCCGCAAGAGGTCGATGGAGTTCCATTAGGGGATCTTGATTATTCTGCGGTACACAGGGGTCCCTGATGAGGCAAACGACCAGGTCTTGCGGCGAACAGAGCATATCTTCGCGTACATGTCCAGCCTGCATAATTGCGACGGAAATAGGCGCCTTGGCATTTCCGACTATTGTTACGCTGACAGCCTTGCTGCCGAGTCCATCTCGGCCGCTTCTCCACGAAAGAGGCTCTCCCTGGTGCGTGTAGTTGCAGCCATCGGCAGACACTCGCATGACTCCCATCCACTCACCCCTCCAAGCTGACAGCGGAGAACCCGATGAAAGAAAGCACTCATACCGGGGCCGTCGACAGAGTCTGGTTCGTACGATGTCGTCATCTCCGGGAGTCTCGGCGGCCGTGAGATCGCGCTCGCGAGGTGGTGGGAGAGAGAGAGAGCCTGCATCAAGTCAGAACGGCGAGGTTTTTCCAGTCCACCTGACCAGAACGATGCGCGGTGATTTGTACAAAAGATCTGTATGTCAAGGCCGTGAATGCCACATCCCCCATACCGACCTGCAGGAAGGGGGAGAAGCAAGCAACATGTCTCGTGTGTGTGACTCTGGCGCACTAGCTGCAGCCGCTAGCCATGCAAGTCGATGGAAGTGTTCAGCAGCTGCAGGGTCGGGACCCAGGCGCGACAGCCAAGCCAGCGTTGAAGCTCACCTCACAGTGGTTCGGTGGGGGGTGGGGGTTTGCGTCGGTGGTGCCCTCCAAGTGCCCGCAGGTACAGAGGTTCATCTTCATATTGCGTGTTGTCTGACTTGCTTGATGTCGGCCAGGGCCGCCAGCACATCCAACTTCTCTCATGCAAGCCACCGCTTTGAGATTGAGATGCCCGACATGCAAGCGGTGGGAGAGGCGAGAATGTTTGGCTGGCCCAGCTCGACGGACTTTTGGGAAGACCAGACCGGGGCTCCGTGATCGCTCGACTCTGCAGCGGACGAGTCCTTTCCTTGTAATATGTATGAAGGTGGACTGAACCAAACCAGGGACTCTGTACCGTGTCACCAATACAACACTCTAGCACACGTTGTGGAGGCGTGGGTTGTGAGTGGGAGCGCCCGCGAGACGATCATCCGTGGTTGTCTGTCTGCTGACTGGACCAGATTACCGGAGTTTTTTCTGCTTCATCAACCTAGCTGCCTGTAGGGCATGTACTCTGACTTGCATGACAAGAGTAGACTAAAGATAATCCCGAGATCGTGGTGTACCTACACCGGCAGTGCCCACATCCCAAGACTTCGGGGAATTCCAGAATGCTGATCAGCGGAACGTGGAATGGTCCTCTCACTCCGCATGAGAGGCCATGCCTTGGGTCAGTACGGAAATAGGCCATGATTTAAAGCACCCATTGTCTGGCCGGCAACGGTCAGAGCGGAGCCGAGAAAGACACTTCCCACCTACACCGTTGCATATCGACTTCTCGCTCTAGGAACATGCGCGAGTACCTGGTTGAATGTCTATTGAAGAACCGCTCGGCAACATATCGCAACCGTCCCTTCTGATCCACGTGAGGGCACACAAAGAGACGGACGGGAGTCTGCTGTGCGACAGCGTCAAACCGGGCGTGTGTCCCAGCGACTCGGCCTGTCACCTGTTGGATGTGGAGGACGGAGGATGGGGGTTTCAGGCTAATAAGATCAAATCAGTCCAAACTTGGAGCTTCAATGGTGGGATCCGTCCACGGATTTGGTAGTTAGTTAGCTGTTAGATCAATCAATGTCCCAAAATGCCACAACCCGCCAGACACTGCGCAACGGCCAGGAAAACCAAGCTTGGCCCGCCAGCCACTTCTCACCGCCCAGACCAGCCAATGGGATGCTAGGAGGACCCTTAGGTCCCGCACCAGAAAAGTGGGCAAGTGTCGTCAGAGCCCCGAAGTCAATGGCTTTTTTTGCCCTGGCCCACGCTGGGCGCCGGGTGTGTGTGGTTGGCAGTATGATTACCTACTAATTCTCCTCCCCGTCGTGTGCCTACGCTTTCTCCTCACCAGTCACACCCTCGTGCGGTCAATGCGACGACAAACTTCTCGCCCACTCTCCAGCACGCCTTCTTATCGCGAGTTCTCACAAAAGCCATGTGATTTGCAACGGGACCGACCGTACACATTTCTACAGCAGACCTGACAGCGCACTCACCGACTGTCGCCCGACCTGCAGCCTCCTCCCCTCCTCTCCAATGGCGCCCTCCAAATCTCGCGCTCAAGACGACTCCAAGTCGGAGACACCGACTGGCAAAGACAAGAACGGTGGCCATGGCCATTCGACATCGTCGTCTACCAAGATTCGCCGTGTGGGAAGCTCGACCGGCTCCCAGCTCAAGGAGACCACCAACGCTTCCAGCCTGCCCACCGCCCCGGCCGCGCCCGCAGTCTCCCAGACCACGGCTCCCACAGGGGTTAGTAGAGACGATAACACAGATATGCTTATGGCTCTCCGCAATCACTGACATGCCTTATTTATACAGCTACAATGGTCCTCCTTCGACCGCAACGTCCTCCACTCCTACCGTCGAGTCTACCGTCTCAACACCCCGACCGCCTTTGTCCACGACTACAACCGACGAATCTTGACACAGCCGGGCAGCATCGGCCTGCGATCCCCGAGCATGGCGAGAAAGCTAGACCTCAGACGACAAAGCAAAGAGCAGTTGGCGACTACAGCGCGGAAACACTTCAACAGCATCGGCATTCAAGAGAACGATGTCATTGTCGACTTCCTCCACAAGGTGCGGAACAAAGACGCCGCGGACCTGATGCCCAGAAGAGCAGACCACTTCGGCCTTGAAATGGAGAGTTGAGCGACGGTGCATACAACAATACTGCAAAGGGACCACCGGCCTGACCAAGTCAGAAAATGGGGAAACAGTCCCTGCTTGTCGAGATCTGGCCAGTCGGTTCCCTTGAAAGAGAGATGATGGTTTTTTTTATAGACAATACCCCTAGAACACTAGACCCTAGTCTGCGTTCTTGTTTTTCTTTTCTCCCTCTCGGTACTATAGGGCATGGGTTTCTGGACGGCGTTTTGGTTTTGGCGAGGCAATTAGGATACGATACGACAATGTCACGCATTTTCATCCAAATCTGCGAAGTGCGCTCTCTGATTGTTCTACCAGACCGACCGGAGATCTGCCAGATTGACGAGCGTCGCGGGGCTGACTCGGTCGCGCGATTGAGCACGAAATGAAGGACCCCCCTTCTGTGGCGAGCTAGTACATACAAGCAAATCACCTGTGAGACCGGTGGGGACCGCTGGCCCTCAGGCCTGGGACCAACTGTAAGCCAGAGAATAATCGCGTATCTTCCACCAGCGCCGCGGGTGGGGCGACTTGAGCCGAGCTAGTCCTGGGCCTGAGGCAGGCATTGGCTGGCCACGCCGTCGTGCGCGGGCTGCGTCGGTCGAAAAAAAGTTGAGCCGGCAAACGGGTCAAATTAGAGGTCTGGGCTCTGTGAAGCTGGCGATGTCATCTATCTCTTAGGAAAGACAAACTCCCTTTTCCCTCCTTTTCGCTGTTGTCGGTTTGCCAATGCTCTGTTCCTATTTGTTCCTACTATTCCATGCCGTTTCTTAAACTGATGATACCATTGTAACGCGCGAACACACACACATACGCGCAAGTACCCTACGATGAACTCGAGCTTGGTTGTCAAAGCCGTCAACCCGGCAAGGCAACTCTCCCCGGCGCAAATATGGAGGAGGCAGAGGATACCTACGTGCCGGCGGGAACGGGTCCGGCTGAGTACCGCCGCGTTGAATGCTAGGCGCCAGGCCCGCCCGTCGCCCAGGAGCCCTTGCCAGGCGATCGTCTCCAAGAGGGTGAGTAGAGACTCTGCCAGCTATAACCTGCACCTACGTTCCTAACGTTCTGTCCTCCCAGGCATTCCACGCAACACCAAGGACATTCGCGCCGCAAAAGGACCCCTACAACACCCTCGGCGTAGGCAAGAGCGCCACCGCGGCCGAGATCAAGAAGGCGTACTATGGCCTGGCGAAGAAGTGGCATCCCGACACGAACAAGGACCCGACGGCCAAGGACCGCTTCGCGGAGATCCAAGGCGCCTACGAAGTCCTCTCCGACCCCAAGAAGAGGGAGCAGTACGACCAGTTTGGCGCGGCCGGTTTTGACCCCAATGCGGGCCCCGGCATGGGCGGCGACCCCTTCGGCGGCCAAGGGCACCCGTTCTCCGGCTTCGGCGGCGGCCAGGGCGGATTCGGCTCCAACTTCAACTTTGAGGACCTCTTCTCGGCTTTCACGGGGCAGCAGAACCCCTTCGGACGCCGTGGCGGCGGCGGCGGGCGGAACCCTTTCCAGCAGGAGATCCTGGTGGGCGACAACATCGAGGTGCAGACGACGATCTCGTTCATGGAGGCGGCCAAGGGGACGAAAAAGACCATCACCATCACCCCGCTGGTGACCTGCAAGACGTGCAACGGCGACGGACTAAAGTCGGGATCCAAGAGGACCGGCTGCAAGTCGTGCAACGGGACCGGCACGCGCGTCCACTTTGTGCAGGGCGGCTTCCAGATGGCGTCCACCTGCACGGCCTGCGGCGGCACCGGCTCCACGATCCCCAAGGGCTCGGAGTGCGGCTCCTGCTCCGGGGACGGCGTGGTCAGGGAGCGCAAGACGCTCACGGTGGACATCCCCGGCGGCATCGAGGACGGCATGCGGCTGAGGGTCGACGGCGAGGGCGACGCGCCCATCACCGGCAAGGCGGACCCGTCCAGCGTCCGGGGCGCGCGCGGAGACCTCTACGTCTTCGTCCGGGTCGCCTCGGACCCCAAGTTCAGCCGGTCCGGCTCCGACATCCTCTACACCTCGACGATCCCGCTGACGACGGCGCTTCTGGGCGGCGAGGTCACGATCCCGACGCTGGACGGGCAGGTCAACGTCAAGGTCGCCACGGGCACCAACACGGGCGACAAGATCACGCTGTCGGGCATGGGCATGAAGAAGCTGGGCGCGCGGCGCGGCGGCTCGGGCGACCTGCGGGTCGAGTTCCGCGTCGCCATGCCCAAGTACCTGACCTCGAACCAGCGCACGATCCTGGAGATGCTGGCGGACGAGATGGGCGACAAGACGGCCAAGCGGGTCATGAACGTCAACTGGAAGGAGTGAGTGTGATCCTCTTTTTTTTTTAACTGCTTGCGGACGATGCATCTCCCCCATTCGCTAACTTTTTAACGCGAAAGTACTGATGATGCTGATCCTGTGTCTAGAGCTTCGGAAAACCCCCACCAGAGCGAGGGCTTCCTCAAGTCGCTCTGGCACCAGCTCACCAACCACCCGGCCCACCAGAAGAAGCCCAAGTCCGGAGGCAAGACCGACGGCAAGGACGCGAGCGGCGGCGACAAATCGTCGACCCAAGACAAGGAGGACAACAAGAAGTCTTCCAGCTGAGCGGTCTGCCGCTGCAATAGCTCGGCGCCGGCCGCGATTGTGTAATAATAGCGCACGCTTTCGATGCTCCCGTCGAACACGCTGCATCAAACATGCCCTCCTTACCACGGAGGCGGTAATCTCATAGATGGCCCTGCTTAGAGAATAGGCGGAGAAACTGGAACCTCTTTTTTGCATTGGGGTGGTGTTTTGAAAAAAGGCTGTTTTACTCGGCCATCCTCGGAGACAAATCTACGGGTTGTCTCCAGGATGGCTGGGTAGGTTGTGGATGTTTGTTACTCTACATGATGTACAAAAGCAACATCTCCTTCTTCATTGTATAATAAGCGCCATGTGTAATTTCGATAGAGACAAGAGAAGAACCACTCCCAATGGCTGTATTCTAGTCTGAGCATTTGCATCTATCACCATCACCAGGATCTTCTCGAGACTCATTACGGGACGTTGTATGAAATGCTTTCCTGGGGCGCTCGGATGTATCTAACCTAGCTGAATATGCAGGTCCGAGCGTAGATGTGATGGACGGATAAATGATTTCACAAGCAATTTCCAGTCTCAACGGCGCAATCCGGTCGTTTTCTCGGAGCCTCTCGGCGGAAGCTAGCATCGTTGTGGGGCCGGGATGATGGCGGCCCTCGTCTCTGGGGAAAGATGGAGAGCTCGCTCCCCGGTAGCGGTAGCTGAGAAGGTTCCACTGTCATGGTCTGTCACTTGAAGAACTTGCTTGTCTACTTGTAATGTGATGATTGAATAACCCTGATCCAGGACAATGCAGGTGCTTCAGGGCCAACCTCCCATTGCCCCATTTCAGCCCGCAGAGAGCTTCGCAACTCACAAGGCCACAAGAAGTCCCGCGACTCCGCCTGGAAACTCCGACACTTCATTTGGGTCGCGCAAGCTTCGGGCAAATTATATCGAACCTGCATTAGCTCTCCGCGTCCCCCATCCCCCTCCTCCATCCTGGTCTCAACAACTGTTTCCCCGCAGGGCCGGGGCTCTCGTTGCCCGCGCGGGGGAGGGTGAGGTCATGGAACAGCAGTCTTTGGGCCGAATTGCAGGGAAGCTTTTCTTGCTCCCCGCTGCCTGTTGACGATGGCCTGGTCCGTTTGCATGTTGGCTTTCCGTCCCCGTCATCTTGCAGGGTCTGGTCCTAAGCGCCTCCACCAAGGCCCTACTGCGGCGAAACTGTGGCTTGCATCGTGACTTTTCGTCTTGCAGTGCTAGATCGGGAGGGAGGGAGATCAATCGACACGTGCACAGACGGTCGTGTTTCCCCTGTTGCTGCCGTGATCGCATATGCAAAAGACTGTGCATGATTCTTCTGGGCGGCCGGCAAGGGCTGGGTGGGATATAACCTCGCTCATCATCTCTCACATCCGTCCCCTGCTCCTTGGTCTTTCCTTCCACCATCCTGTAAAGTGAAGTCATTCCCAAAGACATACACACAAGCAGTGGTGGTGCAAGAATGCTGTCTGGGATCTCGTTGTGCCTCTTGGCAGGCGCCGCTGTCCTCGTCGAGGCGTCGACCATCGACATCCGCGACCAGGGCCTCGAAGCTTTCATCCAGGCCGAGCGCAAGATCGCGCTGCAGGGCGTGCTCAACAACATCGGGCCCAATGGCTCGGCTGTCCCCGGTGCACACGCCGGGTACGTCGTGGCCAGTCCGTCCAAGGACAACCCGAACTGTAAGGCCGAGAAGTCCCTCATCCCGTGCCATCTGATCAGCGAGTGAGTGACTTACACGGAACCACCCAACTCCTCCAGACTTCTACACCTGGACCCGCGACTCGGCCCTGACGCTCAAGATGCTCATCGACGAGTTCATCCTCGGCGGCGACAAGAGCCTCGAGGTCTACATCACCGACTACGTCCACGGCCAGGCCGTCCTGCAGACCGTCACCAACCCGTCCGGCTCCCTGCTGCCCTCGGGCACGGGCCTCGGCGAGCCAAAGTACAACGTCGACGGCACGCGGTTCAACGGCGCCTGGGGCCGGCCGCAGCGCGACGGACCCGCGCTGCGGGCCATCGCCCTCATCACCTACGCCAACTGGCTCGTCGAGCAGGGGCAGGCGGCCAAGGCCAAGGACGTCGTGTGGCCGGTCATCTCGAACGACCTGTCCTATGTCGGGCAGTACTGGTAAATATACACACACACACTCCGCACCTGTCGCTCCTGACACCTGCCCGGGTGAACTGACGTGATGACCGTGATAGGAACACGACCGGCTTCGACCTCTGGGAGGAGGTCGACGGCTCCAGCTTCTTCACCACGCAGAACCAGTACAAGTCGCTCGTCGACGGCGCCGCCCTGGCCGCCAGCCTCGGCGTCCCCTGCGCGGCGTGCGGCCAGGCGGCCCAGGTCCTCTGCCTCCTCGACCAGGCCTACTGGAACGGCGCCTTCTTCACCGCCAACGTCAACCTCAAGTCGCCCAACGGCCGCGTCGGCGTCGACGCCAACACGGTGCTGGGGCCCATCTCCGTCTTCGACCCGGCCGTCGCCTCGTGCGCCGACCCCTCCGTCCAGCCCTGCCACAGCCGCGCCCTCGCCAACTTCAAGGTCTTTGTCGACACCTTCCGCAACGCGTCGCTGTACCCCATCAACGCCGGGGCCGGGCCCGCGAGGGGCGTGGCCCTGGGCCGGTACCCGGAGGACGTCTACTTCGGGGGCAACCCGTGGTACCTCATCACCCTGGGCGCGGCCGAGTTCCTCTACGACGCGGCCGAGCAGTGGGCGCGCCAGGGCCGCCTCGCCGTCGACGAGACCTCGCTGCCCTTCTTCCGCGAGCTCTACCCGGCCGCCGCGGTGGGCGTGCATGAGCGCTGCCGCAAGTCGGGCCCCTTCCGCGCCATCTCGGACGCCGCGCGCGCCTACGCCGACTCCTTCGTCGCCGTGGCGCAGCGGTACACGCCCGCCTCGACGGGCGCCCTGTCGGAGCAGTTCCTGCGCAGGGAGCCCGGCACCCCGCTCTCGGCGCGCGACCTGACCTGGTCCTACGCCGCCTTCGTCTCCATGGCCCAGCGCCGCGCGGGGCTCTTCCCCCCGGCCGGGTGGACCTCGGCCGCGCCCCGGCTGCCGAGCTCCTGCGCCGCGTCCTCGGCCAAGGGCGTCTACGCGCCCGCCGCGGCGGCGGGCGCGCCCAACGTCACGGTCGGCTGCGTGCGCAACGTGCTCTTCGCCGTCAACGCGAGCACCTACTACGGCGAGAACGTCTACGTCGTCGGCAACGCGAGCGCCCTGGGCGCCTGGCGCGTCGCCGACGCGCAGCCCCTCGTCGCGAGCAACTACACCGCCCAGCGGCCCCTGTGGTTCGGGCAGGTCGCGCTCGAGGCCGGGCAGACGGTGGCCTACAGCTACGTGCGCGAGGAGAACTGCGGGCAGCCGTGGCTGTGGGAGCAGGGCGCCGGCGCCAACAGGACTGTCGTTCTGCCGGCGTGCAGCAAGGAGGAGGAGGAGAACGGGACGGGCGAGGAGCCCTTTGTCGTTACCAACGATGCGTGGGTGGGGCCTGTCGGGTCGTCTGGAAATTGCTGAAGGCGGGTGGCTGTTTGTTGACATGGGAAGAGGGGAGGGTGGTGATATAGATAGATATCTGACTTGATTGGAGTTGAGGCGCGATGTGAGGGCCTGAACTGTATGTACTAGCTATCTACATAATGATGAATATGGAAAAGAACGAAGCTATGGAAGAAAACAAAGAGCTGTCCCAAACTCCGTTGTGAACCATACTCAACCGCACTGCGTTCCTTTTTGAGCAAAAAGACGTGATAGAAAAGGGGGTATTTCCTTAACAACCACCATCGTCATCCAACCATGAAAACAACGTTGCCACCCGTGATGCTTGAACCAGCATTAATCATCCTTCCTCCAAAGATCTACAAAGACTATCCTGAACCGCATGCATATGACCAAACCCAAGCAAAACCAAGTTACCCGAAAACACCCACTACTGAGGAGGCTGCATCCCTCCTCCGGCGCTCCGCATCCCGGGCGCCATGTCGTACATCATCCCTCCGCCGGCGCCGGCCGCGCCCCCATAAACAGGGGCCTCGGGCACCATGAAGCTCCAGTCCATCCCGCCAAACATGTCGTTGCCCATGCCGTACCCTTGCAAGTCAAAGGTGGGGAACATGGGCATGCTGTCGTCGCCCAGGTACGCGCCCTGAGCCGCCGGACTGGCCGTCACGCCCACGCCGCGAATGGGCTGCATCCCGCCAGGCAACGAGCCCTCCACCGGCATGCCAGCATGCGGGCCACCCTGCTGGTGCTGCTGAGCCTGCTGTTGCTGTTGCGCCTGCGTTTGCTTGGGCTTCAGCTTGGCGAACCGCTCGCGCAGCAGCTCGATGAACTTGGGCGTCTCGAGCGCGCGTCCCTGCGCCGCCTCGGCCGCCTCGCGCGCGTCCCACGCCTTGATGAACATGCTGCCGAAAGTCAGGTGCACGGGGCTCTTGAGCTTGCGCGCGAGCCCCCGGCGCTCGTGGTTCTCGGCGATGACGGCCCACGCGCGCTCGACGAGCTCGTCGCCCGCCTGCTGCCGGCGCGGGCTGCGCAGCTCGCGTGTCAGGAACATGTAGCCCGGCAGGGGGAAGTACATGTGCGTGTACCAGAGGAACCCCCGCAGGGCCTCGCTGCTCTGCAGCACGTTGTCGTACTCGATCATGCGGATGGCCTCGAGGAAGAGGGCGTCGCGGTCACCGGGCCCGTCCTCGTCGGGCGGGGTGTTGGCATTAGGCGGGCCCGGGGCGGCCTGCGGGCGGGCTACCGGTGCTCCGTCGGGCCCGTGGTTGGGCGGCCCTCCCGCGCCGGGCGTGGAGCGGACGAGGTAGGCGATGACGCGCAGCTTGCAGAGCGCCTGGCGGGTCATGAGCAGGGTGAAGAGGTGCAGGGGGATCTTGGGGTCGCAGTGCTTGAGGTAGCAGTTCTCGATGCCGGCGCAGTACGTGTCGAGGTCGGTCGCCGTGGGCAGGACGTGGTTGGCCACGTGGGTCGCGACGTCGGGCGAGGCCGGCGACGACGTGTACTGCACCTTGCGGCCCTGGCCGAGGTGCGGCGCCGGGCGGACGCTGCCCGGGGCCGCGGCCGTGGTCATCTCGATGCGGGTGAGGCAGAAGAGCATCTCCGTGGGGACGAGGTACGGCGCGGGCGGGTCCTTGGCGTGCGGGTACAGGTCCGAGTCGTTGACGTTGAGAGGGTACTTTGTGTCGCTGTTGCTCGAGGACAGCGCCGTGATGCTCGAGCCGGTCATCTCTGCGATGCGCTTGTCGAATATGGCGATCTGCCACCACAGGCGCCGGCGCAGCTCGGCCTCGAAGGGGGGCACATTGAACTGGGCGCCGTCCCGGTGCAGCCCTATGCGCTGTGCGATGCGGACGGCGATGCCTATCAGGCAGAAGAGGGAGCGGGGATCCACGTATTGGCGGACAGATAACTGCGACTCGTTAGACATTGATATTCTGTGAAAGGCACACGCCATCCTGTACTCACAAGGAAGAGAAAGAAGGCCTGGAGGGTCATCATATCCGCACTCCGCATGAAGCCGGCGTTGATCAGCGACTGCTGGGTTGCGTGGTGGAACCGCTTCAGGACACGGGATTTCTCTTCGGTCAGGGTATTCATCACGTCCTCGTCGGACATGGAGGTGATGGCAATGAAGTAAATAGCAAACATGAGGCACTCCAGGGGTTTGGAGATCTTGGACGGGTTAGCGCCGGCCTCGATGATCTGGGCTTGCAGTGTTTGGGCGTGGGTGATCTTCAAGAGAGGGTTGACGTTGGTAAGATAGATCTGCCATAGCTGGAATATCTGGATGCCGGGAGGATGCAGGTCTGTCACCTTGCTGGTGGAGCCGCCGATGACAAAAGGGAAGCCGTCTGTGTTCTCGAACATGTTGTCAAAGGCTTGATGGATAGTTGGGCCCTCCGAGTCATCGTCGGATGTGTCTCGGAGTAGTTGATCGGTGGCCCGGTACTATGAGAGTGGTCAGCCAAGTCGCGCTCGAGACGGGAGGAGCATGCAGCACTCGATTCAAGAGGCAGGTGCTGATAGGAAGCGTGCTGGTGGGTAAGATACACACCTCTTTGTAATACGGATACCACCTACAAGGAAGTGTTAGTTGTAAGCATAACAACAGGGTTATTGTGGACATGGACTGTCGAGACGAGAGAGAACCTACCTTCCATCCTGCGCACTTCCTTCGGGATAATCGTTACTGGAAGATGGCGACGTCTTCAGCCCGCCGAGATCGTGCTGCAGCTCGTCGACCTCGTCGAGGGTCGAGGCGTCCGACGTCTTGTACTCGGCGGCGATGGGTTCAAATTGAACGCCGTGTTGGAGGAGCAGGGTCTCATACTTGCGCAGGCGGTCGAAGAGGTCGCGCTCGTGAGGCTTCTTCTTGCGGCGCCGCGGAGGCTGGGGCGGGATGACCCGGCAGTCGACCCCGGCCTTGAGGCAGTTCCCACATGGCTTGTTCTTATCACAACGCACCTTGCGCTGTTGACACAGAACACATGAGTGGCCCCTGGTCAATTTCATAACCGAAGGTTCAGGCGGCGGGGGATGTGGCGGCAGGGGCCCATGGGCAGCAGCTGAGACGGGGACGGATAGCCTCTGGGATGAGGAGTCACCGGGTGCAGCAGGTGGTTGCGGTTGCCCAGACGCCATTGTGTCCAAGGTAGGATGTCCACTGTATAAGAGCGTTGGAGTCCGGCCGGGCAGTTGAGAAGGGTCCTCGGAGCCGAACCTTGTCTGGGGGTGGGCAGAGTGTCTGGGGGGTGCGTGTCGACGGGGGTGTGGTGAGTAAGAAAGGCACGCGTGCAGCGGGGAACGGGAACGGGCACGAGTCTTTGCTCTAGCTGGGCCAGCCGAGGCCAGGCCTGGGTAGAGACACGCGGGCGGAGAGCCTCGTTTTCCCAAAGGAAAGAAACCAGGGTAGCCAATTCGCGGTGGTGCAGCTTCTTTGGGAGGGGCGTACTACCGTGAGAAGCGCGCGGTTCAGCCCTACGAGGAGCACGTACGTTGGTGGATGTGGGTGTGCGTGTGTGTATGTGTGTGTACCCCCGGTCTCCAATGATGCGCCAGTTACGCAGATCGATGGAATCGAAGCAATGAAAGGTAACGGTCGACGGTCCCGGAGCCCGGGCCTAGGGTTGGCCGTCCTCTCTGCAAGTTGGGTAGGTACCGTGCCGTACGTACCACGGCCGCCGCCTTTCCACCTCACCCGCAGGGCCAAAAGAAGGAAATTGAGGCTCTGAAGCGGGGTACTTTTGACGGCTGGGTGGGTGGCTGGCTGGCTGGGAATGTAGATCTGGCGGACGGGGAGTGAAGAGAGGCCTGGGACCCGAACGAATGACCGAGGGCTTGTTCCAGCAGTTGCGCGCCTGGTCAATCAGATGTTCTCACTCCGACTCTGCCTAAGCTCGGGAAGTGTGCGGACCCTGATACCGAGAGCGAGGGAGAGACAAAAGGTTGAAAAAGAGTCGAACAGCCCCTCTTCTCCGGCTGAGCTGTCTGTTCCTCCGCGGTAGGTGACTGTCTTACTGGGGGGATCTCACAAGGCCAAGCGCTGTGTCTCCTGCCCGTCCTCTGATAAGAACTGGAGGGAGTGGCCCAACTTTGCTCGCCCGGGGCCAGTCCTGTCAAGCCAGTTCGAGGTTCAGCCTCGCGCCAACAAACAGCAGCAGTGGCAGCAGCAGCGGCAGAGACAGTCGGCAGTCGACAGAAGCAATCCAAGAAAAGCACCTCGAGTCGTCGATCCTCTCCCCTCGGCGCAGAACAAACAAAAGAACAGAGGAGAGTCCACTACAGCTGTGCATGAACCTATTCCGATTCCTGCGCAGCACACTGGGGCTGGTGGATTTTTTCAACAATGCCCTCTCTGTAGCAAGGACTGAATGTCGGCTTCTCGCTCTCACGAACCCCGCGCGCGCGAGCTGCTTGACTCAACCAACAGAGACTGCTGGCTCTCCTCCCCTCCTCTGCGTGTGCGTGCCTTGCTTCTGTTGGTCGTTTGCCCCCCCAGGACAGGCTCCATCTGTCGGGCAATGGGCTGCAACGTTCGGGACCGAAAGAAGTCCCCTTATCCCCGACCAGACCCCACTCCTGGCTGCGGCTACGCTAGGCCGAGAATGGGATAGCGCCAGGGAAGGAGGGACCCAGTCCGGAGGTTCTGGCGGGGGAAGCTACGACCGACAGCTCCAGCTCAAGCTTTCCAGCAATTTGAAGTGACCAGGTTCATCTACCGAGTCCGATGGGGAAGTTCCTGAATTGCCAGAACACCCGCCAGACATCATCATCATCAGCATCATCGCCATCCCCAGCTCTGCCAATATTGGTCTTTCCCCAATACTACTGCCGCAGGTGTCTGAGTGGGTGTTTGGGTCCTCCACCCCTCCACCAAGCCTCGATGCCACAATATCAATGGACAAAGTGCCCACCACCACGCTCCGCCCATCCTGCTGCCATGCCTCCATCGCCACGGATCTGATCCCATCCCCGAGGGAGCCAAGAGAGCATTGGCACCGAGTTGTACATACAGGATCAGGAGTGGCGCACCGCACACCCCTCTCTGCCCAGTCCACTGCCCACTTCAACATGTTAAGTAGGTAGCAGCAGTCAGGTCGACCCGAACCCAAGAAAAGACACAGACAGGTAAGCTCCAGGTTAATCTACAGCCCATGCACACCAAGCCAAGGTAGGATGTGCGTTATATAACCATATCTCTCTCCTTTTATACTTCCCCTGCTACTTCCCAGTCCCTCGGGGGTGGATGGCCTGTTTCTTTTCTCGTCTCTCCCCATCTATCTGCAACACCTCGCAGAGTTCTTTTTCTTTCTCGTCTATACTTTTCGCCTGCAGCTCCAGGCCGGCCACTCGCCTGTGCCTGTGCTTGGCGCAACGAGCCGTTTCTCGGTCGTCCCTTTCCCTTCGCGTCTTCCCCAGAGACCTTTGTCGCGTCACCATCGTCGGACTCTGGCAGGTAGCAGGTAGCAGGGAGCAGGTAGAGAGAGAGAGAGAGAGAGAGACAGAGATACCATATTGTCCTCTCCACTCTGTAGCCATGCCTCCCGCGCCGGTGTCTCGCTCCACGGCGTCCTTGGCAAGCTGCCAGTCGACCGACCTTGAGCGCGACATGATTGAGATGAACGAGACCTCCGAGGCCGAGAAGGACGCCGAGCCCACCACTCCCATCAGGTCCGGGACTAGTGAGGAGCAGGAGGAGGACCACTTCAAACCAAAGACCTTCAAGTTTTGGATGATCCTCTTCTCCAATTTCCTGGCCTTGTTCCTTGTCGCCCTCGACCGCACCATCGTGGCCACGGCGGTGCCCCGGATCACCGATGAGTTCCACAGCCTCGGCGACATTGGCTGGTATGGATCTGCCTACATGCTGACCACGTCGGCGTCGCAGCTTCTGTTTGGCCGTATCTACAAGTTCTACTCGATGAAATGGTTTGTGACCTCGATTGTTGTGAGCGCAAAGGCTGGCTGGGTGCAGTGAGACTGACTGTATGTGCACCCAGGACATTCTTGATATGTGTCATTGTCTTTGAGATTGGCTCTGCCATCTGCGGTGCGGCGCCAACGTCCACCATCTTCATCGTGGGCAGAGCCATTGCCGGTGCCGCATCGGCCGGCATCTTCTCCGGGTGCATGCTGATCATGATCCCCATGATCCCGCTGCACAAGAGACCCATGTTCCAGGGCATGTTTGGCATGGTGTTTGGCATCGCCAGCGTCATGGGCCCTCTCGTGGGCGGAGCCTTCACTGGTGGAGTGACTTGGAGGTCCGTTTCCGTCTTGATATATATCGAGTAGGATTGTGATCACTAATACCCCTGATAGGTGGTGCTTCTATATTAATCTGCCAGTCGGGGCCATCACATTGGTCTTTATGATGTTCTTCTGGAATCCGCCAAAGCAGCACTTTGAGCCGGCGCCAGTCCGTACGCACATCAAGCGTCTCGACCCTTGGGGCACGGCCTTCTTCCTGCCTGCCGTGGTGTGCCTGTTGCTCGCGTTGCAATGGGGAGGCTCTACCTATGCCTGGGACAATTGGAAGATCGTGATGCTGTTCGCGCTGTTCGCCGTCGGCATAGTCTGCTTCATCTTCATCCAGATTCACAAGCCCGACACGGCCACGATACCCGCCAGGATCATCATGCAGCGCAGTATCCTCTCTGGAACCTTGTTCACCTTCTGCCTAGCTGGCTCGATGCTGATGATGGTCTATTTTGTACCGATCTGGTGTAAGTGAAAGCGCTACTTTGACGTGTGAGCATGTATCATCTGACCGCCAGCTACACAGTCCAAACGGCCAAGGGCGTCGATCCCCTCAAGTCAGGCATCTACACCCTGCCCCTGGTGCTGAGCCTGGTCATATCAAGCTTGCTTTCGGGCATAGTCACGCAGAAGATCGGCTACTACGTGCCTTCCATGCTGCTGGCGCCGTGCATCATGTCGACGGGCGAGGGCTTGATGACCACCTTTACCCCCGAGACGGGCTCCAGCCACTGGATCGCCTACCAGTTTCTGGCTGGTTTCGGCCTGGGTCTCGGCATGCAGACCGCCAATCTGGCCGTGCAGACCGTGCTTCCCAAGGACGACGTGTCTACCGGCATCGCCATCATCTTCTTTGTCCAGCAGCTCGGCGGCGCCGTCTTTACCACCGTCGGCCAGACGCTGCTCAGCAACATCCTCGTGTCGAAATTAGAGGGCGTTCCCGGTCTCGACGCCCAGGCCATCGTCAACAACGGCGCCACGGAGCTCACAGCCCTGGTGCCGCCCGAGGACCTGGACCTCGTGATCCACGCTTACAACTACGCGTGCACGCGCATATTCCTCACGGGTATGGCGCTCGCCTTTGGCGCGCTGCTGTCGGCGCTCTTCATGGAGTGGCGGAGCATCAAGAAGGGGAAGCAGGGCCCGCCGCCGGCAAAGCCTGCCGCCGAGGACCCGGAGCTGGCCGAGCAGGAGCCGGGTAGGATCCCCGGACCGGCGATCAAGCTCGGAGAGGGTGCCGACGGGCCACCGCCTCGAACAGGGAACACGACGAGGAGTAACCGGAATACCATGGCCGAGTCGGCAAGGTCGGAGCTCACAGTCGTCGCGTCGGAGTCAGGAGCACATGTTGTTGCCAAGACGGAGGAGGAAGCAGCTGCCAAGAAGTCGGAGGCTGGACTCCATGCGATCACACCGGAGGAGGGGGCTGAGGAAGAGGGAAGGCAGCAGGCGCCTCACGGTGAGGGCCATGTCATCAAGACGGACGACGACACCAATATCCGCAATAGATTATCGGCCACAGAGTCGGAGGCCAAGCCTCCCCCGCTCCCAGAGAGGATGGCGTCGCCGGCACCGGCACCGGCATCGGCATCGGAAAGGGCGGAGAGCACGACGGATGGCGGAGACCCGTTCTCGGACCAGGAAGGGAGCACGGCAGGAGGAAGTAGGCGGCGCCGTAGGGATGTGTTTGTCGACGCCATGTCTTCCCAGGACGAGGACATTAATCTGGACACAGCTGTTAGACGCTAGAGGGTCTCTACAAAGTTTAACAAACATTGCGCTCTTTTTCTCGTTTTTCTTCGAGATATGACAATTTGATGGCATTCATGCGGAGTACTAGCGTTGTCATTGGCTTGTTTTCTTGGCCTTTCTTTGCCATTTGCTCGATAGTACTAGATGATAAACGCCACTTTCATTGATGACTGTTCTCTCGCTTAACTATTGGAGCAACTTGAGGGACTTGGCACAGAGCTTATCGAAAGATGAGGCTTTTTGTAAGGTAGATGCTGACAAGAGGACAAAGGTAACCTAGTAACATTGAGGTTGCTGTCCCCGTCTCCCCGTCTCCCCGTAGATGTTTGATTGTGACTCTATTCAAGAACTTGAAGATACGCTTCAGGCCAAGCCGACAACTACGGAATGCTGCCCCGTGCCAGGCCAACGCCATTGGCCTCTCACCGAGTGTGGCAATGGTCGCTTTAAACCACGCGGGGACGGAGGGCGTGTTTACGAGACGAACCCAGTCTTCGGGCCGGTTGAGGCAATTTTGGTAGCTGAAGCTGCTAACAGTATCTTAGGCTGAAGCCTGAGTAAGCCTTGCTTCCGGGGACACCGGAGCGGGCATATGAATCACTGGCAGCCACCCCCTCTGTCTGTCCCAGCCACGGCGAGTGGCTTGAATAGCCACTGGGCGTTTGATCATCTCGATAGATTGCATCTTTACTTGTGTGGATTGGCTCTGGCCAAGTCCCAGACACTCGGAAAGGGGCAGAGGGACCGCCGATGTTGGTAGTATCGAGCAAGACTCGAGGTGAGCAAATGAGTGAAATAACGTGCTGATGGGTGACCAAGCGGGCCTAACGGATCCGCGGACGGGAGCGACGACAGCGCTAACCATCGAGCGCCAGGTACCTTACCTAGCAAACACTGGAACACGCACCCTGGCACGCCTGGAAGTGGGAGCCGATAGTGGATGTGGGATCTGGGACCTGGTGGAGCAACTGGGTCCACTGGAGGGATTTTGATAGCGTCGCCTTTCCCAGCCGATGACGCATGGCATCGATGGACGGGTCTTGGACCAAAAGCCAAGCTTTTTGATAGCTTCACTGCTGTCGATTACCTCAATCCAACACAACACCTCCCAACTCGACGAGGAACTGCCAATTGATTTCCCTTACGTCTGATTCAATCTGACAGGCAGGCTCTGCTTTTCTTCTTCCTGCTTTCCTTTCGAATAGAAGAAGGCTCGATTGCCCGGAGCGATCAGACCAGACGTCACTCGTTTCCGTCTGTCGCAGCAACGTCATGCTCCGCTGTTCCTTATCTGCCTCCGCATAGCGACCCCGACAATCACTTGTCCTGTCAGTATTGAAGGGTACTTCTTTCTGCACACTCTGGCGACAGTAAAGACCGTGCAAGATGCTTCACGGCACTCTGAGCCACACGGCTCTCCGCGGCGGTCGCATCGCCGCCGGGGCCGCTGCTCGGCGTGGAGCACTCCTGCAGACACGATCGTTCTCTAAAACCGCCGCCTTTCGAGCTGACCAGCCACCACGCAAGCGTCTTGCCGACTCGATCTCGAAACGCCCATGGCAGCTCCTGATTCCCAGACGCAAAGGCACACGCCTGATCTCGGGAAAGCCGCTGCCCCAGCGATCGCGGGCTCTCAACTTCGCCTATCGCACCGCAGCATGGTTCGGGAGCTCCGTCGCTTTCCTCGGCATCGGCGTCGTCGTCTTCTTCCTCTACGATGCCTCGACCTACAAGGAGACTGCCGATAACGAGATCGCGCACGTTCCCGAGAGCGCGCTCAATCCCCAGCGCGGCGGGCCCAAGAACCTGCCCATCTACGAGGTCCAGATCGACGACAACGACAGCGCGAAGCAGAAGACAAAGGACAAGCCCAAGCTCGTGATCCTCGGCGGCGGCTGGGGCGGCGTCGCCCTGCTCAAGGAGCTCAACCCGGACGACTACCACGTCACCGTCATCTCCCCGTCCAACTACTTCCTCTTCACGCCCATGCTCCCCTCCGCGACCGTCGGCACGCTCGGCATCCGCTCCCTCGTCGAGCCCATCCGCCGCATAATGGCCCGCGTGCAGGGCCATTTCATCCGCGCCCGCGCTGAGGACGTCGAGTTCTCGCACAAGCTGGTCGAGGTGTCGCAGGCCGACGCCGCCGGCAACGAGACGCGCTTCTACGTGCCCTACGACAAGCTCGTCATCGCCGTCGGCTCCACGACCAACCCGCACGGCGTCAAGGGCCTCGAGAACTGCCACTTCCTCAAGGACATTGACGACGCCCGTGCCATCCGCAACCGTATCATCCACAACCTCGAGCTCGCGTGTCTGCCCACCACCTCGGACGACGAGCGCAAGCGCCTGCTGTCCTTTGTCGTGAGCGGCGGCGGTCCCACCGGCGTCGAGTTCGCCGCCGAGCTGTTCGACCTGCTGAACGAGGACCTGAGCCACGACTTCCCGCGCCTCCTGCGCAACGAGATCTCAGTCCACCTGATCCAGAGCCGCAGCCACATCCTCAACACCTACGACGAGGCCGTCTCCAAGTACGCCGAGGAGCGCTTCGCGCGCGACCAGGTCGAGGTGCTGACCAACTCGCGCGTCGCCGAGGTCAAGCCCGACCGCATCATCTTCACGCAGAAGGACGAGAGCGGGCAGGTCGTGCACAAGGAGCTGCCCATGGGCTTCTGCCTCTGGTCGACGGGCGTCTCGCAGACGCAGCTGTGCCAGACGCTCGCCGTCAAGCTCGGCGCCGCGCAGAACAACCGGCACGCGCTCGAGACGGACACGCACCTGCGCGTCAACGGCACGCCGCTAGGCGACGTCTACGCCATCGGCGACTGCGCGACGGTGCAGAACAACGTGGCGGACCACATCGTGGCGTTTGTGCGCAACCTGGCCTGGAAGCACGGCAAGGACCCCGAGACGCTGGAGCTGCACTTCTCCGACTGGCGCAACGTCGCCGGCGAGGTCAAGCGGCGCTTCCCGCAGGCCGTCGGCCACCTGAGGCGCCTCGACAAGCTCTTCGAGGAGTTCGACAAGGACCACTCGGGCACGCTCGACTTTGGCGAGCTGCGCGAGCTGCTCAAGCAGATCGACAGCAAGCTCACGAGCCTGCCGGCCACGGCGCAGCGCGCGCACCAGCAGGGCCAGTACCTGGCGCACAAGTTCAACAAGCTGGCGCGGGCGGCGCCGGGCCTGCGCGCCAACGACATCCGCGAGGGGGACCTCGACGCCGCCGTCTACCGCGCCTTCGAGTACAAGCACCTCGGCTCGCTGGCCTACATCGGCAACTCGGCCGTGTTCGACCTCGGCGAGGGCCGGAGCCTGAGCGGCGGCCTCTGGGCCGTGTACGCCTGGCGCAGCGTGTACTTTGCGCAGAGCGTGAGCCTGCGGACGAGGATCTTGATGATGATGGACTGGGCCAAGAGGGGGCTGTTTGGGCGAGGTGAGTCCTTTTCTTTGCGCTGATTGGCGAGATGTGTGTGTGTGATGATGATGTGGGATTTGCTGACGTTGAATGAATTTGTGCAGATTTGATGAGTTACTAGATCGATGGGCTGGCTTTGCCTTGTGATCGGACGAAGCGCGAAAAGCGTCGAGTAGAACTAGACGTATATATCCTTTTTGACATTGTCGTATCTTCAAACTGACGGGAGATGGAATCAAAAGAGGTGGAAGGATAAGTAAGGATGGGGATGGGACTACGTTTCCTGTTCCGTAGATGAGCGATTATCTCGTTTTCACAAACAAAGCAAAGACTACCTAATAAATCGAATCATCAAGGTATCTGTAAGGGATACTAACTCTGTAACGGATCTGAAATTGAAATTTTGATGATTGCCAAAGCGCGCCGTACGCCGATCCATGCAACACCTTCATGTCTAATCTGCTCAGCAAAGGCTCGTATATATATTCCATGCATATACTATCACCCCTCCATGTTCACAGCCCCCTCACAGCCGGAAATCCTTGTGCGTCCACTTCTCGGTCAGCTTGGTCCTCGCCTGCTTGGCAAAGGCCCTGTGCTTGCCAAACACGACCTTGCCCGCCCGGGCCTTGTTGAGGTACATGTCGCTGACGAGGTTGCCCTCGGGCTTGAGCCGGCGCAGCGAGTCCTGCAGCTCGTCGGGCAGCACCAGCTCGAGGTCGCCCTCGGGCACCTTGTACTTGCCCAGCGGCCGCCGGCGGAGCTTGATCTTGCCCTCCTGCTGGTTGTCGTCGCCGTCCCCGTCGGCGTCCGAGTCCAGTTCGATGCGCGACAGCGTCCGCGTCTCCTCGCGCTCGGCGACCTCGCGCGCGATGGCCTTGATGCGCGCCGCCTGCTCGTCCTTGCGCCGCTGGGCGGCCTCGTGCCGCAGCCGGCGCTCCTCCTCCTTGCGGCGCTTGATGCGGTTGCGCTGCGCCTGCGTCTTGCGCTGCGGCCGCTTAGCCGACCTGCCGGCCAGCTCTTCGCCGCCCGACTCGAAGCCCTCCCAGGCCGAGTCCTCGTCCCACTCGGAGAGGTCGGCGCGGGCCTCGGCGGCCTCGGCCTCGGCGGCGGACCGGGCGGCGGCCTCGCGTCTGAGGCGGTCGGCCTCCTCCTCGGCGAGGCGCTTGCGCTCCGCCTCGAGGGCCTTCTCGCCCTCGGCGACGAAGCGCGCCTCGTAGTCGTGGAAGGCCGGGTTGTAGCTGTACCCGCCCGAGGGCCTGGCGACGGCGGGCACGGGCCGGCCGTTGGCGGCGAGGGAGACGGGCTCCTGGCGCAGCGTGCGGGGCGGCTTGGCGGCCTGCCTCTTGGGCAGGAAGGAGAAGGCCTCGTCGTGCTCGCGGGCGAGCTGCCGGTCCGGCGCGGCGTCCCAGGGGTCGTAGGTGGCGTCCGCGACGGCCACGGTCGACTCGTGGTGCCCGTCGGCGACCTTGCGCAGGCGCACGAGCTCCTTGTGCGTCACGTAGGTGCCCGTGCGCTGGCGCTTGGCCGGCAAGATGCCGTCCGACACTTTGCCGTTGATGCTGCTGCTGCTCTCGCCGGGCCGCTTGCGCAGGGACACGGCGGGGACGGCGGAGCGGGCGGCGATGATCTCGTCGGCCTTGAGGCCCTTGCGGGCGGCGGCGTGCTTGGTGTGCTTCTTGGTGATGGCGACGTCGCCGACGGTGTCGAGGGTGAAGAGGTCTGCGGAGGGCTTCTCGGCGACCAGGCCGCTGTTTTAGGAGGCATATGTTAGTCCGCTGCATGTACAAAGCAAAGGCTCTCATGAGCGAGAGAGATGGAGAGAGTAGGCAATGCTTCGTACCCCTTGATGATCTGCTCATTGCGCTCCTCGAGTCCCTTCTCCACCTCGGAGACGTCGACGTTTTTCCTCCATGCCTTTTTGCCTTTTCTGGATGGCTGTTTGTACTGGCTCGGTGCGTCTGGCGAGCCTGCCAGAGGTTGCAGGACGGGCATCTTATGTTGAATGGTTTGCTCGAGCCGCCCTTTATTCGGTAGTATCTTGGGAGAAAAGAAAAATTGGACGACGAGAGAGCCGGGAAAGATTCGCTCTCACGATACCGCTTTCTACAGTCCAGTCGCTCAGTCTGGATGGCGGGGACCCTGAGCCCGAACAAAAATTTTGGTGAGGTTGTCCCGATAAGCAGGGGTCTGGGCTGGCGGAATCCACATAAATCTTTTATCTGCACGTGAGAAATGCTGTGCAACAGAGGCGTGCGATGGTCTCGACGCCCCTAATAAGACACACTCTCAGTGTCTCTCTCTAGCGGCCAGGCCACTCCAGGGCTGCTAAAGGGGCCGAGTTTCCGGGGGGCTTACAGGCGGCCGGGGGTTCCATTGGCGACTGGAATCGGGCATGACGGACGCCAAGCCCACCCACTGGCAACTGGCATCTGGCGCGGAGCAAAGCCAAACGAAGTCTAATTGCACTGCACTGCTAGTGCGTGCTCTCCTAAAAAAGAGGCCACCAAGCGTACAGAACGGGAACGAAGGTTCACTCCCCTTTTTCGCGATCCAATCCAACCCAAGTCAAGTGCGTCGACAGCGGGCTGCTAGTCAAGTCTCCCAGGCCGCAATCCACCGACATTCCCGAGTCAGTAGATTCCTTCGCCAGACTTTACTGCCTTCCTCTTATCACCTAGGCTGCCAAATAATCCTAGGCGTTCCGTCCCTTTTCCTGTCTGCTCAACAAATACACTGGGGCTTGTTTATCATCGACTTCTCCCTCCCCTTTCGTCATCGCCGAGGACGCTGCAGATTCCGACAGCGTTCTACTTCTCGCGCTCCCTTCTTCCGACGACACACGCAAGGACCACCGGACAGCATGGCTCAAGCCGGGGCAGGCGGGTACAACAACCCGCTCAAGAAGTTCAAGTGAGCACGGAGAATCCGACGCAGGCCGGCGAGGGGCAGACGTGCGTGCAAGGAGCTAACGCAAGTACCGTGCAGGCTGGTCTTCTTGGGCGAGCAGAGTGGTGCGTTCCAGCCCTCCGTTGACAGCACGATCTCCTGTTGCGCCTCGCCTCGCTAACCTCCTCCCAGTTGGCAAGACCTCCCTGATCACACGTTTCATGTACGACTCCTTCGACAACATGTACCAGGCCACCATCGGCATCGACTTCCTCTCCAAGGTCAGCACGTCCCCGCGCGGCTCTGCCCAGCTCCCGTCGAGAACTCTCTTGAGGTTGGCTGAGGAGGCGGGACCCGCGGCTTTCAAAGTTGTCTTCGCCGAGCTGACTGGGTTGTTGTGATAGACTATGTACCTCGAGGACCGAACGGTGCGCCTACAATTATGGGATACCGCCGGTCAAGAGCGTTTCCGGAGTCTGATCCCTTCATACATCCGCGACTCTAGCGTGGCAGTGGTCGTATATGATATTTCAAGTGAGCTGCCCTGCGCGAATCTGAGGATACTCGCACGCCGAAGCTTGGGGTCAAAGAACTAATAGCAGCATGCGCGCGCACGTAGACGCCAAGTCCTTCCAAAACACGCGCAAGTGGATCGACGATGTTCGGGCCGAGCGAGGCAACGATGTGATCATAGTGCTGGTGGGTAACAAGACGGATCTGAACGACAAGCGCGAGGTCACGACGCAGCAAGGAGAGGACGAGGCGAAGAAGAACAACCTGATGTTTGTCGAGACCAGCGCCAAGCTGGGCCACAACGTCAAGACGCTCTTCAGGAGGATAGCACAGGCCCTGCCTGGCATGGAGGGGACCGACGCCGCCGCCCAGGCATCAAGCCAAAGTACGTTCTTGCAATTGTCTGTAGTGCGTTGACAAGCGGATGCTAACCACCCCGCAGTGATCGATGTCAAGTCCACAAACGCTCCGGCTCAACAAGAAGGCTGCGCCTGCTAAGCAGATGGCGGGTGGAAACTCGAGAACGCCGTAATAGAGTCAGTCGCTTGGGTGGTAGTGGATGACCACACAAGCCCAGACCTTCCAATCTTGGGCGAGCAACTTCGCAAAAGCATCTCTGAGTGAGGAGCCAGTTACTACTGGGATGTTCCAGCCTCCCAGCGTTGTATAATAAAGCAAAGCACGATTCAACGGATCCATGACATTGACGAGGAGAGAAAAAAATCCGGGCCATATTACCGTCTATTATCTTTTTTTAGTCCTATACTAAACTAATTGCATTCATTTCTCCTGGCCCCGTGTCTGCGTGTGGCCTCCCGGAGACAATGGCTCATGGATCGCAGCCTGCTCGAACTCTTGTGGCAGCCCGTGCAATCTGCAAGTGCTTATGCATTCCTTTTTTTGCTCTTTTCTTTTCGCTCTATTCTATCCTGGTGCCTATGCATTCCTTACCTGTACACTGCCGTCTGCCATGCCAAAGTAGGCGGCAACCGGCTTTTGCGCACCGCCCTCACCCGCCTTGACCTCGAGGCCATTCTTGCCGTAGAACAGACCGTGCTCGACGATGCCCGGGATCCGGATCAGCTGGTCGGCCAGGGCGTCGACCGTCCACAGCCCGTCCTCGCCGGCGCCGCCCTGGACGCCGTTGGCCTTGTCGCGCGGCAGCAGCAGGGGCTTGAAGGGCGCGTCGATGAGCCACATGCTGTTGTCCGTGACGACGGGGCCGGCCTTCTTGGGCAGGCCCTGGCGGATCTGGGGCCCGAGGGCGCCCAGGTTCTCGAGCTCGCTGAGGACGCGCTTGGCGGCCAGGGGCAGCACCTCGATGGGGATGCCCTGCTTCCACTGCGTGCCGAGGCGCGGCGACAGCTTGCGGTAGTCGGCGACGCAGACGAAGCGGCGGGAGGCGGTGGCGACGATCTTCTCCTGGAAGAGGCAGGCGCCGCCGCCCTTGATCAGGTTCAGGTCCTCGTCGACCTCGTCGGCGCCGTCGAAGCAGACGTCGAGCTTGGCGGCGACGGGCAGCTGGCTCACGGAGCCCAGGGGCAGGCCGGCGGCCTCGATGAGGCCCCGCGACTGGTCGCCCGTGGGGAAGAAGAGCATGCGCGAGGTGGCGTCCCGGTCGAGGGCGGCGATGGCGTCGACGACGTAGACCACCGTCGAGCCGGAGCCGATGCCCACGAGCCGGTGGGCGGCCGGGTCGAGGTGGTCCTTGACGGCCTGGTAGGCGGCGGCCTTCTTGGAGAGCTCGATGAGCTCGGCCTGCTCGGCGGCGGGGATGGCCGAGGTGGAGGTCGCCATGGCCATCTTGTGCGACGGGAGAGCTGACGAGGGGTGGTGGCGATGGCGGGGTTGTGCTGGTGCTGTGGTTTGGCGGGAGAGATTGGGACGATGGCCCTGAGGGGAGCTCAGTCCGGCGAGTGTGCTGCTTGGGGTGTTTAGCATGGGTTTACATACTTGAGTTGTTCATATAAATAAATAAAGTGTTTATAGGATGGATATCTTAGGTACTCACCTATGATGCTTCCTCGAGACGACGTGGGGAGCCAAAATGGGACGGAATGCCGCACGGTACGAAACTTTAGTGATAGCTGATGATTTCCAAGAAGACGCTGATACGTTCATGAGCCGTGCGGGTTTTGTGCAAGACGGATGAACCACCAGAAATATAGAAATACAGCAGACGTGCTGTGCTGCAGCAATATGCAACAGAGACAGGACTTAATATATGTGATCAATGAGTGCTACATGCAATTGAGCCGCCTCAAAGCATGATATATATCTCCTGATCTGGGAAATGCAGCAGAAACTCACGATGCTTCAGGAAGCCAGTCCAGGCCGGTCCCTGATGGCGGGACGCCTGCATGAAGGCGGACCCGTACTTTGCCAGCTGAGTCAGCTGGCGGGGTCAAGTTGAGTTGAGGGAAGTGGATTGTATCTGATTAAGGTAACTAGATAAGGCGGCGGGGGCGACGGGCGTGGGCGGAGTGGGCGGCTCTTTTATGCATGGGTTTTCGCAGTGGCTGGCCCAGCATCATCCGAATCCGGGGTCTCCGGCGGTCGCATTAAAAGCTGGATTGGATGGACTCTTGCGAAGCCCTCCAGATGACATCTCTCCTCTCCTATTCGGGGCCTATTCTTCGACACTAGCTCTTGCGCACTTCGCAAAGGACTCGCACACCATGGCAGCGTCATTAAGAGGCTGGCATGTCCGCCTGCCGAAACCCAGGGTAGGTCTCGTTCGACTCCCCGCCCGCACCCCGTGATGGGAACTGACAATTGACGACCCGTCCAGACGTTCCTGGGCATCATGTCCCTCCAGACCGGCACGGAGATGATCGCGCTCTCGATGCTCATCAACAAGGTCACCGGCATCTACGGCCTGCTCGTCATCTTCACGGGCTACGCCCTCTCCGCCACCCAGCTCACCATGTACATGTGCAACGTCGTCGCCCTCGTCCTCCTCGCGCTCTGCCTGCCGCACGTCAAGAAGCAGACGCCCCTGCACAACCTGGGCCTGGCCTGGCTCTACCTGCTCGACACGGCCATCAACACGGCCTACACCACCGCCTTCGCCGTGACCTGGTTCATGGCCTCCGGGGCGGCGGCGAACGCGGAACCGCCATCATCGGCGCTGCGGCAGGAGGACGGAGGAGGAGGCGATGCTATCAGCGGCAGCAACGGTAATCCGGCGGCGGACGGGCACTCCCCCGCGGACGGCGAGTGGATGGGCGCGCACGAGGCGGCGGCCAGCCTGGTCTTCATCGCCCTCTTCACGACCATCCGGCTCTACTTCGCGGCCGTGGTCATGGCGCACGCGCGGCGCGTGCTGATGCGCTGGGCCGAGACGCAGGGCGTGGCCGGCGGCGGCAGGAGCGGCGCCGAGGAGAGCAAGGGCGACCTCACCGGCAGCCCCTTCGCGCCGGACCTGCCCGGCGGGCAGGGGTGGCGGGGCAAGCTGGGCCGGGCGATGGTCTACGTGGGCAGGGACTTCTGGCTCGGTGCTTCGTCGTCGGGGGCCGACGATACCTGGGCGCGGGACGTCAACGCCAAGTTCCGGCGAGCGCCTGTGTCTGGCGGCGGCGGGTCGAGCAGCTCCGCGGTATGATCTGTCTCGACTTGGCTTGCTTGGGTTCGGTGTTTGGTCCTGCGGCGGAGGTTGGGTCTTGGAGCATGCGCCGTTGGGTTTTCTGGCTTGCATTGCATGGCGTTGGGTCGGGGGTTGCATCGCATAGAGCACGCACATCATGTCATATCGTTACGCCATCACATCACTGGGGGCTGGTTCATCTATGTCCGGGAGGTTCTGGGTCAGGCAATGGGAAGGGGTATGGCTTAGAGGGGGGGAGCAAATCCCGCTTGCTATCATCAGCATACTACATGGATAATACATCACGCGAATATACGAAACATGCTTCACTATGGCTTATGGTATCAAGCTCACGAGTACATTGCTGTTGTGATGCGATATGAGGGTGTCGGAGCTTGTAAATCGATAACTCCTTGTATAGAGCAATCCAGATAATGATGATCCAGCCATTGACCGATAACTCCCATGAGACTTGACAACGGTATTTCTAAGCTGCATGCAGATCAAGGTCACGACAATGGGGCCCTTAGAAGTCCTGAATCATCGGACTTCGTGACGGACGTTGAATAATTGAACACCAACGAGCCAATCAAGTATTATCTGCACGTCAGCGCATGGCAGATCACGATCGTCAGTGGACAGTACAAGCGTCCGCATGTAGCTTCCGTGCTGGGATCGGGGCCGCCACGTAGACACTCCGGAGGGAATAGACATCCGAAGGCCCTTCGGATGGCACCATTCGAGGCTGATCGAGTGTATAGTGGAAGTCCTCGTGGACGACATCACACGTACGTCCTCGGGATTTGCTTTCCAGTCTCGAGCGCCGCTCTCCCACGGGATCCGCAAATTCGGGATTCTCTCCGCAGCATGGAAACGGGTCGCAGCCGATTTCGAAAGGTTGATTTAGCTGCCGTGGTCCCCCAGAATTAAGCTATGTCATCGCAATATGCGGCTTGCGCCATTGGCCTTCAGTATGGGGAGCGACCGAGACCCGACAGCCGGGCTGAGTGCCGCGCCGACAACCTGGCTGGGGGGGATGGATCAAGATCCAGCCTGGGGAGAGCAAGCTCTGAAAGAGGGCCCAGACGGGGGAGACCCTGTGGATGTGGATGGTGGTGCGGCTGGTGCGTCAAAGGTGTGGGCGGCTCATGGATTGATGGACGGTCGGTTGTGGTGAGGCGAGGCGCTAGAGCGATCACGCAATCTAGCCCGAGAATCACTGCATTCTCACCACAGGCCTCTGCTCGAGCAAAATTGATTGCATTGCGGGGCTGGCAATTGGCTCTCCAGCACCGAAAGAGGGCCAGAAGATGGCCCAGAGTTTTGCTAGCCACCATGCCAGCCAGGACAGCACGGCAAAGGGTCGTTAATCCCATCCATGGCGCGGTACATGTAGGTAAGTAAGGCAGGTAGTCCGGTCCCCTAAAGGTTTTTTTCTCTCTTTAGATAGATCAAATCAGACATGTGGGACGGGTCGTGATACATCTTCCTACACTTGTCTCCGGTTCCTGTAGTCCTCTTCCCTTTCCCTTCCCATCTCGAAGCTGTGTCGAAGTCCAACTTGCACGGGGATCACCAACTCTCGACAAGATGGCTTCTGCTGCTGCTTCACTCATCGCTACGCCTGAAGAGGCCGGTAAGTGCGCCGTCTTTCCTTGATATCCTCCCCCCCACCAATTGGTTGCGCTGCTGTTAGTATTGTGCGGCACCTGCGTCTGGATGACATCAAACCCACGAGGAGGGTGAAGAAGGATGCTGGGGTGCTGGGATGCTGGCTGGGATGCGGGCACATACATGGACGAACACGCCCATACACAGCCACCAGCACCGAGTTGCTGCGTCGCGAAATACCCCAACCATGTTACACGCCAGAGGATGGGTGGGATGGGTCGACACAACAAAAGCAAAAGCACAGTATCTGAGAGCTGGACATGAAAGAACGAATGGGCGGATGGATGTCTGAACGACCAGGATGCACACTCATGATTCTGAACCACCACTTCAACTGGTTACAAGAAACCCAGGCTAACTGATCGTTCGCCGGATGTTTAGTCGCGAGAATCGCATACCTTGCGAGCGATGTCGTCGTCTCTGTCCAGCCTTCCCAGGCTGTCGACTCGGGCTTCTCGAAGCACCTGAAGGCTCTGGCCGGTAGCAAGGCTCAGAGTTTGGTTGCTGCTTCATCAGACTCAGTCCCCGAGGTATGAAGTCCCCCAGGCTACCGGCAGCATTGTTGGACGATTCTTGTAGCACTGTTACGAGACACGTTCTTCATACCTGGTACACCTCATCTGACAACTGTCCCCCAGATCCAATCGGTCAGGCACAACACCGACCCGCTGCTCTCGGTCTACACGCCCATCCGCTCCGGGCGCCTGGTCTCGGTCACCACCAGCTCCTCCATCCTCCTCCCTTCAGTCGCCCACCTGTACAAGCTCGCCAACTTCCCCGTCGTCATCCACGTCTCTCTCCAGCCCGAGAGGTTCCCAGACTACTCGGCCATCACGTCCATCCGGAATTCGGGATGGACCTTCCTCCAGTCCGAGTCTGTCCAGGAGGCCCAGGACATCGCCCTGACCGCCCACGCCCTGGCCGTCCGCTCCGGCAAGGGCGTCATCCACTTCTTCAACCCCGCCGCCCTGGCCCACGACGAGCCCATCGCCCGGGAGAACGTCGAGCTCGTCCGGGACATCCTGAACCTGGACGACGTGAGGCGGTTCCAGTCCGCCCAGAGCTCCGGCAGCGGCATCTACGCTGACGACGGCCGCGTCGCTGTCGCCTCTGACGTTGCCGACGCCGTGGCCCCCGCCGCCGTGGCCCCGGCCATCTCCAGCGGCCTCCACGCCCAGATCGAGGCCGCGTCCTCCAAGAACGTCTCCTCACACACCTCGGTCAAGTCCAGCCAGGAGAGCTCGAGCAGCTCCCCCCCGCCCTCCTCCGCCGCCACGACGATCGAGGAGGCCCCCAGGCTGGTCTCCTCCGAGGACATCTACAAGTACGTGACCGGCATCTGGTCGCAGCTGGAGCGTGCCACCGGCCGCCTCTACAGCCCCTTCGAGTGGTCCGGCCCCGCCGATGCCGAGAACCTGCTCTTCATCTTCGGCTCCGACGCCGGCCTGTTCTCCGAGGTCATCGACTCGGCCAACAGCGCCGACTACGCCAAGCTCGGCATAATCACCCCCCGCCTCTACCGGCCCTGGCTCGGCACCAAGCTGCTCGAGGACATCCCGCAGTCCGTCAAGAGGATCGCCGTCCTCGAGCAGATCAGCCGCAAGACCACCAAGTGGGGTCCCATCCTGATCGACGTCCTGACGTCGGTCAAGAGCGGCCCCGCCGGCGTCCAGTCCATCGTCGGATACCAGATCGGCTACATCACCCGGCAGACCGCCGAGCAAGCGCTGCGAGGCATCTGGCAGAACCTGACCTCGGAGAAGCCCATCCAGAACCTCCAGGTCGGCGCCCAGCAGGGCCCCGAGCAGGCCCGGACGTCCAGCCTGGAGAAGCCCAAGGTCGAGACCGCCTACACCAAGATCCTCGACCAGCTGTTCGGCAGCCGCGTCTACACCGCCAACGCCCTGGGCTCCGACAACGCCGGCGTCTCCGAGACCATCGCCGCCAGCCCCGAGTTCGGCTTCGGCTCGCTCCTCGCCCGCAAGGAGCGCCGCCAGCAGTTTGTCGCCGAGGCCCGGGAGGCCGCCAGCTCCGGCAAGTTCGACTCCGAGGCCCCGAGGCAGTCGCTCACCAAGTGGACGCTGAACGCCGAGGACGGCAAGAATGCCGAGGAGCTCGCCGAGGGTGTCGTCTCCCAGCTCGAGAGCGACAAGTCCGCCGTCGCCGCCAAGCTCCTGGAGAACAAGGCCTTCTTCCGCAAGGAGTCCCTGTGGCTGGTCGGCTCCGACGCCTGGGCGTACGATCTCGGCAACTCCGGCGTCCACCACGTCCTGGCCTCGGGCGAGAACGTCAACATGCTCATCATCGACTCGACACCCTACTCTGAGCGCGCCGCCGCCGATGCCAACCGGAGGAAGAAGGATATCGGCCTGTACGCCATGAACTTTGGCAACGCCTACGTCGCCTCCACCGCCGTCTACAGCTCCTACACCCAGGTCCTGCAGGCCATGGACGAGGCCGACAAGTTCAACGGCCCCTCCATCGTCCTCGCCTACCTGCCCTACTTTGGCGAGCACGACTCGCCCCTCACCGTCCTCCAGGAGACCAAGAAGGCGGTCGACCTGGGCTACTGGCCCCTGTACCGCTGGAACCCCGAGAACGAGAAGAAGAACGAGCCCAACTTTGCCCTGGACTCGGAGCTCATCAAGAAGGAGCTCAAGGCATTCCTGGACCGGGACAACCAGCTCACCCAGATGCAGCGCAAGGAGCCCGTCTTTGGCGCCGCCCTGGCCCAGGACTGGGGCACCGAGGTCCGCGCCCAGCAGAAGCGGAAGGCCAGGGACGCGTACAACCAGCTGCTCGAGGGCCTGTTCGGCGCTCCCCTGACCATCCTGTACGCCTCCGACAACGGCAACGCCACCTCCATCGCCAAGCGGCTCGGCACTCGCGGCCGCGCCCGGGGCCTCAAGACCACCGTCATGGCCATGGAGGACTACCCCGTCGAGGACCTGCCCGCCGAGGAGAACATCGTCCTCGTCACCTCCGTCGCCGGCCAGGGCGAGTTCCCCCAGAACGGCAAGCCCTTCTGGGACGCCATCAAGGACAGCACCGACCTGGACCTGGCCGCCGTCAACTACTCCGTCTTCGGCCTGGGCGACAGCCACTACTGGCCGCGCAAGGAGGACAAGATCTACTACAACAAGCCCGCCAAGGACCTGGACCGCGTGCTCGCCAACTTTGGCGGCAAGCGCCTCGCGGAGATCGGCCTCGGCGACGACCAGGACCCGGACGGCTTCCAGACCGGCTACGCGGAGTGGGAGCCCAAGATCTGGGCCGCGCTCGGCGTCGACAACGTCGAGGGCCTGCCCGAGGAGCCGCCACCGAAGACCAACGAGGACATCAAGGTGGCGTCCAACTACCTGCGCGGCACCATCCTCGAGGGCCTCAGGGACACCTCGACGGGCGCCCTCTCGGCCGACGACTGCCAGCTGACCAAGTTCCACGGCACCTACATGCAGGACGACCGCGACGTGCGCGACGAGCGCAAGGCCCAGGGCCTCGAGCCGGCCTACTCGTTCATGATCCGCTGCCGGCTGCCCGGCGGCATCTCGACGCCCAAGCAGTGGCTCCAGATGGACGAGATCGCCAACAACCTCGGCAACGAGACCATGAAGCTGACGACGCGCCAGACGTTCCAGTTCCACGGCGTCGTCAAGGGCAAGCTCAAGCCCGCCATGCAGGCCATCAACCGCGCCCTCATGGACACCCTGGCCGCCTGCGGCGACGTCAACCGCAACGTCATGTGCAGCTCGCTGCCCACGCACGCGGCCCTCCAGAAGGAGGTCTGGCAGTACTCCAAGAAGATCAGCGAGCACCTGCTGCCGTCCACCTCGGCCTACCACGAGATCTGGCTGACGGACGACGACGACAAGAAGACGCAGGTCGCCGGCGACGCCGTGCAGGACTTTGAGCCGCTCTACGGGCCCACCTACCTGCCGCGCAAGTTCAAGATCACCATCGCCATCCCGCCCCACAACGACACCGACGTCTACGCGCACGACATCGGCCTCGTCGCCATCAAGGGCGACGACGGCCGCCTCGCCGGCTTCAACATGATGATCGGCGGCGGCATGGGCACGACGCACAACAACAAGAAGACGTACCCGCAGCTGGGCCGCATGATGGGCTTCGTCGCGCCCGACCAGGTGCACCTCGCCTGCGAGAAGGTCATGCTCGTGCAGCGCGACCACGGCGACCGCAAGAACCGCAAGCACGCGCGCCTCAAGTACACGGTCGACGACATGGGGCCCGACGTCTTCAAGGCCAAGGTCGAGGCGCTCTGGGGCCGCGAGTTCGCGCCCGCGCGGCCCTTCAGGTTCGAGTCCAACGTCGACACGTTCGGCTGGCAGCGCGACGAGGCGGGCATGAACCACTTCACCTTCTTCATCGAGAACGGGCGCATCGAGGACACGCCCGAGTTCCAGATGAAGACGGGCCTGCGCGAGATCGCCAAAGTGCACAAGGGCGAGTTCCGCCTGACGGGCAACCAGCACCTGATCCTGAGCAACGTGGCGGACGGGGACGTCGGCGCGCTCAAGTCCCTGATGAAGCAGTACGGGCTCGACAACGTGCACTTCTCGGCGCTGCGGCTCTCGAGCTCGGCGTGCGTCGCGTTCCCGACGTGCGGGCTCGCCATGGCCGAGTCGGAGCGCTACCTGCCCGTGCTCATCTCCAAGCTCGAGGCCTGCCTCGAGGAGAACGGCCTGCGGCAGGACTCGATCGTCATGCGCATGACGGGCTGCCCCAACGGCTGCGCGCGGCCCTGGCTCGCCGAGGTCGCCTTTGTCGGCAAGGCCTACGGCGCCTACAACATGTACCTGGGAGGTGGCTACCACGGCCAGCGGCTCAACAAGCTGTACCGGTCGAGCATCAAGGAGGACGAGATCCTGGCCATCATGCGGCCGCTCCTCAAGCGGTACGCCACTGAGCGCGAGCAGGGGGAGAGGTTTGGCGACTTTTGCATCCGGGTGGGCATCATCAAGGCGACGACCGAGGGGCGGGATTTCCATGCTGATGTGAGTTTTTTTTGTTGTTCATTCTGGGTTTTCTGATGATAGTGATGCTGACTTGTGATTTCTAGGTCGCTGAGGAGGAGTCTGATGAGGAGTAGGGGAAGTTGTTGTGGACGGGAAACTGAGAACGATACCTTGGCTAAAAGACACTATTGTTAGAATATCTGGGGTGGCATCATGCTTTGGAAAAAGATATGATCATTTTTCATACTGTGGAGGTTTAAAATTTGCATATATAGCGCTTTGATGAATTTACTACTAGATATTACCTCGCTCTTGGAGTCTCTGTAGATTGGGCTGCAGGTGTGGGAGCTGTACGTTGCGTAGAGCTTGCGCTGCCTTGACAGGATCCGCTGCGGTCACGATGTAGGATCACGGCGAGACCGTGCTGTTGTCGTCCTTGACGTATGGCCAGGCTCATGAGAAGGCCAGATGCATATCGTGCCCAGTCACACAGCTTACCTTCTGACAGTTTCAAAGATCTAATTGAGAGTGTCTGGCAATGAATCGCCGTTCTTTTGGACACAACATTCGCCCTCTCGTCGGTCTCATCAAGTCTTGGCGTGCTGCTGAGTCGATCTCTAGCATCGTCTATTTTTGCTCATCAAATGGTATCATTTCGCCCTATCATACAAGCCGTTCCCAAGCCTTACAGCGCTACCGCAGCAGACTCGAGCGGTTCCCTCTGCACCTCCCAGGCCAGCCAGTCGGATCGTGTCGTCCTGTGATTTCAAGTCAGCAATCTTGCCCATCCAACCACCATCTCTACAGCAATATACGCACGGCAGCAACCCCATGGTGTTGACCTTCCACACGCCCACGGCCAGGGCGACGAGCTGCATGGCGACGTAGGCGAGCTTGACCTGGACCATCTTGGCGCGGTTCGAGTCGGTCTCGAAGCGCTCGAAGGCCTGGTTGGTGGCGGCGAGCCCGACGATGGGGTTCTTGAAGGCCATGAAGACCATCATGATGGAGAAGATCTGCAGCGAGTTCCCGGACATGTACATCATGATGAAGGTCATGGGCAAGGACTTGACGGGCGCCAGGGCCACCTCCCAGGCCTTCTTGAGCTTGAGCGTGTCCATCTCCTCGGCGGTCGGCGGCTTCTTGGTCTTGGCGAGGTCCTTGCCGGCGTCTCGTTTCTGCGATTGGAGACCATTATTAGTAAACCATCTGGCGTGTATCGACAAACTGGGGCGCAGCTTGCCTTGTTGCCGGTGCCGGATGAGCCCTGGGTCGGGAAGCCTGGGGGGTCGGGGATGGCGCCCGTCTTGGACTTGACGGGGGGCGGGGATGCGAGCTCAGAGACCCATCGCGGAGTCGCGGCCGGCTTTGTGAGTTCTGACATTGTGACGGATGGTGGTGTATCTCGTGGGGTCGAGGGAGGAAGCTGTCTGTGTGCACAGTCGAGGCTGACGTCGTCGCGATGGGATTGAAAAGGTGTCTGTGCTTTTGCCGTACAAGTAAGTAGTGAAGGTACAATGGTGTGTGTCCCGCCGCAGCTTAGCTAACCCCGTGCGGATCCCCAACTAAGGTTACGTGCGAATGGCCAGACCCTCTGGTGCGGCAGCGTGGGCTTATTAGCGGGAGGGTTCACTTTTTCCAGCGCATCCGAGCTCCGCTGAAGGGCAAATCCCCAGAAAAAGGGGCGACGAGGCAAAACCTCTCGACGTTCAGTTTCTTCACCGTCGCAGGAATTGTCTGGATCGCGCGGCCTCTGGACCATTGGACTGCTGAAACGCCACGACGAGTTGATCCGAAGCTACGAAGCGCAGACCGTCGACCGAGCTGAGCGGAGCGAGGCTTGCAGTGGCTCTCTTCCCCGACCGGAGTCCGTACAGACGCCTCGACTCTCCTGTGGTGCCCACGAAGCACACACGACGCGGATTCCCGGCGACAAATCAGCTTCGAAACCTTCGACGCCTGTGCTGGCCGCGCCCTAGACCACCAGCCTTGCGGCACACACCCTCCGTCGAACCCTGCCTTGGCAGTCGACGCCATACCAGAGACTACTGTGCAAGTGCCAAAGTTTCCTGCCTTCCAGGGTCCGCGAGGGAGGGCGCATGTGACAGCCCATCGACCCCTCTCCCGTACAGGCTCGCCTTTGCATCTGGCGAATCCTGATTGTGCCGCTTGGCCCTGACGGCCGCAGACGCGCGACTCACCGCATTGGGACACTCGGAACGCAACCCCAAGAACCGCTAGCCACCGCATCGAGACAGGTTTGGACTTGGCCCAAAGGAGGGGTCAACGGCACGGCGCCCGGCCACCAGCCAACAGAAGCAGCAGACTGAGACCATCTCAAGAGGGCTGGAGACGACGCTCGCTGCGCGCCCGTGAATACCGCCCACCGCACCCCCGGTCCCGGCTTCCCCCCTTCGGCTTGGCTCGCCAGCCCCCCGTGTCTCTGCTGCGGCGAATCACACGCACCGTTGCGCCATCTGAGGAGGACGAGTTGCACAGACACACGACATCATGTCGAGCTCACAAGGTGGAGGCGACTCCAAGCTGTTCGCCCGGGTAAGCTCCCCTCCTTTTCTTGTCTCGTGTGTTCCCATGATACTTTCCGTCTCCCCCTCTATATCACGCCAGCTCCGCCAAAGCTTCTTAAGGACTCGCTTGCGTTACCAACTTCTCCCCCAACGACCTGTCACATCCTAAATATAGCTTGGCTGCATTATCTGCCCTCTCCCTCGCCGTTGATCAACCCTGCATATCTATCGCTGTTTGCGCCGGCGCGGCTTCACCTCCCATCTACACATCCCCTTCAGCGCTGCTGTGCTCTCTCTCCATAGGTGTGCGCTCGAGACCGGCCTCGTCATGTCGAGTCGCACTCCCGTCCTGCCCTTGCTTGAGGCGCCCAGCATCGACTAGCCTTGCTTTTCCCGCTTCAGTCCGCCCTCGATGGCAAACGCAATGATGTTCATGTACTTCCCCCCCGCGCCAGTCAGCTCATACAGACTCTCTCCACAGGGCAAGGTCGCCGAGCTGCGGCAGGACCTCAACAGCGGCGGCAAGAAGGACAAGAACTTCACGGCCAAGAAGGTCGCCCTCAAGAAGATCGTCGCCAACATGACCATGAGCAACAACGACATGGTCGCCCTGTTCCCCGACATCATCGGCTGCATGCACATCCAGAGCCTCGAGATCAAGAAGATGTGCTTCCTCTTCCTTGTCAACTACGCCCGCATGCGCCCGGACATCGCCGTCAAGGCCATCCCCGTCCTCGAGCACGACGTGGAGGACCCCAACCCCCTCGTCCGCGCCCTCGCCCTGCGCACCATGTCCTACATCCACGTCCGCGAGTTCGTCGAGGCCACCGTCCCCATCGTCAAGCACCTGCTCAAGGACGCCGACCCCTACGTGCGCAAGACCGCCGCCTTCACCGTCGCCAAGCTCTACGACCACGACCGCCACATGGTCGAGGGCTCCGACCTGATCGACCGGCTGAACTCGCTGCTGCGGGACGACAACCCGACCGTCGTCGCCAGCGCGCTGGCCGGGCTCATGGACATCTGGGAGCGCAGCGACGCGATCAAGCTGACCATCGACTACAGCAACGCGTCCAAGATGGTGGCCATCCTGCCCGACTGCTCAGAGTAAGTTTTGTCTAGGGATCATATGTGTGATCCGTGCTGACTTTTGTCGCCCAGATGGGGGCAGACGTACATCCTGGAGGCGCTCATGTCGTACGTCCCGCAGGAGTCGGGCGAGGCGCTGCTGCTGGCCGAGCGCATCTCGCCGCGCCTCTCGCACTCCAACTCGGCCGTCGTCCTGACCTGCATCCGCGTGATCCTCTACCTCATGAACTACATCGCCGACCAGAAGCAGATCACGGCGCTGTGCCGCAAGCTGTCGCCGCCCCTGGTCACCCTGCTGGCCAAGGGCCCCGAGGTCCAGTACCTCGCCCTCCGCAACGCGCTGCTCATCCTGCAGAGGCGGCCGGCCGTCCTGCGCAACGACATCCGCGTCTTCTTCTGCAAGTACAACGACCCCATCTACGTCAAGGTCACCAAGCTCGAGCTCATCTTCATGCTGGCCAACGAGAAGAACATCGACGAGGTGCTCACCGAGCTGCGCGAGTACGCCACCGAGATCGACGTCCACTTTGTGCGCAAGGCCGTGCGCGCCATCGGCAAGCTCGCCATCAAGATCGAGCCCGCCGCCCGCGCCTGCATCAACCTGCTGCTCGACCTCGTCGCCACCAAGATCACCTACATCGTCCAGGAGGCCACCGTCGTCATCCGCAACATCTTCCGCAAGTACCCCAACCAGTACGAGGTCATCATCGGCACCCTCTGCGAGCACCTCGACTCCCTCGACGAGCCCGAGGCCAAGGCCGCCATGGTCTGGGTCATCGGCCAGTACGCCTCGCGCATCGAGAACTCGGACGCCCTGCTCGAGGATTTCTTGTATTCCTTCCAGGAGGAGCCCGTCGAGGTCCAGCTCGCCCTGCTCACCGCCACCGTCAAGCTCTTCATCCAGCGGCCCACCAAGGGCCAGGAGCTCGTCCCCAAGGTGCTCAAGTGGGCCACCGAGGAGACGGACAACCCGGACCTGCGCGACCGCGCCTACATGTACTGGCGCCTGCTGTCCACCGACATGGAGGCCGCCAAGCAGATCGTCATGGGCGACAAGCCCGCCATCACCGCCGAGTCGGAGAAGCTCGACCCCCAGACCCTCGAGGAGATGTGCCTCAACGTCGGCACCCTGGCCACCGTCTACCTCAAGCCCGTGCAGACCGTCTTCCGGTCCGCCCGGCCCCGCAGGCTCATCGAGTCCCCCGCCCTGCAGAAGCACACGCTGCCCACGGCGAGCCAGCAGCCCGCCGCCTACGACGCGAACAAGCACCTCAGCATGCTGGGCATGGGCGGCCAGGCCACGGACGTGAACGCCCGGGCGCTGCAGCAGCAGCAGCAGTTGCAGGAGCAGGCACAGGCGAACGGGAACGGCATGGACCAGGCCGTCAGCGACGCCGACGCCTACTTTGCCGGCATGCGGATACAGGAGCAGAGCGACGCGTTTGGCGGCGACGGCGGGCGCACAGAGGCCTACGTCGTCAACCAGTACGCGCCGCAGCAGGTCTTCCAACCCGCGCAGGGGGTGGCGAACAATGGGGATTTGCTGTTGTGATTGAGTGGATGGGGGAACCGAGAGGAGGATTATGATGTAACTAGAATAAAAGCTATTCGAGAATGAATGAAACGGGTTATGTCCACGGATGTCGCTGCTCGTCTTGGAGTGGTTTGTGCTTGGCTGAAAGTGTGTTTCGGCTGTCTGTGTTGACGTGTTGTAAGAAGGAAACGTATCAGTCTTGAAGTTTGATGAAGTGGCCAGGCTGTCTCTCTCTCCGTATATGTTTCCGTGACGTATAGTGTAGAATTCATCCAGGGCCTCATGGTAGAGTAAAGTGAATAATACAGCCTGTCAAGCACTCAAGTTCTTATATCAGTATGCAAGGTGGTGGCTCCCTTACAACTCTTCAGCAATCAGAGCCAAGTAATCCTATAACCCATGTATCAAGTAAGTAATTTCATATTCATTCTACAAATAATAATTTAGGGTGCATAGGTTCAAAACTTATTCGGCTTGCTAGTCCAGCTTGGGTTTTGTACACCAGGCGCCCAAGATGTTGGTGGATTCATATACATTCTGTTTTAGAGATGGTTAGCAAAGTATCATCAATACCTATAAAAGATGTGTAACCCTACCAAAGTCAACCTCTAAATTTCTAAGGTTACCCCTAGAAAGCTTGATTCCTAGAACACCCTTTTATCCAACTCCGACTGATCTAGCTAAGTATTATATGCTAGAACTATCTATAGAAGATAGATAATATCACCTGCTGGTTGCTGTAGTTGAGTTTTATATGTTGGATTCTTAACTTTGATAGGGTGGTTTTGGTCTGGTTATACAATATGTTTTGTAGGTAGTTGTACAAGTTTGCGAACTACCTATAAAACATCTCTTCAACTATGTCTAATATACAGACCTGGCTAGTATCTGACAGGTAGACGAGTACCAGTTCAGTCATCGTTTAGACCTATAAAACACGTGTGATCTCTACTAGAACGACTTCAAAAGTTAGATGATGCCACCTGCTGACTGCCGTAGCTATAGATAGCCCTGCCTCCTGTAATGAGATCTCTCTGTGTCGATCTGCCATGATGTCAAAGCTGTCACGGTTGCACATATGGCACACCGAAATCACAGCTCTACGACATTATTCTGCTCTTTGATAGGACGGATACATCCTACCATCTGCACAACGGACTTCCCTCCTCTTCACCATTATCGCCTGGACCCTTAACCTATATCAACTGACCTTTTCCTTCTGCCTTTCTTTCCACCGTCTGTCTATTCGAGCACTTCTCGTCTGTTGACTGTTCCCATAGCCATCTCGCTAGTTGATATCTCGGTGTTGCTGCTTTCTTGGCATATCTAGACGGCCAAAACGTTTTACAGTCTTGACTCTAGATATACTGTCTCTCGTTGCAGACGCGGCATTAGTTTTCAGGCCAAATATGTATGTAGGAAAAGTACAGTTCGTATTACTTCATGCAGTCCAAGAAGGCTTCATATCTACAACTTATGGCTACTAGCAGGGGAATTTCAAGGTTGGGAGTAATAATGCATTCACTCTGCATTTATTAGAACACGGACTTTAATGCGCGTAGAAATAAAGTTGGAATTTCCCTAGAAGCCACAGTGCTGGAGCCATTTCAACTCCTCTATGCCCTTGGCGAGGAGAATGTCACCGGTGCTGGGCCCGACCAGTCCCAGTTCGTCAAACCCCTCCAAGATGCCGCAGCGCGGGATCACGCGGAGAAGGCACCTCTTGGTATCGACCAGGACCATGTCACGCCATGATGACGATGCCAACAGCGTCACTGCTGCTTGGGTAAAGCCGGGCGTCACCAGCTGGTTGAAGTTCTTGGCATTCTGCGCCAGGAACCCGGGCATGGCCCCGTCTGTCGACAGGGCTGCGACAAGACCATGGGCGAGATGATCCCTAGAGAGCCACGACTCGAGGTCTTCTTTGGCCGCCCGGACCAGTTGCTCTGGAGGCCACTTGGCCTCCAGGAGCAAGGAGACCTGCCACCAGGCGAGAGCAGCCGCCACCGGTATAGTAACGGGTGGCGCCGCAGGGTCACGCCGCTGTAACTGGGCGACGACATACGAAAGCAGAGTCCCGAAGATATTCACCTTGAGTGGCGGCGCCGGATCAGTGCCGACGCGCCTCGTGAGACTTGCCAGGCAGCGCAGGGCCCAATCGGACCCTGCCCTCCCGGTCTCAATGGCACTGAACAAGGCGAGGGCGAGACCATCTAGGTTTAGGGGCACTGGCTGCTCTAGGTAGTCAGTATCGGCATCGGGCGGCGTGGGGAGGATGAGCCATGCGGGTGGTGCCGGCGGCTGGGAGCTTCTTGCAGGGGCAAGGCTCGGGGCCGACGCGACGATGAGGGCGAACCTGTTCCATTCGGTTAGCTGGAGGGAGGGGGCCGGGACCATTGCGTCCCACATCCATACCATGACCTCGCGCATCCGCGCGCTCCGAGGCGAGGGCATTTCCCTCACGCTGGAGCTCGCTCTGGAGCTGGGCGTTGATCGCGGCGAGGTCCTTGGTGGACGTCTTCTCGCTTTGGAGGTCGCACTGGAGCTTCAGGTTAGCCGTTGCGAGATCTCTGGAGGAAACTTTCTCCCTCTGCAGATCCTCCTCGAGGCGCTTCCCAGATGACTGTGCCGCCTGGAGCTGGCTCCGGAGATCCGTCAAGGATGCCGAGAGAGCCTCGACGGAGTTGCATTCCTCGAAGAGGTCTTCGGCAACTGCCTCTCGCCCCTCGAGCGCCTGGTCCCGCTCCTGGAGGGCCTGATCCCGCTCCTGTAGGGCCTGATCTCGCCGTTCGAGCGCCTCGTCTTTTTGTAGACGGGCCTCATCTCGTTCCACCAAGGCCTCGTATTTTTCCTGGCGAGCACTTTCTAGCTCTTTGAGGGCTTGGTCTCTCTTCTGGGTAGCTTGGTTCTGCCCTTGGGCGGCCTGGTTTCGCTGTCTGAGCGCCTCATCTCGCTCCTTCAATGCCTCGCATTTTTCCCGGCGAGCGCCCTCTAGCTCTCCAAGGGCTTGATATCGGTCCTGGGCGGCCCGGTCTCGGTCCTTCAAGGCCTTATACTTTTCCTGGCGAGTACCTTCTGACTCCTTGAGGGCCTGGTCACGCTGTCCGAGCGCCTCGTTCTTTTGTAGATGGGCCTCGTCCTTTTGCCGACGGGCCTCATCCCGCTCCCTTGTCATCTCAGCCAAGTCGGCCGATATCCTCTCTCGATCTCTATGGGCCAGCTTGAGATTGTCGGTAACTGTATCCACCTCCCCCTCGAGGCGAATGCACTCCCGCGACTCGTCTCTCCAGGTCTGTACCATAAGATCATAGTTTTTCTGGAGCTCGCAGTGTTCTTTTTGGAGCTCCTCGTTCTTGCGCTCGACGCGGACACGCTCGGCGTCGGCGCTGGCGTGAGCCCGGCTGTACGAATCGCCAAGGCTCTTCAACTCGGCCTCTCGAGCGGCGGATTCGCGTTGCTGCTCCTCCAGCTCGGCGATGCGGGACTCCAACCCCATCGCGGCCAATTTGCTATCGGCCAGCTCCGCCTGCAAACCTCGGGCTTCATTGAGCTCCTTCATGGCCTGCTCGTGTACGTCGACGATCTCGACCCCGGCTGTCAGTGGATGGATCATCTCGGCGTCCTCCGCCGCTATCAACGCGACATTGCGCGATGTCTGCGGCGATGGTGTGATATTGTCCATCTTGCGTTCTTTGCGGGCGCACGAAATACGTAGATAGATGTTGGTTTATTTTGCAGGTGTGGTGAACAATTTCTGGTGGGTTTGTCAACAAAAGGTTGTCGAAATTTAGAGAGGCTTGGCGAGGCGAGGCTTTGGGTGGAGTCGGCTTGTTTCCTAATTCGTGGGGCGAGCAACCTTCCAAGCACCTAACTCCATCTATTCGGACCGCCTACCTAACCTTAGGCATTGCCATCGGCAATCAAAGCACTAAACATGCTCGCTAGGTAACTAGCTGCCATTCAGGCGAGGCGCTGTGTTTGTGCAGTGGACGTTCCAGGGCTGTTGACAGAGGTGTCATCAAACAGATGAAAGTCCAGCACTTTTTGCTTGGTTTTGTGTCGGCTTCTCGCACAGACCCCTTTCTAGAGGGTCTAATATCGATCTTTGCAGTTGAGGCTCCCCCTCTTCCCTGAGCCCTTCAACAAGGAAAGGTCGAGGTTTCTCTATCAGAAACTTCATCCTTTTTTCCGCCTTTCCTTTACCTCTACTTTACCTTTTCCTTACTACCACCATCACCACCACTATCATCGACACCACCTCCGAGATGAGCTATTGACAAAATGGCTGGCAGTAAGAGAGACCAACGACGCCGCGAAGCTCGGCGTCGCCATGCTTCGCGGCGTAGCGACGACCAGCGCCGTGGGGATGGTCGTCCCTCCGAGGCCCGGACTCGCGATGATCAAATTGATCGTCCGGGCCAGAACCAGCACGGTCTCTTCGGTCGTCCTCTCGAGGAGGCCCACGATGGTGGAGCCGGCCGTCCTCAGCACGACCTGGCTAGTGTCCCGCTCCCACCACGCCGGCTGGGCGACCTTGGCCCGCCGCTCGGCCCGGCTCCCAGCAACGGCCTTGCGGGCAATCTCAGCCGAGAAGAGTGCCACAGAGCGGTGGACCGCGCATTCGCCCAGGCTCCGCCGGGCAGCACGGCAAAATTGCTGCAGCAGATGGACCACCCTGCCTTCGAGCGCCGCGTGCCTAGCCTGCAAAACATGAAGCCGGCTCCAAGGAATAAGCCCCTGCGCCAAGACGCCCTCCCCACTTGTGGCCTTTGCGGCCGCGAAGGCCACTGCATCGATATCTGCATCAAGGCCGGCCGTTCGGGCTTCGTCGAGGGTTGTCCGCGGTGCAACTCGGCGGACCACCTCGTCGACAAGCACATCCACAGCATGACAGCCACGGAGCGGTTCCGCTACCTGGTTCAGAACCGCGCCGGTCTCCCCCCCTTGGCCAGCAGACTCGTCGGCTGGCCGGAGCTCGTCCGGGGAAATCCCCCCTTGGCCTCCTCCTCCTACCCCTGGACTCGGGAGTTCTCCTCCGTCTTCTGGCGCAACCGCCGGAACGCTCGCCTGGCCGACGAGTTCAACTACACCACCAGGCGGCCCGAGCTCCCGGTCGACCCCCGCACGATGAACCGCGATACAGTTATCGCCTGGGCGTGGAACGACCCCGAGTCCGAGAAGTTCAAGTCGGCTTCCCAGATCCGACAGAACAGGGACGCCCCCAACCCCACCGGGGAGGAGCATTGGCTGTTGCAGGAGGAGGTGGAGGAGGAAGGCCCCTCTGGTGAAGGCTGCAGCTTCTTCGACGAGTTTGACATCGACCATTACATGTAATCCCAAGAGGGGTTATTGCTCCGGTCTTTTCTCTCTTTCTCTTCATAACAAAATCTCGCCGTATCACGGGTTCTGACGTCAGAAGTCTGTTCAATTGTTGTCATATGCGATGTATTCAACGTAATATTGCATGTGTCTATATGTGTTTTTTGCGTATGTGACTGTTTCTCTAGTAACGAAACTGCCTGTTTTTGTGCCAGGTCGAAAAATTGAGAAAGTTCATGCATGTGGTACTGTTGCTGAAATACAGGGTCTCTATACTCCAGAGCCAAGTACTAGGTCATACTGTAGCATGGATTATGGCATTTAGAATAAAATCCTACAGAGGCGGAGCGGAGAGCACAAGTTGAAGAAGAACCAGAGCAAACGACATCGGAGGCTAGAAGTGCTGGACCGATGCACAGACAGCGTCATTGCTGCCCGCAGACAGCTAGACCGAAGCGCCGAGGCTCGACCTGGGGCAGGACAAGTACCGCTGGTGTGGGGCACAGTGTGAAGGCGCTTAGCTGTTGTTTGCATTCCACTTACAAGCGAAATGGAACCGCAAATGGAACCGCAAATCATCGTATAGTCAATCCGAAATCCCAATTCTGTCCTTTCCGAGCCTATGCAGTGATGGCAGGTTGTCTTGAAAAGGGAGTGTTGACTACAGAGACCCTACTCTCACCCATACGCCAGATAGCAACCGGCTGATGGTTGAACAGCGACAATATTGACAGATACAACCTCGGTGCCTTGTGCAGCTTTGACATAGTTAGCTTCTTGGATAGCCCAGAATTTGGATCCTGTTTGTCGGTCTCGTTCGTCTTGGGTTGTTCTGTCCATAAAACTACTGTCGAGTCGGAGGATTTACCTTCATTCGCGAGGAAATTGGGGGTGTCTCCTCGACACCAAAGACATGCAGACGACAAACTGTTGGCGCCGGCAGAGAGGAGAGCAATGCCTCGCCTCTTTGGCTGATTGTGTCTGACACGCTGATGCAAATAGCAACTCCTTAGGCGATGCAGTCTGGCAACCTGCAGTAACTCGCAACGTAGGTATGCCGATAGAGACCTAGTCCGCTGAAGCTTCTCAGGAGCCTGAGGGGTCCAGCGCAGAGCGAGACAGGTCTTGCCGCAGAGTTTTGAAGGTGGTGCGAGGAAAGATTGAAGGACTGTGCCGTCTGGAACGATGGAGGGTGCGAGCAAGCCTTATCTAGTGTCTGTCGATGAGCAGCTTGATCCCAGGGCCGTATCAAGTCATTTCTCTTATTTTACCTATTTACTTGTCCGCACACGTACTATTCGAATTTCGTACACTACATATATGGATCATTACTAGGTGTCAAGCTGCAACAGCTGGTATCGCAGCGGGACCGTTCCGTCCGGCATCGCGTTCCCCGACAGTACCCGCGCCGAGCCATGGTGGGTTTCTTAGCTCCGAAGCAGGATCCGGTCGGGGTCTACTTATCTAGGCGGGGTTCCTCCCGAAAACGAGAGCATTATGAACTCTTCAGACACAAGCTGCTGACTCCGGATCCCTATTTGTTTGGTATCCTGCGATCTTCAATAGTTAGTCCCTTGATCTCACTCACTACATCGACGACCGCAATGGCAACCAAGCAAGAAGTCTCTACCAGCAAGGCGCCCGCCCCGCTCCCGCAGTTCTCGCAGGCGATCAAGCACAATGGCATGGTATACTGCTCGGGCAACGTCGGCCTGAGCCCGGAGACCAGGAAGCTCGCCGAGGGCGGTGCGACGGCAGAGGCTGTAAGCTGTGGTTCTCCCCCGCCAAGATCTACTCATCAGCATATCTAACTGTGACTCTCCCCCCTCCCCGCAACAGCGGCAGGCAATCGCGAACCTCAAGGCCATCCTCGAGGAGGCCGGGAGTTCCCTGGCCAACATTGTCAAGATGAACATCTTCATCACGACCATGGACGACTTTGGCGCCATCAACAAGGCCTATGACGAGTTCTTTGACAGCATCAGCCCCAAGCCGGTGAGACAGGAGCGAGTTTGTCGATCAATGTCAAGCATACGATAGCTAACATCATGAAACAGTGCCGTACTTGTGTAGCTGTGTATCAGCTACCTCTGGGAGCCAAGGTCGAGATCGAGTGCACTGCGTTCATGTAGGGTCAACGGGAAGGGATGGGCAATCGCAGAGTCCTGGATGTAGAGCAGGCAAGGAGCTGTAGAAAAGTGGTCTTCGCATCTCTATCTTCTCTGTCTTTGTGCGAAGCATCCCAAACATTATCTAAATCATGCCGTGAGATCTAGACTGAACATAGTCCATCAACTGCATCTCGGCTCCATCCCGTCCCGGTCTCGGCAGGATGCCGGTCGGCACTGTGCCCTGGCCCCGCAGCTACCTCAGTGGAAAGATGGGGGCAAATAGCCCGATCAAACTAAACTGGGGTAAAGCCATACCACCTATCGCTGGACATTGATTAACTAGCATCATCTCGGGCGAGCGCATGGGTTCCCCGACTTACCTAGGTCCATCAAAGGTAGTGTCGTCGTCCATTTTCCGATCCTCCTCCGGCCAGGCCATTCGTCTTGAATAAAAAAAAAAAAGTCGTGGCACCAGACTTCTCCAGGAATTTGCTTCCCCGGATTTCGATTTCTCTCCAATTGAGAAATTTTGGTTCATCTTCTGTTCCCGCGCTCGTCAGTAGGTTATCATCAAACCTCCCCGCATCCGAACCCCGATTGCGACCAGCCGGACAGTCAACTCCGCCACGCATTCTCCTCCCGCAAGGAGACATAGACAGTTCGAGGGAGAGCACGGGCAGCGCGACGCAACGCACGCAAACAGCCATGGCGCCCATGTTGACGGGCACCGAGGTGGCCAAGCACGACAGCAAGGACTCGTGCTGGGTCATCGTGCACGGCAAGGCCTACGACGTGACCGAGTTCATGCCCGAGCACCCGGGCGGCATGAAGATCATCCTCAAGTACGCGGGCCGGGACGCCACTGACGAGTTCGACCCCATCCACCCGCCCGACACGCTCGACAAGTACCTCGACAAGTCCAAGCACCTGGGCCCCGTCGACATGTCGACGGTCGCGCAGGAGAGCAAGGAGGCGGCGTCGCCCGAGGAGAGCGAGCGGCAGGAGCGCATCAGGAACATGCCGCTGCTGTCGCAGTGCTACAACCTCATGGACTTCGAGGCCGTGGCGCGGCGCGTCATGAAGAAGACGGCGTGGGGGTACTACTCGAGCGCGGCCGACGACGAGATCACGATGCGCGAGAACAAGGCGGCCTTCCAGCGCGTCTGGTTCCGGCCGCGCATCCTCGTCGACGTGGAGAAGGTCGACTTCTCGACCACGATGCTGGGCGCCCGGTGCGACATCCCCTTCTACGTGACGGCCACGGCGCTCGGCAAGCTGGGCCACGCCGAGGGCGAGGTGGTGCTGACGCGCGCGGCGCGCCGGCACGGCGTGGTCCAGATGATCCCGACGCTCGCGTCGTGCTCGTTCGACGAGATCGTCGACGCGGCCGAGGCGCCGCAGGTGCAGTGGCTGCAGCTGTACGTCAACAAGGACCGCAGGATCACGCAGCGCATCGTCGAGCACGCCGAGCGGCGCGGCTGCCGGGGCCTGTTCATCACCGTCGACGCGCCGCAGCTGGGCCGCCGCGAGAAGGACATGCGCTCCAAGTTCGACGAGCAGGGCAGCAGCGTGCAGAGCGGCGACGCGACGGACAACTCGCAGGGCGCGGCGCGGGCCATCTCGAGTTTTATTGATCCGGGCCTCAGCTGGAAGGACATCCCCTGGTTCCAGAGCATCACCAAGATGCCCATCATCCTCAAGGGCGTGCAGCGCGTCGAGGACGTGGTCAAGGCGATCGAGATGGGCGTCCAGGGCGTCGTGCTGTCCAACCACGGCGGGCGGCAGCTCGACTTTGCGCGCTCGGCGATCGAGGTGCTGGCCGAGACGATGCCCGTGCTGCGCGAGCTCGGCCTCGAGAACAGGGTCGAGATCTTTATCGACGGCGGCGTGCGCCGGGCGACCGACATCATCAAGGCGCTGTGCCTGGGCGCCAAGGGCGTGGGCATCGGCCGGCCCTTCCTCTACGCCATGTCGGCGTACGGGCAGGCGGGCGTCGAGAAGGCGATGCAGCTGCTCAAGGACGAGATGGAGATGAACATGCGGCTGATCGGCGCGCAGACGGTCGCCGACCTCAACCCGTCGCTCGTCGACGTCAAGAGCCTGCTGAGCCACGGCAACGGCGTGCCGGCCGACAACCTGGCGCGCTCCGTGTACGACCCGCTGGCGAACCCGCCGCAGCGGCAGTCCAAGCTGTGAAGCGGGGGGGGGGGATGTGCGGTGGGGGAGTATCTTGGACACGGGGGATTTCTCACGTCATTATTTGTATCAGCATTTTTGTTGTTGCGTTGGGTAGGCTCAAAGATACGGATCTAGGCTACGTGTTGAGGAGATGATGATGAACAATTGCGCAAGTCCATGCCCGATGGATGGAGCTGAGTGATTACGCCTGCGACAACACACCGCAAGCGGACTCGAAGCACATGTCTTGAAGATAATGAAACATGCAGTCGATATTGGTATGCATTGTGGTGTGTGGGCGTGATACCTGTCTGCCTATGAACGAGTTTCCCAGCACCGGCGGTGATGTGCTTGCGAACGCTAGTTCAGACGATCGAAACATGACGCCTAAGGAATGCCACCTCGGGTCTACAACGCCTTTTTAGTCTCTCTCGCTTGTTTCGAGACATGCATGCATCGAGAGACTAGAGACACACTGATCAGTGCTAAACAAACAGATTGCTAACGGTAGTGGCCGCATGGCGCTATCTTGCACCACGTGCACGTCAACTGGACCCATCGGCGATCTTGAGTGAGTACGGAGTCCTTGACTTGACTTGAGTGAACGATGGGGATATATCGCTCACCGATGAGCAAAAAACAAGCGCAACGCGGCAAGAAAGAGGCAAGGAGGCGGGAAGGGGGACTCTCATGAGCCATTTTGTTGATGCATTGAGCAGAAGCAGAAGCAGAAGTTGGGAGGGGCTGTGTTCACCCACCCACGGCAGGAGTGCCCCGTGGAATAAATGTCAGGGAGGCTCAGCTTACTTTATAGGTATATAATTATCATTCGCGACTGACTACCTCCTAATCAGCCGTCATGTGCCCTCGTGCTCCCTCAAACACGCATCTCGACAGCCCTTGCTGAAATCTCTGCTGCTTACACTTGAACATCCATCCTTTGCTTTTTGCTTTCCTGGCTTCTTTTCCTCCTTCTGTCGCTGGCGGGTGAGCTTGCGTGATTCTCCCAGTATTCCATCTAAACTTGGGCCTCGAAGCGATGACAGCATGAATGACAATAAACAACACCCCCTGTGACGATCGCCAAGGGCCACTAATTTGGGCTGCATCTTAGCGGCAGGGTTCCCCTAGCTGGGCATGCTACAGCATCCATCTGCCTCCGCGTACAGGCAACCCCCAGAACAACACCAGTGGGATTTCAGTGACCGGCCGAGGGGATAAAATCACCACCGACCCGTCCACTTTGTTGCTTTGCGCGCGACATCTTTCCCCGGACAGCTTTTCTGCGTACTCTTTCTCTTCTTCCGCTCCCTCCGCCCCCCTTTCCCCCTTTTTTTTCTTTTTTGGTCTCCCTTTCGCTCCAGAAGGGGGGAGCAGGGACTTGGCCATGTCGTCTCTGGAGGCCAAGATCGTCGTGGTCGGCTCGCAGGGCGTGGGCAAGACGTCGCTCGTCACGCGCTACTGCAGAGGCTCCTTCAACCCCTCGCAGATCACGTCGACCGTCGGCGCCAGCTTCCTGACCAAGCGCGTCGTCGACACCGACACCGACACCGTCGTGCGCCTGCAGATATGGGATACGGGTAAGCTTTTTTGCTTGGCGGTTTCCTTTTCCCCTTCTTTTCTTCAGGGTGGAGGGATGGGATGGGATGGGATGCAGGTCTCGGTGTGGTCGCGCGAAGCAGCCAAGCCCGCATGAAGGGTGTGATACACAGGGCAAGGCCGAATCTACATTACACAAGAAACCACCATGCTGACATGTTTGGGGGGGGCCCCGACGACAAACAGCCGGCCAGGAACGCTTCCGCTCCATCTCGAGGCTGTACTACCGCGGCGCCAACGCCTGCATCCTCTGCTACAGCATCACCGACGCCAACTCGTTCGCCGAGATGGGCATGTGGCTCACCGAGCTGCGCCGCAACCTGCCCGCCGACATCGTCCTGCACGTCGTCGGCACCAAGGCCGACATCGTCACGCGCGACCCGACCCGCCGCGAGGTCCCCTTTGAGCGCTGCATCGCCTACGTCGCCGAGAACCTCGCCCCCGGCGTGGGCTCCACCCCGCCGCCCACGGCCACCACGCCCCTCGGCATGCCGGGCTACTACGCCGGCGCCGGCGCGCCGACGCCCATATTCGGCGGGCAGAGCGCCGAGCCGCGGAGCCCCAGCTCCAAGCGCAGCTCCGGCTTCTGGGGCCAGGAGGTCGGCTGGGACGCCTGCCACGAGATCAGCGCCGAGAGCGGCGAGGGCGTCGAGGAGGTCTTCCGCGTCGTCACGCGCAAGCTCGTCGAGCAGAACCGCAAGCTGCAGGCCGCGCTGCAGGCCGCCGCCGCCACGCCGGGCGCCACTCCGCTCGGGGACGGCGTCGGCGGCGGCGAGGGCGGTGGCGGCGTCGGCGGCGGCGGCGGCTACTTTGACGGGGTGAACCCGAGGGGCAGCTTCCGCGTGGGCAGGGACCGCCGGAGCTGGCTGTTCTCGCCCAACTTCTCGCCCGCCGTGACCGTCGATCAGGCCGGGGCCGGCCCCGGCGATGCGGGACAGGAGGAGGGCAGCAACAGGAGGGGGAAGTGCTGTTGATGCGATGCGATACGGATCGTACCGCGAGTGGACGTATGATGGTCGGTGATTTCGGTGCGAGAGGCTTGTCGTGCCACGATACCCTAGGACGTTTCTTTTCCACTCTGTTTCTCTCACTCTGGAGCCCTGTTTTGGACCGGCCTGCTGGTGGATATATACCTTTCTTCTCCCGGGCCCTTTCATGTAACACTTTTGCCATATGGCGACAGCATTGTCCTTTTTTTTTTTTGGGAGGGCTGGCACAAAGGCTGGATGGGATTACTTGGCGTTATAGGGCATAGGGGGCTTCTCTTTTTTCCACGGCATTGTCAAAGATTCTTCATAATCAGGGTAGTAAAGGGGGCCGGCCTCACGAGGTACGAGACATTTTTGCATTATCGATCTGCTACGGTTGATTCTTCTGCTCAAGTTGCTATTCTTAGCGCTCCGCCCCTGAATTTTGAAATGGTAATAGAACAGTCTTGTGAGAGACCGGGAGTGCATGGATAGAGTGATGTTCATGTCGAAGACAATGCTCAGCGCAGGTAATAACAAGCAGTGTAAGAAAGAAATACAACACAGTGTAAGGGAGAAACACAACGCCACATCCTGCCGCGATTTTGACAGAATCAAAGGCAGATCCGAGCAATGTTGACGACTCATGGAGCTCAGTAGAGTAACGACATCACACCACCACACACCAACCATGCAACCCCTTTCTTAGTATCCACACGCACACACAGACGCACACACAGACGCACACACACTCCAACAGCACAGCTCAGTAAGAGAGGTCCCGGCCCGTGCTCGCCTCAACCTTGGCGACCATGTACCTCCGCACGGCGTCCAGGTCCCTGCCCACCATGGACTCGCGGAACGCGTCGAGGAACGGCTTCCGGTGGCCGGGGCCCGCCGCGCCCCAGAGCTCCCGCGCGCCGTCCTTGAGCGCCGCGCGCGGCGGCCGCGCGAACAGCGTGCCCTCGGCGGCCGCCTGCTCGCACCGGGCCTCCATCGCCGCGACGATGATCTCGCCGCCGTCCACCGGCGCGCCGAGCAGCGCGCCGCCCTCCGCGGCGTGGGCCTCGGCGCAGTAGGCGAGGTACTCGGCGTTGAGGGCGGCCGTGAAGAGCTCCATGCTCTCGAGGCTCGAGAGCTGGATGGCCTCGAGGTGGGCCGCCATGTCGGCCGGCAGGCTGCTGCTGCTGCTGGTCCCGCCGCCGCCGCCGGTGGTGGCCGAGAAGGCGCCGCCGCCGCCGAACCCGCCGGGGCTGTGGTTGTGCCAGACGCGCAGCTCCATGCACAGGTCCCAGGCCTCGGTGGCGCGCGACGCGGCGTCGGGCACCAGGGGCCAGCCGACGCGCGCGAGGCGCTCGGCCGCGTGGGCGCGGTAGTAGGCGCTCGTCGAGGGGTCGCGCAGCAGGGCGCGCAGCGAGGGCAGCCAGGCGGCCACGGCCTCGGGGACGTCGCCCGCGCCGCGGGCCATGCGCACCGTGTTGGCGCAGAGGCGGTCGATGGGCTCCGGCGAGGCGGTGGTGCGGAAGGGCGTCGCCGTGCGCGGGCGGAAGGGGTTGTAGTGCTGCACTGGGTGGGGCGCCGGGGCGATGCCGAAGACGGATGAGGAGCTCGGGAGGAAGGTGAGGAAGGGCTGTTGCTGTTGCTGCTGCTGTTGCTGCTGCTGTTGCTGTTGCTGTGAGGGTTGGTGGGTGGTGTAATAACTGGCAGGAATGGGGGCTGCCATGGTGAGAGGTGCTGGAGCAGAGAAATACGGCTCAAAGGGGACGGCGTTTTGGAATCCGGGGCCGACGGGCTGGTTCAGGGTCGGGAAGACATTGATTCCGGGTACTGCTGGGTTGGCGTACGCGGCGGTGGGAGCCGACGGCGGCACTGAAAACAGGGGACCCGACGGCGCGGACGCGGTATACACTGGCGAGAAGCTGGCGCCCAAGGCGGAATGCACTCCCAGAGGAGTGAGGCCAACAGAGGCTGACCATGACGAGGATGGGCCTGTCTGGTGCGCCGCGCTGTCAGTGTCGGGATCACCTTGGTTGTCTGATGTCGACTCGTCCGAGGAAGAATACTCCTCCTCCTCCTCCTCCTCCTCCTCCTCCTCAGGGACGTCAGTCTCCTGCTCCTGGCCTCCGACGTCCGCTGCGGCACGGTTGTCGGCCGGAGTCATCATGTATTGATCGTTCTGGGGCATCATCGAACCTCCCTGTCCCACGGAGAGGATACCCTGACCCACGGTTGCGGCCTGAACGGGCAGGGATCCCTGATGCTGTGGTGGCTGCGGGCCCACGAAATAGACGTGATCGTCCGACGGCCTGTTCTCCCGGTTCCAAACCAGGTACTCGTTCGTTTGCGTCCAGGGGTTGAAAGGGTTCTCGGCATCGGCGCCGTTGTTCGGAGGTGGCGGTGGAGCGGCCGAGGGCTGTGTGGCGCCAAAGTTGGGGTTGACCGAGACCTGGTCTCCGAATCTCTCCCTGAGAGCTGCGGTGCTGCGCATGAGCGAGTCCATGGCTTCGCGGAGGGCAGCCTCGCCGCCCTCCCCGGACACGGGGTGCGGCGCCGGTGCGGTTGCCGGCGCGGATGAGAACATCGAGTTCGGGTTTGGGATCGAGGCGCTCGGGGCAGTCGACGATGCGAAGTACTTCTCGAAATCCTGCTCCTGCTGGTCGGGCTGCTCCGTGTCCTCCTGGAAGGACTCTAGGTCTCGCTTCCGTGCAGCACCTGCTGCTGTGTCGCCTCCGTCCTCGCCCTCGTCCTCGACTGTCTCTCCATCCGCAGCACCGTCCCGCGAGCTCTGCTCTCTCGCACTTGGGCCGTCATCCACTTCCTGTCTCATGTTTGTACCGGCCATCTCCACCGGGTCATTGTCCGGAAACGCCCTGACCAGCTCCCGGAGTTCCTCCTTGGTCAGCGCCCGCGGGGTGAATCCCTCGGATGCGCCCCATCCCATGGGCCTCGGCATGACTTCCACGGTTCGAGGATGTCCACGGGGCTACCACAGGTATGTTGGTTGTAATTACCCCTCTTCTTTCTGGAGTCGAGTGGGAAAATTCGAAGTATGGTTGAACTTTTTGCTGGGCGGATAAAGCTGAGATGATGCTCAAGTTGGGATCGTGGGGGTGGTGAGCTGAGAAGCTGAGAAGAGCTGCCTGGGTTGGGGGAAAGCTCCTATTTATGTTGATTGGGAGAGGATCGGTTGAGACTTGAGATGAATTCTGAGAAAGATATCAGGCCGTCGCCACCAACGATATCAAGTGGATTTGTTTTGAAAGTGAGTAATTCCTGAGAACAATCTCAAGTCGAAGGTTAGCTCGCAGTCACCTCCAGCCGAAATCAGATCAGAGGAAACCCTTGACCCTTTTCGCAGTTTGCAAAGAATTCACCTTTACAGATAGTAAAGATGTGAAGAGATCTTAGATGTACTAAGTCCACAGTCAAAGAGAATCAGTGATCCAAGCGCAAAGGGTCAGCTGCTCTCAATATGTTTGCCTTTCAAAAACCATTTATGGCCACAAGCCAAGACGTAACTCGAGGACAAGGACTCATTGCATTTGGAGACGGTAAGCCCAGGTAACCTTACTCTACGAATCCATGGTGCTATTCAATGAGTCAAACCTCCCTCATCCCCTTTAATAGCTGACACCCATAACTCTCCCCCTCCTTCGTCCTCGCCATGACACCACTTATAACTTCTACTACTTATTTCTAAAACCCTCTTTAATAATACTTTTTGCCTTTGTCTTAACCAGCTCCTATTCAAACCATTCAATACCCAAACAAAACGACCAAACCGTGCACCAACGACTCAGTCATGCCCACCGCATACGAAAACCCGCGAACCGTCCACACCACGCTCAAGAGGCAGAGGAAAACAAAGCCCACAGCGAGAACATATCTCCAGCAGTCTCCCCAAGTTGAGCTCCCGTCACTCAATCTCCTCCTCAGGGGCGAGTACACATCGAAAACAGGGGAGATGTGCCGCCAGTACCCGAACACCAGCCTGAACAGTGATACAAGTACTCCCAGTAAGACAAATCTAACCATGTCTTGGGCTGAGCCTGCCTTTGACCTCTTGAGCTTCCCTGCGGTGTTTTGGATGTCTTTGATGGCGTGGAACTTGTCGCTCAGTTTCCTGATCATTCCGAGCCTTGACCTGGGAAGCAATTCGATTGGCTCGATGTTCAGAGGGGCTGGCTGGTGCTTCTTGATATCGTCTCGTGCTTGGCCCGGGGTTGCCTGGAGAGCCGTCCTTGCTGCTCTTTCCGCGATCGCCTTGTCTAGATTCCCGCCTTGACGAGGTTCTGACTGGGGTCTTGGACAATCGGGGCTGGCAGGGAACATAGACATGATTGTGGGTGACAATTTTCCCCTTGTCGCTACCGGATGGATCATTGGCACAGTATGGTGTCGAGAAGCTCGGGGAGATAGTCTCTCGCTCCGCAGCTTGGTATCCTCCAGCAGGCGAACCGACGTAGTATCTTCGGTAGGTATTGCGGGAGGCGCGTCTTGTCCCTTCGGCGATGATCTCGGTATCGGTTTCCGATGGAAAAGGCGAGAAAGCGTCATGTTCTTTGTTTCTTGCTCGCCTGATACTGCCGAGATCTCTCCCGACAGGGGTGTCACTGGTCCTTCGGCGATGCCTCCCGCTCCGTCGAAGTTGTATAGAATCTGGCTCGGCCGACCGTGATCGGATCCAGTAGTGGTGGTGATGTGTGTGTAAGCAGACTCTTCCTCGTGACCTTGAGCGGTGGGTGCGTTCAGCCAGATCTCTGGTGGACTGCCCAGAGGCCAGCTCTGGGGCTCCCGGGGTTTGACTTCCTTCTGCTGGCTGGGCTTTGGCGGGCTCAGGTCTACCAGTTTCTCTGTCGATTTCTGATATTCCAGGTGAGGGTCTCCGAGGTTTTGGACCAACTCTTGGAAGAACGTCTTCTCCCTGCTCCGCTTCGGTGTTGGCTCCCAAAGGTTTGGGCCTGAGGCCATGCTGTCGCTGATCTGATGATGGCTCGTCTGCGGCTTTTCTTGGGACAGGTTTTCGAGATATTCCAATCCTTGGTATATTGGATCGTAATCGCCCATCTTCGCCACCACTGGCGCCCGAGTCGTTCGTTGGCGATCGTTGGTTGCGACTATACGATCTACATGTACGGATGGCAGAGATTTCCACTGGGTGTGGATAGGCGTGGCTCTCTCCTCGTTGCGCTTGAGGATCGGGGCTGGCGTTTGCCTCGCTCCTCCCGGATCTATGCGCCTGGAGCGGTGCTGCCCTAAAAAAGAATGCTGGTCCCGGGCTTGGGTCGGCACAGCTGTCATCCCTGTGCTTCTAGGAGACCTCATGGACGCTTCTGGTGATGGCATGCTTCGCACCCCGGGAAGAGGGTCGGATTGAGGTTCCCGGATGGTTCTGCCATCATCATGCGGCGTCCTCGTGATGTTCTCTTTGTCGGTGGGCGAGGCCATCACCATATCTCTCAGTTCATCTGCCAGCGAAACCTCGCCACCGGCATTTTGCCTCGAAGGAGTACGGACGACTGTGTCCGAAGATGCTCGCGGGACCTCATCAGTCGACGTCGATATTGGAGAGGGTCCGATTTGGACCGAGTTGGCCTTGGTGAGGACAGACTTGAGCAATTGCGGAGGCGCTGCTTCCACGCCCTTTCCTAAGCGCTTCAAGTTGTCCGAAGCTAAGAATATGGTCAGTCCCGCGTGTCACACATGGGCTTGTGAGCTTACACGACGTTCCAGTTCCTTGAGATTGCGCAATAGGGCTTAGGTTAGGCTCTGCGACGGACGACCACCGCGCCTCGTCCTTGCGCCATCTGACCTGTCGCTGCTCGACCCTGATGACGTCCTTTTGACGCTGGGCTTTGTCGTGTTTGTCTTGCTCGTGGGCGGCTTGCGCTCTTTGAACCTCTGCTTTATGCTGGCTCCTGGCTTCTTGATAAGCTTGCTTGGCCGTCCGGACATTGTTGGCCGAGTTGGTGAGTGCAGCAGTCATGACAGGCGGAAACAGGGTCGGGCTTTCGGAGCTGCTGGTCGGGGTAAGAACATCGAGCTCTCCAGTTTGTGGGTTGACACCTTGCACTCCCAGGTAGTCGCCGCTTGCCTTGAGCTCTCGCCGCTGACGGCGGGCTTCCTTCCTGTCTTTGAATATCTTGACTGTATCGGATGTTTCACTTATCTGTGCAGCCGTAGACATGCCTCCGCCTGCAGTTGGGTGGCCCCCCAAGGGTGACTGCAGAAGAGCAGACGGACGGCCAGCCCCTGGACGATTGGGCGATGTTGCTTGAGGATGCCAATGAACCGCAGTGGCCGGAGGATGAGGGATCAGAGGAGAACCGTCTCTCATGTTTACCCTTGGCCTCCGTACAGTCTCGTGCCGTCTGGGCAAGTCTTGAGCCAGGTTCCAGTTGGTAAGAAAATTGTCGTCAGCCCCTTTGGCCTCGGCAGTCAGATCCCTGTCAGGAACACCCTGCCAGTCATCAACCTTGGTCTCCTAGAAACCGTGATTTCGCAGAGTGCCGCCTTTCTCGGGCTTCTTGCTGGGGAAGAGCCGGGTGATGAATCCGGTAAACGAGTTTGACCGCTTCCGTCCGAAGCCAGGACGCGGACTTGGAACGGGTGTCCCGGCTTGGGCCTGGGTTGACAGTGACCGGGAGTAGCCGTGTTTCTTTGACGGCGATGGCATGCTGAGAGCTCCGGATGAGTTCGCGATAAAGCGACGAGCGGAAATGAAGACTTGGAATGATATAATCTTGGCGGAAGCCTCTGCACTGGAGATGGTGATCCCGGGCAACTTCAAACAAAGGAAAGACGAAATGCATCCACGAAATAGATTGAGAGGAAAGCATCAGTCTGCTGGTAAGGAAAGAGCATACGTTGCTTCTTCGGCATGCCCAGCGGTGGAAGGAGCGAACATGAAAATAGATAGATCACTGGGCAACCGCTCCAGATGGAACAGGCGACCTGGTGAGAATTTGGTGTATTTTAAGAAATATAACGAATGCGGCCTCGCAGACTTATGTACAATGCGATATTACAAGGAAGTAACTAACCACCCGGTAATCCACCCGTTAAACGCCATACAAGTGCGGACCAAAGTGACATTGGGTATTCCCTCCTCACCACCGCGATGGAAACCGCTCCCTCTCGAACCTGTTCACATTTGGCCGAGCTGCCACAAACGGATTTGCGCTCTGCAACGGCAGGGGCTGCTCCGGGGCGACCGATCTGCGGATCGCGGAGCCCCTCTCCTTCAGTGGGCTGGCCCGCCGCTGCATGCGCTCCGTCAACTCCCTCTGCTCGATGGCGGCCAGCTCGCGCGAGTTGCGGGGCGACAAGAAGCCGCCTGCATCGTTGATGTTGCCCATACTAGTGGTCTTCTTCAACGGCGAGTTGGAGTGGGTAAAGACGCCCATGCTGCCTCCAAAGTTCGTGCTTCCCGTCGTCATCGATGAGGGGATACCGCCACTGGCTGCTGGAGCTGCTGCTGCGGCGAAGTTGGGTGGCGTGTGGACCGGGAAATTCGGGCGTGGCTTTGTAGACTGAGTTGTAGTAAAAGAATCCGAGTATCGCGACCTGGTTGCAGGGGTGAAAAGGCGGCTGTTCAGGGCCGGGTTGGCCTGTACTGAAGAGCCCGTGGTGCTGTCTCCGAGGTGAGACACGTAATTCGGATTAGGATGCGTTTGGAAACCGCGCCTGATGATGGTCGTCGGAGTACCCGACTCGACCGTATCACCCTCGTGATCCTTGCTGTCCATGGAAACCTGGGTCGACACATCCCTCACGACTGGGTTCAGCCGCGGATGGACAAACTTGGTGTCATACTCACGCATGACTTCCTTTTGAATGAGAGCAGCGTCCTTCTGCCTCTGGTCGTTCTTCGACTGGAGGAGATGGACCATGAGAGACAGCCCAGCCTGGAGCACCACGCACTTGAACAGCGTCACGCTTGGTCGTGGGGCCAAGGGATCAAGCGGCAGCTCGAACATGTACATCAGGACATGCAGCGGGCTGAAGTATCCGAATATCTGCAGACAGGCCGGCCAGGGGTCCCACACCGCGACCTCCCACACATCCCGCGTGCTGTCCGGATGCGCACGGGACTGCGCCGTCTCGGAACCAATCGCGTCTGCGATCAATCGGAGAGGCGAGGACGAGACCGGCGAAGACTGCACGCGCACTCTGTGTGCGGATGGCGTTCCCGGCTTCTGTTCGACATTGGCTTCGAATAGTCGATAGTGGCGCGCCGACCAGAAAGTCCACAGGGTGTTTCCGAGCGAGAAGGCAATAAGGATCCAGACCCATGTCTGCGCCTAGATATTTGAGGATGAATTAGTACGCGTGCAGAAAGCGCAGCAGGACAGAGAGCCAGGCCCAGACTTACCGCGTATGCCCAGCCGCTCCCAGTTGAGTCGCTGAAGACATCATCTCCACTGGTCGAGGCCCTCGAGTTCGCCCTCGCGAGTAGAAAGGTGAAGTTCGCAAAGAGACCGAATCTAAAGCCGGATTCCTTCGAGTCCAGCTCGCGCGTCTGTATCTCCTCGGAAGCCCAGAGCAGAAAGTCGGAGATATTCAACATATCCCTAACCCGCTCCATCAGCGGCCTCTGGCGGACACGTTTCGGCGGCATCGTGGATGGATCTCTGTACTGTTCTTTCACACAGGGTACATATCACGTGGTGTTCCTTGTCGTTCCGGAAAGGAGAGGTCACGGTAGACAAGAGGCTGGGTCGGACTTTTTAAGAGCGCCGATGCTCCTTGATCAGGTATGAGGTCGAACAAAGGAATTGTTTACTTCCAGTTTCTGTTTGTCGAAATTCTGCCGCCTGAGGAACGGGAAGCAAGACAGGGGTAGCTCGCTAGCGGGGAACGGGACACAGTGGGCGAGCCTTATCGATAGCGGGGATTCAGTGAGTGACGAAGCGTCCACGGTGCTTGGGAGCGCTCCACACTTGCTAGCCGGAGCTCTCATCAGTGAACGTCAAATCGTCGACACTGCCCTCTTGATCATACCAGTCTCCCACCTCACCACCACGAATCGATTGACGATCGGCACACAACGCGGAATCATCCGATACAGGAGGGTCCGTTGAAGATGGCGTCACAGGCAGATTACAAGAACAGAGAGTTCCTAGCCGTCATTGGCGACGAGGTACGGGTTGCCTCCCCAGGACGGCTCGACGTTTTGCTGGCATCGCATCGCTGATATTGCCGCACTAGGACTCCGTGACGGGCCTTCTTCTAGCTGGTATTGGTGTAAGAGCGCCTCTTGAATCACGGAGGCACTGTTTGAAAGGCTCACACAGCGGATCAGCACGTAACACCGGCGCCCGATTCGCAGAAGAACTTCCTGGTCGTGGACGGCAAGACCGACACGGCTGCGATCGAGTCGGCGTTTGACCGATTTACTACCGAGCGCAAGGATATTGGAATTGTCCTCATCAACCAACATGTGAGCTGTTCTGTACTCCTCGCTGCGACATACGTCGTGCTAACCCAAGCATCGCAGATTGCCGACAAGATACGGCATCGAATCGACACATACACGGCTGCGTTCCCGACGATTCTAGAGATCCCTAGTAAAGACCATCCTTACGATCCTGAGAAAGATAGTGTTCTACGCAGAGTCAGACGCCTGTTTGGAGAGTAAATCGAGTTCGAGGGGTGAAGTGGACAAGGTTGCATCCGTGGTGCGATATGCATATCAGCATTGCGACCGGGGCAGACGCCCGGTGAGAGATTTCCTTGCACAAACTAGGTAATGCATCAATCTCAAACGAAGCGGGCATGGAAATTCAATGTGCTCCAGTGATGAGGATGTATTTAGAACCGGTAGAGCTATGACAATTACCAATGTGCTTACAGACGACGTATGCTTCTCAATGCTGGAACCAAGAACGAGTAGTAAAAGAGGGAAAGGAATCTGAACGCCACCAAAGAGGAAACAGAGAACAACAGGGCGATGCTACAAAGCAATAGCTAAATCTGAACAAGGTCTTGCCCCATCTGCATTCAAGGATCGCTCTCGTTATGACATCTACAGCTCAATCTCAAGAGGAGTGGACTTGGCGCTCTTGTCCTTGCGGCCAAAGACGACTTGGGCGGTCAAGCAAGTGATGGGTTTGTCGTCCTTGTCGTAAACATCGGCAAGGACGGTGTATTTTCCCTACGAGGTCGGTCAGTAAATGCGGGAATTCTTCCGAGGTCGGCACGGCAATGTTACTCACAGGAGGGATCTCCTTGGGCAGCTCGACCGACTTGGTTATGGAGAGAATGCCCTTCTCGATGGGGCACTTGAGGTCCACATTCTGGATCTGCTCGCAGAGGTCGGCCGTCGTGCTGATAAGGCGGATGAGGCCGTACTTGACTGAGAGGTTGACATAGGCGCCTTCCTCGATGGTCTCGAAGACGGTGCCGGTAGCCTTGATGACGAGGTCTGCGCCACTAGATTCAAGGAGGGACAAGTTAGTATCAATATCAACATACGATCTGACCCTGTCTAGGATACCAAGAGGTGATACATACGCCTCGGGAGGGTTAGGTAGCAGGTCGACTCTCGTGATATCGACAAGGTCGTCGCTGTGATCTTTGTCGCAGAGCTCGAGCGGAGAGTCACCCGGCACCTTCAAGTCCTCGTTGGCTGTGACAGCATCGTTGCCAAAGAAGCTCAGGCCCTGGGCCGTGGAGAGCAGAGCGGCGATGGCGATACCGTACTTCATTGCGAAAGCGGAGAAGCGCGCGGGCAGAACTAGTGCGATGACGGTGTTTGACAAAGGGTTCAACCTCGTGTGGAAGCGAGGCGGTGGTTAAAGACGAAAACGGTGTCGCAAGTCCTCCTCTTTGGCCGTGAGATGGCTTGTGACGTGGTTGCTGCGGTGGTAGAACGGAGGAGAGAGGTTGATTGACTTGGGCTGTGTCTGGGTGGCGGTGGTTGGTTGAGAGGTCATCCAGACCGCCCACGCACGTCATGGGGTCACGCCTATTTGCCAGGGGCCGCTAGGCTTCCAGTCCGGTCGCTTCAGCCAAGCTTCTTATCGACACACAGTGCATTTTCACTGTAGCACACTGTCCTTCCGGTCACGGCTTCCATTCCTTCTAGGCGTGTCTTTCTACTCATTCCATTCCAGATGTCACTGACTTCACTCAACCATCTACGCCTGCATGGCTTCGCCAGCAGAGGATCTCCTGATACCTGTCTCTGAGTATCAACATACTGTCGGGATGTATATTTGCTCTATTGTTGTCCTTGAAAAGCCAGCACCACCTGTTCCGTTTGCGCCATCTTCATATCCAACCGAGTCCAGAAAGACAATGCAAACCATACTGTCAGATTTTCCAGAGAAAACATGGCGGTGATAACCCTGGCCTCAGCAGTAGTGTTCTTTCGCTCCAGTTTATGCTGGCACTGCTCAAAACCCATCGGCTTCATTTGACCCTCCTGCGCGCGTTCCTGGCCTGTGGAGATGGCATTCTTCCCATCCCTCAACTCGCCAGCTGTACTTGCAGTGGCGCTTTTCTCTGGTCTATGAAAGATTCATGACCAGCAAGGGTCCAAGACTTGCAGACTGTGCGCCGTCAACTGGACATCGGGAGCTAGTCAAGTCGCCGCCAATGATCTGAGAACGGTCGAAACTGCAGGCATCGTCCTCGAATGGAACTCGTGATTGTGCAGTGTTAGACTCGACCCCGAGAACTCCTCAAGCTGGGGCCGCCGCCGCCGCATCTGCCTCCGGCATCGCGATCGGTGCCTGCGCTCCCGGTGCCATCGGAGGAGGCTGCTCAGCCTGCTCTATGACCTTCTTTTGCTCCTCCGGGCTCATGGCGTCGAAGGCTGCCACATCCGCATCCCACTTGTTGACGCAATCCACGTTCCAGTTGCAACGCTCAACCTCACCATAGACGGGGTGTCTGAATCGAGGGTGCTTGCTCGGCCAGTTCGATGCATGGTAGTGGTGCTTTACGAGTGCGCCTCTCGAGTTGTGGTTCCCGGAATCCGAGTGGCCTTGTCCAGCTGCGAACGCTTCGACGTTGAGGATCAGGACTCTGCTCACAATCTTCGACTCATCTAGATCGTGGAAGTTGTTCCAGGTGATGGTTGGGCCGTGGGTCTGCGCGTTCATCTGCTCGATGATGGCAGCCGTGAAGGCGGATGGGCCAGTGCCGCTGATCACCTCGTCGAAATCGAGCTCGACTTCCGAGATGGACACCTTTTGCTTCGCGGCGATGTCGCTCAGCCACGACATGATGTTCTCGATCAGCTTCATCATGACAGGCAGGCGCGGTTTGGCCATAAAGGTCCACTGGCAGAAGGACTCGGACTTCTTGCCAAGGATATGATGGTTCTTGAACATGGGCTGGTCGATCTCAACACCGATCACCATGTCGATATCCTTCTCGTCGTAACGTTCGGGGATGAATCTCTCAACAGGCTTGAGGTCTTCGACGTCGATATCCGCATAGACACCTCCCTCGGCGTACATGATCATGTAGCGGAGGAGGTCCGCCTTGATGATGGTCAGATTGATAGCCCGGTACATCTCGACAATGTCGGGTCTGTCGAAGCCGTCAGGCCCAAAGTGCTGCTCCACGTATGACATTTCGTTGGTATCAGTCAACACCTCGTATCGATAGTCAGGGTTCTTGGCGGTCCACGTCCTGGCAGTGACGGAGTCCCGCTCTTCCATGTGGAACGGGTCAATCCTCCAGGTCTGCCATATCTTCTTTGGGAAGTACAAGGTTGTCCCCAGGTCTGGTATTTGTCGGCGGTGGGACGAACCGCGTTTGTGAAAGGTGCTTTTGGGCTTGGGCAGGCCACCGAAGAGGTCCGCATTGAGTAGGATGAGGAGCATGACCAAGCAGCCCAGATAGAGTGGGATGCCTCTTCGCATCTGGGTCGGGATGCGATTTCGAAACGCGGCTGTCGAGGCAGCAAGCCTCGGCGAGCTGAGTGGTGAGGCCATCTCACTTTTCATCCGGCGTTTGTCACCTGCAGAACCTCATGGACGAACTCGACAGGAGGAGAGCACGAGTACGAGAAGGCCAGAGGATAGAAAATGAGGGTCGGGTGCAACACTGCGAGGTATTTACAAGCTTTTGGACCTGGGATCGATCATGCGGAGACATCGGGGCACCACACCGGTTCCCCAAGCCCAGACTTATCAATGCTTTTTCATCCTCTCATCAAAGTAGCGGAGCCGAGTGGAACGATTGCAAGCATGTGGATAGGGGCGTTCCCAGACCCGGGAAGGTCCAATGGTACAGTTACAATCTCCTCATCCCAGAAGATCGCGGGTTGCAGTGTTCGTCACAAAACTCCTTTTCAACCCTGGCTTACACCAGACCCCCCGGCCTGTTTGGAAATTCACGCCCCTCCCCACACACCCCCGAACGTCTCCGCACCCCACCCCAGCAATACTCCAACACTAAACCGCCTCCAGTAATCGCCGATGCGGGTTTACCAATGAATTAAGCAGTGTTTTGAAAGCTTGGTGTTCGATCCTAGCAGCTTCGATCGTGACTGGCTGCCCGGCCTTTCAGCGCTGAAGAGGGGGCTCTCGAATCTGCATAGCGTTTCCCAACCCCTCACACAACTCACGAGGATGAGCCGCGGAACAGCCGCGCCGATCGCCAGCCCAAACCCTTGTCTGGCTGGACTAGGCGCAGGCAGGCTGTTGGTTGGCAGTCACACATCTTGCATGTGAATCCAACGGCGCGCGCAAAAGGCGCAGAAACTGGCCGGCGGGTCCTGCAAAACTGGCCGGCATCCCCCGGAACAGCGACCGGGGTAGCCAAGCTGGGCAACTTCTCGCTGGGCGATCTTGCCCAATACAGGCCAGTGCTTGAATCCACCCCTCAAAGGACTCGTCAACGTACCCACCACCATGGCCAGGCTTACAGGGCCCCCTGCCTCGGAGATGCTGGTCGAACGGTTGCTGGCTTGTGAAATCCTGCCTGATAATCAGGTCCTGCTCTCGGGGCTCCTGGTCCACTGTAGGGGAAATTGAGGGTTGATCAGAACTTCCCAGAGACAGGGTGCAAACTCAATCTCAACTGTTCGGACACTCGAACACCCGGCCTCTGTGTAAAGACCTCTAGGACATGAAGGCAGGCTGCACACTCTTTGTTGACAGCCTCCCATTAGAGCCCTGCTTGGTTTCATCTCCTCGCTCAGAGTGTCGATATGGCTCCCAACCAGCTGGGCATCCTTGAACAAGGCGAGTGGGAAGACGTTCAGGTCAAGTCCGACTGGAAACCAGACTGGAAGCCCGCCATGCCGACTCGACTACGGAGGCTCAGTCCCGGTCGCGTCAAATCGTGGTTCTGGCCAAGGTCGACTGGGTGCGGTTCACAGCAGCTGAGGCCGACAGCATGGCTCGACGGCCTCAGGGGCTTCGCGGCCTTTCTCGTGTACTGGCAGCACCACGAACTTTGGGCCCACGACTACGACACGGAGAACCCCATCTTTGAGAATGCGTTCGGCTACAACAAGAAGTTCTACCTGGTCAGCTTTCCCGGGATCCGATTGCTCTTCACGGGCGGCCACTTCGCTGTCGCCATCTTCTTCGTCATCTCCGGCTACGTGCTCTCCGCCAAGCCGCTCAAGCTCATCCACGATGGCGAATTCCTGAAGCTGGGCGACAATGTGGCATCGGCGCTTTTCAGGCGGTGGTTCCGCCTGTATCTGCCCATCATCTGCACGACGCTGGTCTACTGCACAATGTGGCATGCCTTTGGCATCTGGGTCAGCAATGCCACGGCCAAGGGCAGCTGGCGCGAGGAAGTCTGGGCGTGGTATGCCGAGTTCAAGAACTTCAGCTTCGTCTTCAACAGCGGAGGGCTGCCGTGGTTCTCGTACAACGTGCACCTGTGGTCCATCCCGCTGGAGATGAAGGGCTCGATCGTCGTGTACACTGTTGCCCTGGCGATATCGCGGTGCACGAGGAACGCCCGGCTGTGGGTCATGTCGGGCCTGATCTTCTACTTTCTCTACATCACCGACGCGTACTACTGCGCGCTCTTCGTCGCCGGCATGTTGCTCGGGGAGCTCGACCTGCTGGCCAAGAAGGACGAACTGCCGCGCTTCCTGGCGAGGCTGGAGCCGGCCAAGGAGTTCATCTGCTGGCACCTCTTCGCCGTCGGCATCTACCTCGCCGGCGTGCCGAACCAGAACGACAACCTGGACCAGCTGAGGAAGAACCGCGGGTGGTACTACCTGTCCTTCCTCAAGCCGCAGGCCGTCTTCGACTACAAGTGGTTCTACCTCTTCTGGGCGGCCATCTTTGTCATCACGGCGACGCCGCGGATCCGCTGGGTCAAGCCCTTCTTCGAGACGCGCTTCTGCCAGTACCTCGGGCGCATCTCGTACGCGCTGTACCTCGTGCACGGGCCCGTGCTCTCGACGCTCGGCGAGCGGCTCTACATGGCGGCGGGCTGGCTGGAGTGGCGGGCCAAGGAGTACCTTCCCGGCTGGCACAACAAGTTCCCGCTCCCCAGGGTGGGGCCGATGGGCCTCGAGCTGGCTTTCTTGCTGCCGCATCTCGTCTTGCTGCCGCTGACCTTTTGGGTCGCCGAGATGGTGACGCGGTTCGTGGACGAGCCGAGCGTCAGGTTCCCCGCGTGGCTGTACAGGAAGGCCACGGGGGCGGAGAAGCAGCCGCAGTTGGCTGTGAAGGAGTAGTAGAGATATGCCATCCAGCAATAATTACAAGCGTGTTCTTTTCGTGCACTTTTTTCTGTTGTTGATGGATTGTGAAGTGGTCTCTTCGCCACAATCTTTGCTGCTTTGTGTTTGACAGCTCTCTCCCTTGAGAGACATGATTTGACCGTGCAAGTAGCCACACGCAGCTAACGACGCCGTCTTCTTTCTACGTCCTTTCTGCCTTCTTTCCAACCTTCTAAATCCTCGGCGCTCTCTGTAAGGCCCATTAGAGGCCGTGTGGCAATTCTCTGTGTCTTACCTAGAACTAGGTCCCGTCCAGCTTGCCGTTGTCGCACACTAGACAAGAGACGGTCCTTTTCTTCCCTTCTGAAGGGGTTCATGGATGGTTCGGCCCCGAAAGCTTGGGTTCGCTGCTGAGCTGAGACATTGGGGTAAGAATGGGTTTCACCCGAGGACCAATGTCTGTCTGGCAGATCGACGTGCGGCAACGGCAGCTTCTCTCTTCTCGCTGTTATTCGAAAGAAAAAAAAAGACCCGATGTTCGATCTGATTGGACCCGCCGGTGTCCAGCTTTCGCGTCGGTCTGTTCTGTGAGTGCGAGTGCGTGGCACGCGAGCCTTTTCAGTTTGGAAGGCCTTCGGGCGACCTTTGCACAACGAGTTTTGCTGCCGGACGGGTTAGATCGACTCACCTACCTAGCGCTTCACTCAAGTCTTCTCTTTCCACTCCATCACCGGTCTCTACAAAGAGAAGCAGATCCCACTAGTCCATCATTGATGACGTCTGGCTTTCTACTTCGAACCCGTAGCGGCCCTTTCATATCGGAGAGTTTCCCTCACCACTCTTTTCCCCTCGTCGACCCCCCCTTCGTTAGCCTCCCGGACGACCTGCCAACTCGGGAATGTGGATACCGGTAAACGGCGCTCGTTTAGCGGCATCTCAACTCCTACCACTCAGAACAGAGAAAAACACCCCGGCTCGGCGGGAAATGCAAGCCACCCACCCACCCAACCACACAGACAAATGCAGGGGTTCCGTTTACAAGAGAAGAATGTCATCCGCTACTGTAAGTGGTCTTCTTGTGCTTCCTTGCAAAAAAACAGGGAAACCAAGAGCTCTTGGTGTCTTGGTAGTGGATGTGGCGTCCCCTCCCCATGGAGAAGCAAATAGCTCAACGGCGACTGGGCTGGTTCCTGTCTGCCTCGGAAGCACATGCTTGACAAGTCCAAAGATCTGTCAGTGTCTCTTGGAAAAGTCGGGGTAAGACCCAAGACAGAAGACAGGTTAAGCTCCGACACAGCAGACAGCCACCAGTATTGCTTTTCTCGACGCTTTTCAGCTTCGTCGGTCCCAGTGTCTGTCTATGAATAGCTCCTACACAGCATGGCGAAACCCAGGAAAGACGTCCGTGTAATTTTATGTCAATCTATTGGAAAGCGTCGCTTCCAGGACTCCAAGGGGAGCGTGCCATCGCGGCAGGTTGCCTTTCAGACGGCACCTGCTGCTGCTGCTGCACACTTGAGCGAAATGGGATCGCCCTGTCCCCCCTCCCCTTCATCAACCCATGTGGATATCGAAAGAGAAACGAACACCCGCGTAAGGAACAGGGGTAATGCGATAGAACTTACTCTGTTCACGCCCCCCTCCCCCTCCCCCTTCTCTCCTCTGATCCTTGCACGATGCTCCTCCACCAACCAGCCGCTTGTCTATCAGTTCTCCATCTCGAAACACATTCGCCTTCGCTCCCCCCCCCTCATCTTTTGCGCAATCAACCCCCCCCATGGGGAGGGGGATCATGGTTGGAGGCCCGCGATGTGGATGGGGCACAGACTTGTGCATGAGCCGAGGAATGAATGGGGAGATCCCGCGTGAAACTTGGCAGAAGCTTGGCTTTCTCGAGGGCTGAAGCTGGGGAAAGGGCTCCTCAACTCGTATCCGGGCACTGGAAGAAGCACATACGCCCCCGTGGCACATGTCACTATTTCATCGCCCCAGCCCAGTGTGAACCGGGACTCGTGTCGAGGCGTGTGTCTCCAGGCTATCTAGACAACTGAACATTGTCCCTCGACCGAGTATGGAGATAAAGTGACGATCAGATTCATTGAGGGGGCTCGCAACAAGACTACTTCCATCATCTATCAAACCGATCAATGCCCGACCTGAGATAACCCATATAATGGGCGAATCTTAATAATGGACTCGCGTCAGACCTTCCGATCCCTGCGAGTGGGTAGTTAGACATATCTCGCTCCGCACAATCAAACCTCAATCACCGAATCCCGTCCGTCCAGTCCCTCACACACATCCCCGTGATCTCGTAGACCACATCACGTAGGTTCCGATACATGCCACAGGTCCTCCGCGTTTGCTCCACACCCAGGATCAATAGATCGCGGGGGGCCCCTCCAAACAGCATGTGCTCTCGCTACGCACCCATCGTCAGATTTTCCTGGTCCCCCAGTGCCGAGGTTGCATTCCGCAGCCCAGCCCTATTCACACCCACACCTCACAACGGGTACGGGGTGTTGGTTGGGTTCTGGGGCCCCCTCTAGGCTGTGAGCATGATCCAAACCCCCGCGTTTCTCGTAGATATACATTCGTAAGCGCCTATGCGAAGGGTTTCCGAGCGGCGTAGAACTAGGGTCCGGAGCTGAACAGATGCTGCATGAGAGCCCTGGCGGTTCCCGTGTTGTATCCGGCATGTGATGTCCGGGTCGTTTTGGCAGCGCTCGGATCGAACCGGATGCAAGAACAAACCCAGTAGGAATCACAACCTTGTCGATGATACAAAGTACTGATAACGAGCGTCGATGACCCCAAGGGGACCTCAAAAGAGGAAAGCGCCAAAACCTAAAATGCATGGTACCCAAGAGTTTAGCTGAGCTGTTGTCGCATGCTGGTGCAGGTGAAGCATGGAGCTCGGCCCAGCTCTCTCGAAGCGACGCCCCTCCTCTCAAGCACGAAGTTGATCTCGCCGCTAGTGTGCTGCGCCGAGAACTTTCAGGGGGCTACCATCTTCATCTTCATCATGGCGAGCTCCGCGCTCTTGGCCCAGACGCCGTCGGGCGTCTGCCGGTAGCACATGAGCTTGCCCTCGTCGCCGACGCTGCCCAGGACCTGGCCGTCGTCGTCGAAGCCGACCCTCCACACGGGCGTGCGGTGGCTGTCGAGCCTCGAGATCTCCCTGACCGCGTGCTTGACCTGGCCGGGCTGGCCGGTGTACCGCCGGTCGCCGTGCGTCTCCGTCTTCTCGATCTCGGCGCGGATGCCCGACGCCGCAGGGGAGGCCTGCTGCGCGGCGGGGCCGTTGGCGGCCGACGACGACCTGTGGTCGCGCGCGTGGGCCTTGTCCTTTCCGCCCCTGACGAGATCCTCGCTAGACCACGACCTGCCGTCGTCGTCGGGGGAAAAGGGTGTGTCTACCCGCACGACCCGGACGTAGCCGTCCTGGCAGGCCGTAGCAACGATGTCGTAGCCTCTGATGTTGCCCGGGGCCCACGCGACGTCGCGGACCAGTCCTCTGTGGCCCGAGATCTCGGCCGCTAGGTAGAACTGCTTGCTGGACCCGGTCATGCCGTACGTCGATGTCGTAATCTCCCTCGTCCTGTAGATCTTGACCGAGTCCATGGCGGCGACCACGAGCCCCAGAGCGTCGGTCGGCAGGCCAGCCCGCAGCGCCGCGTAGCAAGGCTCCGGGTTCGGGTCGAAGCAGACGCGGAAGCTCGTCTCCTCGCCGCGGCTGGGCTTGGCGCACACCGCCAGCTCGTCCATGTTTGTGTACTCGGCCAGGTTCTCCGGCTGCTCGTTCTCAAAGACGGACAGCGTGCCGTCCGAGGCGAGCAGGGCCAAGTACGTGTGCCTGGTCTCCTCGTTGTGCTTCATCGAGAAAGATCGGTAGGGGGAGCGGCTGGAGCGCGTCTCGAAGGCGGCCTTGGCGTTGTCCTTTGCGCGCTGGCTGAACCGCCGGCCGGGGGCGGCGGCGGGGTCCTCGGCCCAGAGCTTGAACCGGCCCTCGATGCCGAGCGAGGCGAGCAGGTTGGGATAGATGGTCGGAGGGAGCCATTGGAGCTGCACAGTTCATCAGTCGGCATGCCATCACGCAAAAATGTCCCATCCGAAGGAGGTCGGACAGCCGATGCTGAGAGTACAGGCCGCCCGCCCGCCCGCGGTCGCAATTGACGTACCTCGAGGATCTCCCCGCCGTGGGCGCCCCAATTGTCACAGTGACGCCACACGCCGTCGCGATGGCGGTTGAAGACGCGGATCTTGCCGTCGACGGAGCCGGTGGCGCAGCGGTCGCCGTAGCTGTTGAAGGCGACGGCCTGGACAATGTCCTGGTGGCCGTGTTTCATGAGCATCTCGAACCGTGTCTGGACCTCTGCGGACAGAGGCTCGGTGAGGGAGGGAGCCATCGTCAGCTCTGCGCTCGAGAGATTGCCCGCTCTCTCCCGGAAGGTTGGTCGTCCTAGGGCATGCACGAAGTGGGGGAGGTAGCTAAGCTTTCGACTCGGTAAGTTGGGCCCGGTCGGGGGATTCTGGCTGTGTGGTTCGTCGAGCCGTGTGTGTGGTGTGGTGCGAAGGTTGGGTTTGATGTGGGAGTCCAAGTCCGGATTGAGGGAATGGATGCGGCTAACACGCTCCGGTGGGCCACTGCAGCCAACCGCAGCCGAGAGTCTTCAATCAATAGCAACATTGAAGCAAGCAAAGCTTACTTGGTTAACTATCCATCAAACCCATCCGTTCTTAGGCAGTGGGATGGCCCTTTCGAGTCCCAGAGCAATTGCTAACATGGAGACTCTTTCTACATATTGATCTTCCTCTCTTTCTTTCTGCTTGTTAAAGGAGGCTTCACCACAAGCTTGGTCTGTGGACGAAGACGCCCAATAGCAGCCGCAAGTGCAACAACAAGTCATCCCCCCTTCCAGACCTATAGCTCAGTAAGGCGTTGGACATCGCTGCCTCTCCAGCATGCCCATTCGATGCTCGGCACTCTGGGGGCAGCCACCATGGCTTTCAACAGCCCGTTCCACCTGGAAATGGGATACCTGCCTCCCTATCCGGGTTTGGCAGGCTGGCTCGACCTATTCCCACCTCCCCTACCGCATCCCAGATCAGGATGCTTCGCCTTGGAGTAGAACCATGTGATCTAGCCCGGCGATTGCTTGGAGCCGCTTCCCAAGACGGTGGCGGCTCAGTGGTGCCCATATCTGTCGCGACCAAGAACCACCTCTTTCTCAAGGTCGAGATTGATTGTGTAGATCTGGAGCAATCTCGCTCTCAGATATGCGCATGCCCGTCGTGAAGGTTGGATTTGATGGGTATTGAAGTCCTTCTGTCAGCAGCCCGTCGACTGATCTGGCCATCACTCATTCCACTCATACAGATGACAAATGACTAGATGCAAGCCAGATGAACATTCCTTTGGCTGTAACTAAGCATTGCCTACTGAGCACCTGCTTGTCAGGGAAAAAGACGGAGACGAAGGCCAGGATTGATTGATCAGGCTCGGAGTGGAATATGAAGTGCTGTCCAGCATGTCAACAGTTTGGACCAATCACCTGAAACAATGCCAACCCATGCTCAGTCTCAGGCGCCGACAGGGGTCCATCCCTCCTGATTAGCGCATTTCACATGCACGCCGGACCCTCCAAGCGTATCACCACCACCAAGCAAGCTGTCATTAGATTTGAAGATTGAAAGCTGTCATTTCCAATCGCGACTTTTTTTTCTTGTTTCCCTCTCTCAACCCCGCGCCGCGTCTGGTGCCAGAAACCACCCTTCTCAAGTGACATCTGGGAACCCTTCTGCTGCACGAATTCCCAACGCAAAGAATGTGCATCCAGCCATCGTCAACCCCCTCCCCCGGACTCCAACAGACACCACCGCCGACATGACGAACCACTCGAACCACTCGCACTCCTCGCACCCCCACCACCATGGCGGCGGTGGAGGCAGCTCCAGCGCGGGCAGCCTGTCGACGACCGAGACGCTCTCCCTGCTCGCCCTGTCGGCCGCCTGCGTCGCCGTGCTGCTCAACACCTTCCAGGACGACGGCGCGCCGCTCAGCGCCTCCATCGCCCTCAGCGGCATCGCCTTCGCCGCCAGCTACGCCATGATCCGCTGGCTCGGCCCCACCTTCCTGCGCGCCGACATCAAGGGCGTCGACATGAGCAAGCTGCACAGGCGCGAGATCCCCGAGTGCATGGGCGCCATCTGCGCCGTCGTCTACCTGCTCGTCATCATGGTCTTCATCCCCTTCCCCTTCTACAAGGACATCGTCGCCGCCACCAGCGGCGGCGGCAACCGCGACGTCGTCCTGCATGTCGAGCACGTCCAGCAGGGCCGCTTCCTGCACCGCTTCCCGCACAGCAAGGTTTGTGTCTTTCCCCTTTCATGCTCCCGGAGATTCAATAAATCCTCAAGCTAACTCCTCTCGTTCCCAACAGCTCGCCTCGTACCTCTCGGCCATCATCGCCCTCCAGTCCATCGCCCTCCTCGGCATCGGCGACGACCTCTTCGACATCCGCTGGCGCCACAAGTTCTTCATCCCGGCCTTCGCCGCCATCCCCCTGCTCGTCATCTACTTTGTCGACTTTGGCGTCACCTCGATCGTCATCCCCATCCCGCTGCAGCCCTACCTGGGCGAGCTCTTCGACCTCGGCGGCCTCTACTACCTCTACATGACGGCCATCGCCATCTTCTCCCCCAACAGCATCAACATCCTCGCCGGCATCAACGGCATCGAGGTCTCCCAGTCCATCGTCATCGCCCTGCTCCTCGTCCTCAACGACTGCCTCTACCTCTTCACGCCCTACCCCCACCCGGCCACCGACTCCCACCTCTTCTCCCTCTACTTCCTCCTGCCCTTCCTCGGCGTCTCGTGCGCACTCCTCGCCCACAACTGGTACCCGGCCCGCGTCTTCGTCGGCGACACCTACTGCTACTTTGCCGGCATGGTCTTCGTCGTCGTCTCCGTCCTCGGCCACTTCTCCAAGACGCTCATCCTCCTGCTCCTGCCCCAGATCTTCAACTTCCTCTACTCGGCCCCGCAGATCTTCGGCCTCGTCCCTTGCCCGCGCCACCGCCTCCCGAAATTCAACGCGCGGACGGGCCTCCTCGAGCCCTCGGTCACGCCCTGGACGCCCGAGCGCCAGCCCCGCCCGCCCGTCCGCTGGGCCCTCCTGCTGCTGCACCGCCTGCGCCTCGTGCGCGTCACGCTCGACAGAGAGACGGGCCTCTTCGCCGAGTCGACCAACCTGACCATCCTGAACCTGTGGCTCGTCTGGCGCGGCCCCCTGCGCGAGGACCGCCTCGCGACCGAGATCACCGCCGTGCAGCTCCTCGTCGGCCTCTTTGGCCTGTTTGTGCGCCACCGCCTCGCGCTGCTCGTCTTTAAGGAGGACAACTGGGGCGTCGCCGGAGGCTCGCCGCCGCCCTAGGAGGACGGCGTGTGCGCTGCCTGCCCGCTGTCGTGTGAGAATGCCGTCTTTAAGCGTTGAGAGGGAGCCTGGGAAGTGGCTGTTGTGTTTTGTCCATGTGTGCATAGAATATGTGTGTGTGTGAGAGAGAGAGGAAAGAAAAAGAAATCTCGGTCCGTCTGAAAAGGGAAGGGATATTGTTGACTTTTGAGAGAGAGAGAGAAGCACATGACATGCATACCTGAGAGCGAATACCGAATTGTACAGTAGTTAGATTTCTGTTTGGTTCCTACTCCTACTCTCGCTACCAGAGGGCCGAGAGGATTACGGAACCCCCAAAAGACGTAAATAGCATGTCCTACTAGAAGAAATCCCTCGGCAATGAGAATATAATCTTGGCACCTTCATCTCATCTCAACGCGGTCCAAGGTGCTTGATACAAACACATCATCACAGGGCCCACGTCTGCACCAAGTGTTCAACACCAAGTCTGAAGTTGTAAAGTCCGCAAAGGCAAAGGGCACGAACAGCCCTGCCTCCACAACAAAATATTTCGTTTAACATTTCGAGGGGGTGGTGTTTTCCTATCTCTGCCGTCTCAAAAAAGGGACATTCAGCGGCAAAAAAGAGGTTATAAATACAAAAGGAGGCCGAAGAGAGAGAGAGAGGAGGAGGAGGAGAAGAGGCGGTATCTCTGTAGAAAGAAGCCTTTTTCTCTTTGTCCCTGTCTGCCCTCGTCCGTACCCCGCGGGGGAAGCCAATCCTACAAAAGCCCGCTTCCCCTTTCCCAATCCCCCCGTCATCAGAAAGACGAGGAGATCAAAAACGCCCCTTTAACCTCGTACATTGTTCGGCCATTCCCTTTTCCTCAATCAACGTCGCCGGGGGGGTATCCATCAAGCGGCCGCTCAAAGGCGAACCTTGTCGGACCAGAGCTTCAAACACTCTCTTCCCCGTTGAGAAGTGAACCCAAAAAAGAAAGCCATGCCGGACACCGTGCCATTTGTCCCTTTTCCCAAAAATAATAAAAAGTTGAAAACGCCAGAACACAGCCCGAAGGACATCCTTGTCCATGATATCCCCACCCCCGCTTTTGAGCTGTGGAACCGAAGGCATAATAAAAGGAGTAAAGAAACGTGGTGAGGGACCGACTGTGCAACGAGAAAGAGGAAAAAACGCCTGGCTAGACATCAAGCAAGCAATTCCGACGTATATAAAAGCGGAAAGACGGTGGTGCCTAAAGAAGGGCAGCATTCCCGGGCTGATGATATACACACGCAGATGATATCATCTGATCCCTCATGCTCAGACAAGTAGATGTGTTATACAGATCCGTTCGTTTGAGGAGCGGCCGCTGACAGCGCCGCGTCAATGCCGTTCTCAATGGTAGGTGACTCGGTCGTGACACCTTCCACACTAACCGCCGACTTTGGATCGTCCGCGTTTGAAACAGACGGCTTCAGAGACGTGCCAACAGATGGCCGGGCAGCAGCGACCTTCCTGCTCTTCGTGTAGTCGCTCAGGCTCATCTTCTTCTTGACAGGACTCGGATTCGCAGCTACGCCATTGACAGACGACAGGCCAAAGGGACTGGTCAGAGTGGTGGAGAAGGGTGATTGTATCATCGACGAGGCGGTCAGAGGAGTGGTTGTCGCGGAGGCCGGGCTCCCGAAGGCGGGTACGGGAGGCATCTGAACCCGTAAATCCGGTGACTTGCTCGACTTGACAGGACTTGTCAAAGCGCCATTAACTCCGTTCACGGGCGCTTGGTTCAATTGCGGTGATGTGGAAGGGACGTCGGTCATAGCAACGTCGACGGTGCCGGCGACAGGTACGGCGCCCTTGTTTTCTTCCTTTGTATCCGTCGGCGATCCCAAGGGCACCTTCTTGTCCTCCGTCGGTGAGTCGATATCCATGGCGATCACCGGCGACGATTGAGACGCAATTGACAGGCTCTGCTTGCGCCTGACCTCGTCGTCTAGGCGGCAACGATGTCGGCTTTCGAGAAGTCGCTTAGAGAGCGAGATGATCCTTCGTTTCGGTCGTGGGCTCTCCTGGGAGCCACTGAACCACTCGCCCTCGACAGGGTCGGTCTGCACAGCGGCATCGCAGTAGTTGGAAGGAGGCGCGACTGAGGCGTGTCGAAAAGTAGGTGCCGTCGACCCGGTTCTGAAGCCGTTGGAAGGCCTAGACGGATGCGCACTGCTCTGAAAGGTAGCGCTGGCAGGCGAGCCAGACTTGCTCCTTGAAGTGCCCGCGTCGACATACTGTCGAGTCAAGGAACCATTCGTTTGGGGATTGGAACCTTGATTGATGCTGCGACTCCTGGATTTCGTAGCCCCGGAAGTTCCCGTACCGTCCGAAACGCGCTTCTTTTTCTTGGCAGGCGGCTGTTGTTCCATCCGACGGAACGAGTCCTCAACCATGGCGACCTTGCGCTTGTCGCGGTCGGTGGGTTCTGTCAGTATGCCCAGAGTATCGAAGGAGCCTTGCCGTGCAGTGGGCGTCCTGTCTCGGCTAGGAGGTTTGCTGCGGGCCCCGGGTGTCGACCGACCATCATTATCGGCACCTTCATCGAGATGACCCTCGCTGGGGGCGCGGCTGTTGGTGGCGTGGCCTGTGCTCGTAGGCGAAATGGTGTGGGCCTTTGGCTTACGAGACTTCTTTTTCTTCTCCGCCCGAGGTTGGGTTCGGCCATGGTAGTTCCGATGGAAGCGCGCGAATGCACAGTTGGGTCCGAGGTCGCAGGCACACCCGCCATATTCCGACAGTATCAGATAGACCCAAGTGGCAATGGAATGATATTCCGTCTCGTCAACATCCTGGTCATCGTGAGCGGTCGCCTCGTCGTCTCCTAATCCAAGAAGCCGCAGCATCCTTGACTTGGCCTTTTTGGGAAAACGGAAGTCCCAGGGTATCGTGATCTGTTCATTGGCATTGATGCGACGGTCGCTGACAAGCCAGAAATGATATTCGGAGCCGTCGGAGAGGAACGTGTCCAGAACAGCGTTCGGCTTGCAGCTTCGACGGACGTAGCGCGCCTCGGAGCCTTCTCGTCTCGTGTCGATGCAAAGGGGTAGGAGGGGATGGAAGAAGACAAAGGGAAGCGGCGAGGTCATCTCCTCCCACCGATTGGAAGGGTCGGCACAGTAATCCCGTTGTAGACCGATTTGGCCATTCAGCTCCATCAAGGGAATATCCTTCTCGATGGTCGCCGGTGCAGTCAAATGTTTCCATTGGATTTCAGGAGCGTGTGGTAATTGTTTCGTCTCGAGGCGCAGCGGGCGTTTGAGTGTGTCGATATTTGAGGGGAGGTTTTGGAACACGTCGTCGTAGTCCTGGCCCGTCTCCTGCCGCAATCTTTGGGGCTCGCGCAGCCAGAGGGACATCGTGTTGGAAATCATGAGGTTGGCGAAGGAGTTGCTATGCACAATCTGCGCGTCTGACTCGCTGCAGGATGAGATAAATCCCGACGAGTACGTATGCAGCTCGAAATCGCTGGGGAGATCCGGGGGTGTGGTGGCAGGGCTCGGGGGATGACCATGTTGGCCTGTACGACCATTGCCATAGGAAGGGCTCCTTTTGGCGGCTTGTGAGCTGATGGAGTGATTCGTCTTGTGAGAACTCTTGGCCTTTTTCGATGGCGGTGGGTGATCACCCGAAGCGTGGGTTTTGTTGGGTTGGTCACCACCGGCTACATGGCCATTTAGCTGCAGGTCTGTCGGCTTTGGCTTCTTTTTGTGACTCTTGGAAGGTGGCCTCTTGGGTTTCTTGTCAGCGGCCTCCTCCTCGACTATAGACATGCTGAGGCGGGCCTTTTGTCGCTCGAAGGCCTTTTGCCTGTCGAGAGGTCGGGGCTTGCACTCGACACACGAGTGGACAAAGTCATCGCGATAGGCCTCCTGGACGTTGTCGGGGTAGTAGCATTCGATATGCTGCCAGGAATCGCAGGTCTCGCAGTATATCGTGTTTCCATCATCGTCAGAAAACGAGCATATACACTTGATTGTGTAGGGCTCCTCCTCGACGGTCGGCTCGACCTTCTGAGGCTCCTCTTGTGCGACAGCGACGCTGCCTGCGGAGGAGATGATCTGACTAGGATTCGCGGTCTGCGTCGACGGCGACGGTATCTTTTCTGTCATAATCTAGTAGGAACCTCGCGAAGCGGGTGAGTTCCGAGGATTGAAAGGCGAACGAATTATCTGTGCGGCCGGGAGGTCATGACTGGGCACACGAGATTTCGACGCGACGCAACGAGGTTCAAGTCGACAAAACTAAACGAGGAAACCGACGGACGGCATACCATCCGCCACTGGAGTCGGACGAGAGGAGGCTTGCGACGTGCTGCAAGTACCAGTGGAACGAGGAACGAAGACTCGACACCCTCTAGGATGGACAACGTAGAAGCCGCCGAGTCGCGTGTGTGAGAGACGGCAGCGATCCTACAGGAAATGGCAAGTGGGAGGCAGAGCGTTGATCGAGGCGATCGAGATCGTTGTGTCGTGGAATCGGGTTCGTCTACTTCCGCGCGAGAGGTGTAGCGACCGTGGGCGGCGGACTTGGGAGGATGGGAGAGATTGGGGGAAAACAAGAGACAAGGATGCGACTCGAGAAAGGGAATCGATCGTGACGGCGCACAGGTGAGTAAAGCCGAAAAGATGAGCCGAGTACTCGAGATTAGGGTCGCCTAGAGTCAAAGAAGGTCTTGTCGTGTGAATCGCGAAGAGGAGAGGCGGAATTGAAAATTGGGAAGAAAGAAAGAGTAGAGGAGGGAGGAGGAGGAGGAGGGCGAGGGGCCACAACACAAGAGAGAGAGAAGAGAAGAATGAGATGGGATGGGTGGTGCACGCTGGGAGCGGGTGCTGGGAAGAGCGGAGCAGCAGCCAGTCCAGTGCAGCGCGCAAGTACAGTCAGTGGTGCAGCGCAGAATGGTCGGGTGCGAGAGACTGAGAGAAGACTCGACTGGGGGGGCCAGACCAGAAGGGCAAATGGGCGGCCAGCGGCGCATTTTGCAGCAGAGTCAGTCAACCCGCCCCAGCCCAGGCACGACACCTTGGCGGTAGCTACCTCCAGGGCTGTACCTCCCACCTTTACCATCCGCAAACGGCACCGCCAATCTGCGCTCCAGGTACTTTCTTACCTGGCCTGCCATTCGTGAGGCATCCTGGAGGCTGTGAGAGGCTGGCGGGGGTTTTACCTTGATCTGGTGATGATTGTATGAAGGATAGAAATAGACAGTCGGGTAGTCTCGCTTCTTCCGCCGAACCCGATACCGAGCCAGCGACCGACTGAGAAAGTTCATCTCTGAAAGACGCTTCGAGGTCGAGAACTTCGAAACTCGAGGGAGGGCGATGAGCGTCGCACTCTCGGTGCTTGGGAAGGGGGCCACCCATTCTGTTTTCAGTGGGAACTTGGGAAGAGGAGCGATGCGAGTGAAAGCCAGCCAATGGGCCGGCGGGAAGGGGATGGGAAAAGTGGGAAGAAGGGCAACTGGCAGATTTTCCCATGGTCGGGCTGCTCAAATGTCCCAATATCTTTCTCGGACCCATAAAACGACATCGAGTCTCCACTTGGTACGTCCAGTCAGAATCCATGCCACCTTGTATTAGGTACATGCATGCTGTCCTGAGGCACTAAGGACTTCTTGGTGCGAAGCATGGGGGAAACAGGGCCGTGCTGGTGATGTTGTCTGGTCTGGGTTAGTCAGGATGATGCTCTCCGACAACGGACAGTTGCAACTGGTGTTGATGTTCCAGCTTGCAGACCTTGTTGCTCACTGAGCAACCGCCGTTGTCAGAGCCAGAGTCAGCAAGGATAGGCGCGTCTTGGAAGATCAAAAGAAACACCGAGATCCTTGAGGGGTGAGAGGAAGAGGAGGTTTTGTGTTGGTCTTTGCCTTTATCACGGTTGGTCACTGAGAAAAGAGGAAGGCATGTGGGATCGTGGTCGTGCGATGGCGAGGGTGAACTGAAATGGCGAGATATAAGACACGATGATGCTCAAACAGCGGGGAGATGAGCTGCCATCAGAACGGTGCCGGCTGATGGAGAGAAAGAAGGCAGGTAAACATAAACAAAGAAAGCACACCAAACCTCGGCCGCGGTTGAATGACCTGCAATATCGATGTAACAATCAAAATGTTGTGTGTGCCATTTTGCCTGGGCCCTGGGGTAAGCGGCTTGGTTGTGGGAGGGTAGAATTCAGTGAGGAGCGAGCCGTATCAATTCCGGAACCAGGGCTGGGCGTTGGAGACGGCCGACCGCGGGACTGCGGAAGTGAGTCATCCCTCCATGGGACGGGCGTGCAAGACAGAAAAACAAAAGCAGTGTTGGAAAGCGGTAAGAAAGGCTTTGTAAGGGGGATGATGTGACAGGGAAGATGCACAGAGAGCTCCAAAAAGGTGGGAGCAAACCGTAATTAAAGCTGCTGAGGGCGCATTGGCCTTGTTTTGGGCGCATCCTGCGTCAGCCCATCCCTGCTGTCGTCTTTCGCAGGATCCATGTCGCCTCGAAATGCCGTAGGTTACGCAAGATAGGGAGCCCTACTGCCACTGCTGCCTTTTCTAAACAGAGGTAGGTAGATACTCGATCGCCTTGTATTGCATGTACCTTCGCGGGATTGTGACAACGGAACGCATCTCAGGGTAGACACAATCACGAAGCCACGTAGGATGAGGTTGATCTCTCGAGTTGTCCGAAACGCGGGGAAGCGTAAGCCCTTCTTGAGAGCCCGGACAACCTTCTTTTCGCGCGTCTCCCCGTCTCACAGGCTTGATACATCGTCATGGTCTGGTGCGACGAACGACACCGCCAATGGTGCAGAGTGGCCACCATGGCGTAACGGCAATTGGGTGAAACGGACGACTGGCCAAGTATCGAGTACATGAGTCCTATCCCACCCGTATTTAGTGCATCTGACGCGGATTGGCTGAATGACCTCGTCGACCTGGGCTTTCCCCTTTACGGATGGGCTGCATCGAAAAGCTTTCGAATAAAGCCGATTAGCACCTTGTGTCAGAAGGTCGTCATTACTCGGTCTCCCAGCGCATGTGTCGTCCTCCTTGACAAATCAGTCAATCACAGAGTCGAGGTCAAAACGATTGTCAGTCCTCGCAGTGGCGACATCAGATACGGCAACGTCGTTGTGGCAATTGACAAGCAGCACGTCGATGATTTGGAGGCGGCGACCTATTCTTATCCACGCGTTGCCAAAGCTGCGACGACGCGACTGAGCTACCCTGGTCGTATTGTTCTTCGCAGCTCTTCTAGTACGGACAGGGATCCCTCGAGAGACTTGTGTTTGGCCGAGTCGCCCTGAGCTCGTTTTCTCATTCGCAAGCAATCCCTGGAGATAAGAGGCAATATTATTGGTCGCTACAGCCCGCTTCAGTATGCATGAATGTGGCTATGCTCGAGATTTTGGTTTTGGATTAGTGATTCTCTGGCCCAAACCCAGCCAGCTGGCAAAATCCAGCGTCTCCCTTCAGGCACTACGGAGTACTCACAGTAGGCGTCAACGGCCCAAAACACCACAAATTTGGCTGATCAACAGTGCACGACATCAAACAGGCTGACTGCGCATGTATCCTTGACTCGCCCAATCACGGCCAACTGACTAAATGCTGACGACCTCAAAGTACAATGCCGGCCTGTGTGCACCTAATTGGCCATGCATCCGTCCGCTCCGTCTGCACCGTACTTGCGTTTCTTCTTCATGTCATCGCAGTCAAGGCGACGATCACAATGAAAAAAAAGTGTTTGGTTTTGGCAGCAAAAATTACGCCCGGGTCGGCCCCGAAGGACAAACCAAAGCGGTCAGCGCCACGATGTGCAATGCAGGCTTCCCACCCTACGGCCCAGTCTTCTTGATCACCGGACTCGTCGAACAAGGTAAGTATGAAGAAAAAAAGAGAGGAAAGGGTCTGAAAAATGGGGAGGGCAGGCGAGTTTATATAGGCGGTTGAGAGTGGCCCGTGCCACTAAGCGAGCCTGCAAACGCCCGATTCTGCCAGCAGTGTCCGCCCTCCAACTAGATGAAAGGGCAAGTGGAATCCATCGACAGTTGGCAGTTGCCCTGTGCTTTGCTCCCAAGCTTGTTTCTTGTTGTTTGTTCTAGAAGCAATTTCGGCAGGGCTACCGACGTGATACAGGTTTCCATTTTCAGGAAATACCATTTTGAGATGCCCTTGCCTTGACTAAATCCCATTCCCCGACACACCAGTGACTCGAGGGCCAATGTCACCAACACAGGCCCAACCATGTTCTCAGTTGTTCTGTTTCCCCCTCCCTCCCGCTTCGACCTACCTGGATGCCAAGCAGCGTGCATCCCTATCCTCTGTGTCGACCTACCTAAATCGATGCAACATGCCACACCTTCTCGTCGTATCTGGCAACACTTCCGCGCCCCCTCCTGCAACACCTGCAAAAGGCAAACCATACACCTGTGCAGGTAAACAAAGCCAGGCCCACCACAGCAAGCTCCGGCAGTGAGGGGCCCGGCTCGAGCTCTTTGGCGCGCATAGAACAGCGGGTGGAGACGCTATGACGCCCCGTTCATCGGCGCCGTCGTCACTCGAGGGGCTCCAGCGCTGCTCTCTCTTAGCCGCTCGGGGCAACCCCTACCGATCGCATCAGAGCGTTTCGCAATGCGGGCGGGAAAAAAATCCAATACCCAAGGTTGGTGTAGAGGAGCAGTAAAAGGTATTTAATGCGCCCGGGTACTTGGTGACTGTCGCGACTCAGGATTCGGCCTGTCTTGCTCCTCCCTCTCTTTCTCTCCTCTTACTGCTGCATTGAAAACGTAGACCGGAACATCACGTCTTGATACCCCTCCCCTCTCACTCACTCTCACTCTCTACCCCACCATCCACACGAAAACCACACAGATCACAGATAGCAAAGATGGTTGCCACCGTCAAGCTGAACAACGGCAAGGTAAGCTCATTTCTTCCCCTGTAGATTGAAACAGCTTCTTTACCCCGCCGATGAGGGGTTGTGAGAGAGACATTGGTGTGTGTTGTGTGTGTGTACATGTCCAGCAATGGAACGGAACCACCAATCACACCAAGGAGAGCGTCCGATATCATATGAGAGTGTGAAAGAAAACCACGGCAACTAACCGAAGACATAGTCCATGCCCCTCGTGGGCTACGGCATCTGGAAGGTGCCCCGCGAGAACGCCGCCGAGTCGGTCTACAACGCCATCAAGCTGGGCTACCGCCACATCGACGGCGCCTACGACTACACCAACTCGCGCGAGGCCGGCCAGGGCGTCCAGCGCGCCATCGCCGAGGGCATCATCAAGCGCGAGGACATCTTCGTCACCTCGAAGCTGTGGAACAACTACCACAAGAAGCAGCACGTGCAGGAGATGGGCCAGTTCGAGGTCGACGCCTGGGGCATCGGCTACCTCGACCTCTACCTCATCCACTTCCCCATCTCGCTCAAGTACATCGCCCACAGCGAGCTCAACTGGCCCTGCTTCTGGACCGACAAGGAGCAGACCAAGCCCACGCCCCTCGACCCCACCCCACTGAGCGAGACCTGGGCCGCCATGGAGTCGCTCGTCGACCAGGGCCTCGTCAGGTCCATCGGCGTCGCCAACTTCAACGCCCAGCTGCTCTACGACCTGCTCTCCTACGCCCGCATCCCGCCCGCCGTCAACCAGGTCGAGCACCACCCCTACCTCGTCCAGCCCAACCTCATCAAGATGTGCCAGGAGAGCGGCATCACGGTGACGGCCTACTCCTCCTTCGGCCCGCAGTCCTTCATCGAGCTCAACAACACCGACGCCCTCAAGGTCGAGCCCCTCTTCGCCCAGGCCTCGGTCGCCCGCGTCGCGGGCAAGCACGGCAAGACGCCCGCCCAGGTCCTGCTGCGCTGGGCCACGCAGCGCGGCATCGTCGTCATCCCCAAGAGCAACAGCGTCGACCGCCTCAAGCAGAACCTCGAGAGCACCGACTTCGACCTGGCCCCCGAGGAGATCGACGAGATCGCCTCGCTCGACAAGCGGCTGCGCTTCAACCAGCCCAGCGACATCAGCCCCCAGTACCGCATCTTTGATTAGCTATATGGCAGTGCCGGCGGAAGCCAAAAGCAGACGAAAGAGGAGGACGACCCTCGTAGTAAGCTTTGAAGGAAAACACACATTGGAAAAACCACATGCGTGAGACGCATATATCATGAACATCACTTGAAAGAAAAGTTTCACTGGTGATGGAAAGATACCATAACCAATTTTTTTATGAATATAAACACATAGGGTATTCTTTTCCCCCGAAACACTCTTTTTGATGTGTGATCTACTACATATGTACCCATTATAGACAAAAAGATACGCCGTGACAATGATGATGATTCATAAAGCATGGTGTCAGCCCTTCCCAGGGACCACTAGAACCATGGTACAAAACCCTCTCTTGATTTCTTTTTTTTTTCCTACTTCCTCCTCTTGCCCCCGCCGCCGCCCTCAGCCCCAGCGCCCCTCTTCTTGCCCTCGCGGCTCCAGAACTCCTTGTTGCGCCTCTTCTCGCCGGCCTCCTTCTTCTCCGCCGCGTCGGCCAGCTTCTTGCGGTGCTCGACCCTCTTCTCCTCCTTCCTGGCCCGGCGCTTCTCGGCCACGTCCTTGCGGATCGTCGTCAGCTTCTGCATCAGGTCGCGCGCCCGGCGCTCCTCGCCGCGCAGCACCACGGCCCGCTTCTGCATGTACGTCTCCTTCTTCTGGGGCCGCGTCTGCACGATCTGCGACCGGAAGGGCAGCTCCGCGGCGAGCCGGCGCGGCACCCTGAGCGAGTTGAAGTGCCGCGCCTGCCGCTCGACGGGGCGGTACTGGCTGTTGCGGCTCTGCGGCGTGGGCAGGTTCTCGTCGCGCCGGATCTCGCCCGTCAGGCGCATGCCGCGCCAGCCGCCGAGCAGGTTGGTGACGGGGTTGTAGAAGCGGCGCGGCCGGATGGGGTACCACGCGCGCAGGAAGACGATGTCGCTGAGCAGGATCTTGTCCTCGAAAGTGGCGCGGAAGTGGCCGTCGGGCTTGGACAGCGCGCGCTTGATCTGGCCGCGGATGCCCGAGACGGTCTTGACGGCGGCGCCCTCGAACTTGGCGATCTCGAGCGCCGAGTTGAACATGTCCTTGATGAAGGCCGTGTTCTTGAAGATCTTGTACGGCGCGCCCGTCAGCTTGAGCTTCTTGACGATCTCGGTCGACTCGTCGACGCTGAGCACGGTGCCCGTGGCGGCGATGCGGAAGCCCGGGTTGGAGGACGAGAAGGACTGGAAGCAGACGAAGCCCGTGTTGGGGGCGATGAGCGGCCCGTAGAAGGTGCCGAAGCAGTGCATGTGCTCGGGCGTGTATTTCAGCATGCGGTTCCTCGTGCGGGAGTCGGAGATGCTGTAGATGGGGAGGGACTGGAAGCGCCGCCAGCCGAGGGAGAAGATCAGGGGGTCGTTCGTCTTGAGGATCCGCTTGTGCCAACGGTGCCTCTTGATGCGCACCTGGACGAAGCCGAAGCGGTCTTCCGTAGGGGCGAGGCCGCCCATGATGATGGGCATCTTCGCCTGGAAGTTCTTGACGAACTCGGCGGGCACGCCCTCGATGACAATCTTGGCATATTTGCCGGCCCGGAAGCCCTCTACAGCCGTCCTCTGGCGCTCGTCCAGTTCCTCGAACTCAGCCTTGTTGATATCAAGCTGCTTCTGGATTAGGGCCTTTTGTGCGTCGTACCACTCATCCTCGCCAAACTCGTCTTCGTTGCCTCCTTCCTTCCGTGCGATTGCTTTCGGGTTCTTGAAGCCCTCCCTGTCTTCTTCCTCGAAACGGAGCTTGAGCTCTTCTTTCCTCCGGGCGTTTTGCTCTCGCTGCTCTTCAAAGGACGGCGGCTCCTCCTGGGAAGGGCCGTGCTGCTCACCTGTCTCGAGATCCTCGAATGCACCGTCACCTTCGTCATCATCATCGTCATCATCGGCGTCCTCGTCGTCTTCATCGCCTTCGCTGCCGAACCCACTCATATCGTCCTCATCCCCGTCCTCATCCAAGAGGTCAGCAGAAGTGAACTTGGCCCGCAGCGCTTCGATGGCATCATCAGACCATCGAGCAGCTAGGTCCTGGTAGTCATAGTCGGGAACAGTACGGTCTTCCGCCCCATCATCCTCCCTCGCTTGTTTCGATTTGCTGAAGAAATCATCATCCTCATCATCGTCCTCAATGTTCTCCTCTTCCTCATCCTCGTCGGCACCCTTCCAGCGCTGCAACACCTCGCTGATGGACAATTTGTCATTGTACAGCATCCTGGCGAGATCGGCGGCTTGATACGGGCGCTTCTTGCCATGCAGGCTCTTGGCCCGCTCCGCCATGTTCTCCTTCCATTTGATCGCAGCGCCCTCCTCATCAGAGTCGAAGTCTTCCTCATCTTCATCTTCGTCAAAGTCTTCTTCCTCCTCGTCCCCAGACATGGATCCCAGATCCGAGTCGCTGTCAGCAAAGGCCAGGTCGTCGCCGCCGCCGTTCTTGTCCACGTCCTTACGGAACACCTTGCCCAATTTTTCTTCCCTGAACTCGGTTTCGATATCGGACCCATCTTCATCCTCGCCGCTGACAAACCCTTCATCGTCGGGCATGTCATCGTCGTCATTCTCGTCCCGTTCGGCAAACCGGGCCTTCCTTTGAGTTTTCCTGCCCGTATCCTCTTCGGCGAGTTCCTTGATCTGCTCACCGCCGGCGAATAGTTGCACACCCTCTTCGGTCTGACCGAGTAGTCTCCTTTCGCCTTGGAGTCCGATGATCAACTCCTCGCCCTCGCCGCGCTCTACGTTTTCCGCATCTTTGTCAAAGGTAAAGCCCTTCTCGCGGTAAATGTAGATAGCGTCTCCGTCGATCTTCAATCCGCTACGGTCAGACATGGGGGCATGCACTTTTTTCTCTTTCTCATCTAGCCTCCTCCTTCCGGTCTTGCCTGTGATTTTGGCCATAGCCTGGTCCATTGCTGGCGTTGGACAGGGGTCAGGAAGCACCTCCATGCTGGCCACGGTGAAATCTCCCAGTCCAGCGACGTGAACTCTTTGATTTTGCGCGGCGAAGTTCGTTCCTCGTAGATACCCTGATAAGACAATTGAACGGTCGCACTTCTCGTCCTCTTCAATCTTGGTAGGGTGGGTAATATCCCGGAAACTGTCAATGACCGTGTATGGGTGCGAGTTCCTCCAGATCAGAGGTCGTGGGTTCTTCATGACGGACAGGAACCTGGACAGATTGTGGATTTCTCGGTCGGGGTAACGGCCATTGATGACGCCGGAAAGGTAGAACAGATGCGCTCCCTGGTAGAGTTCCCTCCAGAGCCTGTGCTTGAGTCTCTTCTTTGCGTCTCTGAGCGTCTGAGGTTTCCGGAAGAGGTCGAGATGTGTCAAGATGCCAAAGACATTGCCTGGCATACCTGTGGCCGCGAGGATGTTCAGGAACTCCATAGTCTCCATCTCGAAGCCATAGTTCCCATCGATCATGAGCAGAACAATGTCTGCGACCTTTGCGATGTCCACCATTGCCTCCAGCTCGTTGGGGCACTCGAGGAAAGTGAGCCTCTGCTTTTTCGAAGTCACGACCGTGATCGGCCCCTGGGGTTCGGTGATTGTCTCCTTCGCATATCGGCGGATCAGAGACTTCAGCAGGGTGGTCTTGCCGACACCAGGAGGTCCGACGATAGTTACAAGCCTCGGCGGGGGTTCGTCGGGTATACGGTCGACGAGCGGAACGTGGAGACGCTTTTCCTTGATCTGATCACATTGTTAGTCTTGAAAAGCCAGCAGGTCCCTTGGTAAACCCCGGCTTACATCATGAGATCTCGTTGCCGCTCTTTGAAGCTTGCCCGGGTTGGAGAAGGAGAAAGCCTTCGGGTTGGGCCCTGTATGTAGTTAGCAATGAGGTCCTGGTACAAGCAAAAGGCTCAGCAACCGTACCGGAGTGCTTCTTCTTCTCCTTGGGCTTGCGATGCGGCTTGTGCAACTGCTCCATGTTTGCGCACACCTCTGCTGCTGCTGCGCTTCTACGCAAGTCGGTCGGTCGAGAAGGCCGTTCTTTTCACCTTGGACCGCAAATCCACCGAAATTTTTTTGGTCGTAGGAAGCGCTTATCTTATCGCAGGGTGCTATCGATAAGATAGACGGAGTCCCTGATCTCCAGCGTTGACCCCGCCACTATCCGATAGCGTCCAGTTATGCAAGACATCGGTGTGTTTTACGATTCTGTATGCAGCACAAATGACGAGCTCATGCATAGAACCGCGTCTCACAAAGCCGGCAATCATTCCTCCAGAATGCGCCATCCATTCCCGTGAACCGTAGATAACATCAGGGATCCTTTCCCACGCTTTGAAAACGATCATGTGCAGGTAAAATCAAGGCATGCTAGTGTGTATGGCTTGTTCGCGTACCAACCCCACGATGAAATGAGACTTGCGACCACCTCCGACCCCGCTCCACCCTGAAGGCCGCCGTAAAACGGGCGAGATACAGCGTCTGCGAGGCAATCTAGACGCTGTAAGCACGCACTAATTGGACACGCAGGCTGGCGAAGCGGGGATGACGTACTCCTCGTCCCTTCCACCCAGCCAGGCCTCCGGTTTGCGTCGCGTTAGAGCTGTTCCCTCCTTCTCCTCCCCGACCCTATGAAGCACTTTATAAGAGGACCTCCCGTTCCCTCGAGCAAGTTTGGTGTTCGTCCGTTTCCATCTTCACCTGCTTCGTCACGTTTGACTCTAGATCTTGCATCTGCACTTCCAAACAAGAGCCTTTCTTCTTCAACCGCTGCAATCATGCCGACCTACATTGTATGGAATCGTCCACTTGCGTTGGCTTGGCGATGCACCGCTGACAGTTGTCGATCCTGCTAGGTTACCTGCAAGGACGATGCCACTCCTGAACAAGTTGCGGCGTAAGAGTGTCCCTTGCTCTCCTTGCTCTGACGCTGGGCTCCCAAGCTGACTACTAGTCACAACTGCAGTGCGAAGAAGCACGCCACTGACCAGGGCGGCAAGATCGGCCACGAATATGCCTTGATCAAGGGCTTCTCGTGAGTGACGTCTTCGTAGACAGGGCTATCTTTTAGTGACTGACCATGCCCAATGCACAGCGTCACCTTCCCCGAGGACTCGGTTGCTACGCTCGAGAAGCACGAGCACGTCAAGGCTGTTGAGAAGGACCAGGAGGTCAAGATCCAATAAGCACATGCACGACGAGAGGAGCTGTTTCAGGGACACCCAATAGAGAGCTCTGCACGCGTTATGTCATGATCAACTGTTGCACTTTTTTGGCTTGCGCAAGAACATTGTTTTAATAAACCATTTCATCTGGATCAAGCCATTATTTCTCGACTACACTATGTGAAGTCCTCTCAGTGCTGTTCTCGACTGCTGTTCTCGACTTCGACATCACATCCCAAGCACCGATCCTCGCCGTTTGGCGTGTGAGCGCCAAAAGGCGGGGGGGTGCGGTGCGAGATAAGGCACGGTCTAGGAGCCGTTCCCTGTAAGAAACCCCTGTAAGGGCGGAGCCGGCAATGATCTCACCGCCCGATCCAGACCTTCTCCGGTCAAAGCTTGGCCTCTTGCAACTCCGTCATCGTGTAAAGAAACCATACGGTCTTGCAGGCACGACACGCACATGCTACACCTACACTCCTTCGCGGCTAGCAATTCTGCATCGGAGCTCGAGAGGTAGCGGGCAATGCCGATATGAGACCTCTCGCCTGGCCTTCGCGGCCGTTCAAGCTCATCACGAGACCAGTTTCGTCCTCTCGACGGCTGCTGTCTTCGGCGCACGCACAAGCACAGCACAAGCATCACCAGAGCAAATCGAGGCCCCATCGCCATGGCTCAGCGGCACAGGAAAGCTTCGAGGACGACGTCCCCCGACTGGCAAAGCAGCGCCTGCACCCATTGAGTCTGGCGGATCTTGTCAGGTAAGATTGGACGTGCACTGGTCCTTTAGGCGCTGGAGGAGTCATCGTGGCTCTCTTTCTCGGCCTGCAACTTTACACCCACAGACTTGCCACCACACCGGTCGCACAGATGCACCTGGGATCTTGAGGGTTGTTACACATAATCAGACAAGTCTAACACACTTCTTCACTCAGACATGGCCGTCCACCGTTGAACGCCGAGGCCCTGCTCCAGTCGGCCAACTTTTCCCTCTCCCTCATTCCCATCCGCCTCGCAAAGCGCCTCCAGGCCCTGCGCAACCTCCCCTACATAGTCGTCTCCAACCCGCACATATCCAAGATCTACAACAACTACCAACACAGCCTGTCCACCCTCCTGCCGTGGCGCGAGCGCACCATCTCCACCCTCGACGACGAGATCGCCTTCACCGAGGTCCTGGCCGAGCTCGTGGCCACGCACCAGGACACCATCCCGGTCCTCGCCCAGGGCTTCCTCGAGTGCCGGCGCTATATCAACCCCAACGACGTCACCGCCTTCCTCGACGAGCACCTGCGCGCCCGCATCGGCACCCGCCTCATCGCCGAGCAGCACATCGCCCTGCACTTCAGCAGCAAGCCCTTCTTCAGCCCCGAGGACAGCCCGACGCCCTGCCCGGAGCACCCGACCTACATCGGCGTCATCGACACGGCCCTGCGGCCCGCGCAGACGATCGACTCGTGCGGCGGCTTCGTGGCCGACATCTGCGAGCTGAAATACGGCGTGCGCCCGCGCTGGGTCATCGACGGCGAGCCCGACACGACCTTTGCCTTTGTGCCCATGCACCTCGAGTACATCGTCACCGAGCTGCTCAAGAACGCCTTCCGCGCCGTCGTCGAGAACAAGATGCACGAGGAGCCCGTCGTCATCACCATCGCGCCGGAGCCGCCCGACGCCGTCCTGCGCCGCGACGAAGGGCCCGTCAAGCTGGACCTGCCGTCCGAGGACCGCGGCGCCTTCCAGAGCGGCCGCATACGGCCGCTCGACGACAACGCGCCGGGCGTGACGATCCGCATCCGCGACCGCGGCGGCGGAATCAGCCCCGAGGTGCTGCCGAGCGTCTGGTCGTACTCGTTCACCACCTTCTCGGAGCACGACGAGGACGCCTCCGGGGGCGACGGGCTCAACGTCATCGCGAGCGCGAGCAACGGCCAGAGCTCCATCGCGGGGCTGGGCTACGGGCTGCCGCTGAGCCGGGCCTACGCCGAGTACTTTGGCGGCGGGATCGCCGTGCAGAGCCTGTACGGCTGGGGCACGGACGTGTACCTGCGTCTCAAGGGCGTGGGCAAGATCGAGTGAGTCCTTTACTTTGCTTCTTGAGATTTTGTGCGGATAACCCGCGAGTGTAAAAGTTGGTTTGCTGATGTGAGGGATATATATGTGTAGGCAAAATACTGCCCCTGCGGTAAAGTCTTAGAAGGGGCAGCGATGGGTGAGGAGGTCGGCGTTGATATAGTAGATGATACCAACCAATTTTGAACGATTAGAAGCATAATAACCAAGGAAAAAAGAAGGGTTTCATAAATCCTCTGTGCCCAACATGGATGCGACTTTCAGAAACCTATACCTACATAGACAGCGCTGTGTACACTCAGGAGTGCTCAGGAGACCACGATCACACCGAGAGACCCGGAATCAACAAGAGATGTGATTTAATATGCAATTATATTCTTATATCCAATGATCGAACGAGCTCCGAGCTCGCACCAGGGTTTCCTGCTGTATGGCAAAGACAAAGACTGTAGATCCCCTATCCCCCCCCCCCCCATGAGAAACTATTGTGACAAGGAAAATGAAGTAATTAAGAGAGAGAGAGAGAGAGAGATGGCGAGAGATGTAATGTATGGATCCGGAATGAAGAAACAGGAATTTCAAACGCCGCTTCGCGCAAAGGAAGGTTTTCCAAAAGCGAGATTTTGTTTTTGTCAAGTCATGACACATGAAGTACACCTCCGCCAACACATCCCCTCCCCCAAGATTCGCAAGCCAATACCACACACACACACACACACACACAGACCACTTTCTTCACGCCCTACATATTAGCGAGCTCGTTGTCAATCTGCCTGTCCATAAACGTCCGCCTCTCGCCCACGAGCTCCGTCTGCAGCCGCTGCTCGACGAGCGCGCGCACCTGCTTCTTGGTGACGGTGTCGAGGTCGACCTCGCGCAGCACGCCCTGGATCGCCTCGACGATCATGCCGTCGTCCGGCCCCGCGGCGTGCCCGCGCTGGAAGTCGAACGACAGCGCCGACTGGTGCGCCGCGTCCATGCCGCCGAGCGGCGAGCGCGCGCCGCCGGCGTAGCCCAGCGTGCTCATGGTCGCCGAGGCGCGCGGGTTGGCGCCGCCGCCGGCGGCGAGCTGGGGCGAGGTGTTGGACACGGCGCGCAGGTTGCTCATGGAGCGCTGGCCGCCGAGGGGCACGTCCGTGAAGGGGGACTGCATGCGCTGGATGCCGGTGCCCATGCTGGCCACGGACTGGCGGTGCGGGAGCCCGCCGGAGGGGTAGTCGGTGTAGGGCTGCTGCTGCGCACCGCCCACAGCCGGCATCGTCGAGTTGCGCGTCAGGCTCTGGTAGGGGCCCGGCGACTGCGGGGGCATGTAGGTGCCGCGGGCGCCGCCCTGGCCGCCGCCGAGCCCCGTCAGGATGGAGGGCTGGCGGACGGACGAGTAGACCGACTTCATGTCGTCCATCTCGTAGCCGTCGTCGTAGGGGCCGCCTTCGCGCATCTTCTCCGAGTGCATGCCGCGGCGGCCGGGGAGGCCGTTGGCGGCGGCGTAGTCGTCCCAGCGCTGGAGCGGGATGGAGCGCGGGTCGAAGCCGCCGTCGCCGTCGTCGACGGCCACGACCTGCTTCTTGCCCGTCTCGCCGATGACGATGCGCGTGTTGCCCCACGAGAAGTTGTCCTGGTTCCAGAAGGAGTAGATGGGCAGGATGAACGAGTAGACGGGGAAGGCCAGGATGTAGATGATCATCCAGCCGATGTGCTGCCACTGCCGCTTGAGGATGAAGATGAGCGCCTGCAGGCCGTAGACGCCCGCCAGCATGGCGATCGAGATGATGGGCAGCGCGCTCTGGTGCGTCGAGACCATGTAGATCATGTAGACGAGGTAGACGCACGTGAAGGGCAGCGTGATGGTGCCGAAGAGGTCGATGAAGACGACGAAGCGCATGCTGAAGCAGCAGAAGCCGCACATCTCCTTGAGCCGCATCAGCTCCATCAGGTTGTGGATGGTCGAGTTGATCCAGCGGCGCCGCTGCGACAGCAGCACGGACCACTTCTCCGGGGCCGCGGTCTGGCAGTACGCGTCCGGGATGAACTTGTACGACATGAAGGGGAAGTTCTTGGTCATGAGGGTCGTCAGGAAGCGATCCTCTCCGAGGGACAGCAGGTTCTTCTTGTGGAGCGTGTCCACGTTGCAGTCGGCGTACTCGCGAATGACGGCGTCCGAGATGATGAGCGGCTTGCCCTTGTCGACGGTGCGGAGACGGTACATGGAGAAACTATTTGGTGCATGTTAGCGTTTGTGTTGGGTTGAGAAACTACAATATATGTTTTAGACTTACCAACCGGGCAAACAGGTGACACTGCCAAAGAGGGATTCGAAGGCCTTGGCGAGATGGTGGGAAATGAAGTATTCGTAGACCTGAATCATAGTCCACCACGAGAGATCCTCATTCTGCAAGCTCGTCTCACCGCAGATGCCAGCAATCTTGGCGTCGTTGGCGCAGGCGGCCACGAGCCTGTTGAGGGAATCCTCGCGCACGCAGGTATCGGCATCGACCATCAGGAGATACTCGTACAGCTCCGGGTCGACGCCGATGATGTTGTTGATCTGGTGGAACATCTCGAGCTCGAGCGGGTTCATCGGGGCGCGGTGGTGCACCCGGTTGAGGAAGCTCATGAGCAGGACCTGCGAGTCACGCTTGCCGCGGTTGCCGGGCTTGGGCTTGGCCCGCTCCGACTCCTTGCCGACCTTGACGACGACCATGTAGGGAACGACGTTGCCCTCGAACTCGTACAGGCCCGAGTACACCTTGCCGTAGTTGAGCTGCTCGCTGCCCGTCCCGACCGACTTGAAGGGCAGCGCGGGCGGGTCGACCTTGGGATCGACGCCGAGGATATCCAGGACGATCTTGGGCGTAGGGCGGTCGTTGCCGGCACCGACGATGATGCCATCGCAAATGACGCAGATCAGCTTCCGCTTGTTGTCGTACTGGAGCGCAGTGAGCGAATCCAGAGCCTTGCGCAGCGAATCTTCACCCTCGGTGTAGGCCGGGACCTGGCAGATGACAAACTTGTCCTGGGGTGCAGGGCGCCGCTTGGAACCGAACTGCAGGGCCGAGATGAACTTGATGCCGATGATGGAGCAGACGACAATGGTGAAAGCCAGCAGGATGTAGTTGTTGACCAGGCAGCGCGCCGACTTGCGGAAGTCGGGAATGCCGATGTAGAAGGTATTCTCGATACAGTTCAGGGTATTCAGGAGGTTGGCGGTCGCCGTGTCGTTGCCCGCGGCGTTGGAGACGAGCTTGTTGAAGGTCTCGGTCAGATCGGTTCCGGGGCCGTTCTTGACGGCGTCGGTAATGTCCTTGTTCATGAACGCAAAGGCCGCCAGGTTGTTCTGGAGCTTGAGGGTGTACACATAGTTGGTGATGTCGTAGATCTTGTTGTTCCAGATAAACCACTGGTGGTTGTTGTTCTTGCCGTCCGACGCGACCATGCCGGTGTCCCAGACGAGATCGCCGTGGTAGAACTCCTTGATCTTGGGCTGGAACACCTTGGAGTACCAGTCGTCGCTGCGCAGCGCGCTGTTGATGACCGGCTGGAGACTGCCGTAGACGTGGGCGGCGTTGGGGTACTCCAGCGTCTGGTTGGGGGTCAGCGTGACGTAGGACTCGATGTTCAGGCCGGGGCAGCTCTGGGTCAGGAGGGGCATGAAGTAGCCGTCCATGTTGAGGCCGGCGAGGGGCTGCATCGCCTCCTTGTCGGCGGGGCGCCCGAGGATGTCGCTGTGGTCGATCCGCCACCACTTGGAGATGTCGTACACCCTGCCGTGGATAGACACCCAGAAGTCGTCGTCGCCCGTGTGGGTGGCGACCTCGGTCTGAGACCAGGCCTTGTCCATGTTGGGGCACAGCAGCCGGCCGAAGGCGACGATCCAGAAGACCAGGATGGCGTTGATGAGGAAGATGAAGAAGCACAGGACGACCTTCTCGCGCCAGGCCATGCGCACGTCGGGGCGCTTCATGCGGCCGACGTAGCGGAGCAGGGGCGAGGGGATCCAGAAGGTCAGGGCCCAGACCACGGCGACCCAGATGCGCCGGGTGGCGGTGATGGGCTGGGTCTCGATGGACTTGTTCTGCGCGAGCTCCGGGTCGAGGCCGACGAACTCGCCGTTCTCGTCGTAGTAGCCCTGGCCCTTGAACGTGTCGCCCTTGGTGCCCAGGCCGTAGTCACCGGTGCTGACGTTGCGCATGCCCGAGGGGGCGATGGAAGGCGCGGCGAGAGGGCCGGGTCCCATGCCCATGCCCATGCCCATGCTGAGGGCGGACTGGCTGGCATTCCTCTGGTGCATGAGCTGATCGTGGCTACCGTTCGAGGCGTTGTCGGCAAAGACGGGCTGGGGGAAGTAGCCGCTGCCGTTGTTCGCGGCGTAGCCCTGGTCCATCATGCCGCCCATGCCGCCGCCGGGGGTCGCAAAGGGGTCGGTGGGCATGGGCTTCAGGTCGAGCATGCTCTCGGCCTCCCACCAGGCGTTCTCCCTCATCCAGACACGCTCGGTGCCGACCACGACCTCGCCGTTGCTCCAGCCGCGCTCGAGGATCCAGCTCTCGATGCCGTCGCGGCCGTCCTTGCAGCCGAGAACCGCGTAGCGCTGGACAAACTCGTCCAGGTCAAAGTCGGCCGTGAAGTCCAGGTGCTTGTTCCGTCGGTTGGCCCACTCGGGAAGCCTCCAGGCGCGAAGCTGCCTGGAGACGGTCCCCGCAGACCAGGCCGAAGTGACCGAGGGCAGGGCCGCAAGACTCGCGGGGGACTCGTCGGTCGGGTGCACAGAGAGATGGTACCAGACGCGGCTGCTGCTCAGGATAGCCGGGAGGTCAAACCGGCCCGCCCGGCCGAGGTTGATACCTTCGCCCGCAATGGGGAACAGGAGCTTCTTCAGGAAGCCATCTTGGTCGACCGCGAAGCCGATCTTTTCCAAGATCTCCTCACGCTTCTCAAGGACGTGCTGCCTCTCTCTGCCAGTGGGGCCGTTCATGATGCCCAGGTCGGGCGCCGCAGCGGCCACGGCGTTCTGCATCTCGCGCATGACGGAGCTGCCTGCGGGGTGCACGTCCACGCCGTCCTGCTTCATCTCCGAGTTGATGCCAAGGCTGTCGTCGAAGATGCCGCGCATGGCAACTGCTTTGCCCAGCTCAGGATCAGGAATGTCAAGGATCGTGATGGCTACAGTGTCACCGTTGTCCTCATTGGTGTTGGGGGTCCTCGAGCCCCTGCCTCCATCACTCGACTCATCTCCGTCTCTGATCCGGCCGAGCTGGGCAGAAATGGCATCGTTGGCCTTGGAGATGACCCAGTCCACAAGGGCTTCGTAGAGTCCTCCGATAAACGTCTCTCTGTCCTCGGTCGTGCACTGCTTGGCGAGCACTTCGGGCTCCATGCCCAACAGCCCGCCGACGTCTTCGCAGATATCATCGAGCACCTCCTCGTCCACCGAATAGTCCAGGGTGTTTCCGAGCTTCAGGAGGCCAGCCAAGGTCGAGATGAAGTTGCGGTGGGCGGACCCCCGGATGCCGATCTCCTTGAGGGCTGACCGGAAGTCGTCTGCCGAGGCGGCATCGTCGGCGGTGGGGAGGTATGAGGGGGGGTCGTACGTGCCGGACCGGGCCAGGAGGGTGTAGTTGGAAGCGGCCTTGAGGCCGAGGAACTCTCGCTCCGCGGGGGTGGACGCAGAGGTGAGCAGGTAGTAGAAGACATCGAAGGCCCGGTAGCCAGCCTCGGGCGGGATGCTGAGCAGGCCTTTCCGGGTGTCAATCCCGCCTTGGGACAGGGCGATGCTCGCCGCCGTCAGGTTGCCAGCCAGGTTCAGGGTCAGGGTCACGCCCAAGGCAGCTTGCCGAGGGGTAGAAGGATTATAAGGAGTCACACATCGGATGAAGGGCTGGATGGCTTGCAGGGCTGTGAAGAGCGAGGAGGGGATGGACATCGGCATGGAGGAGAGGAATGGCACGAGAAGCGAGGGAGTCGAGGTGTGAAGAGAGCTTTCGCCAGGTTAGCATCCGAAAGTATCGCAGCCGCGGAAGTGTACGGGATGGTCCAAACTCACCCAAGCATGATGCATCCATCCTCAGCACGGCGGCGAGCATGTTCCCATGCTCGGACGGCGAGTGTGGGATCGACAGTGCCTCCTGTCCTCCCGTCAGGCCCGGCCTGGGTGGCCGTGAGCCACGTGTTGACAACCAGGCTGGTGCCGGCGTCGAGCGTGTAGGGCTGGGCGGAGAGATAGATGTTGTGGATGGCATTGAGAAGGGTCGTGGTAGAAACCTGGGTCGACTGTTGCCCGGCACCTCGAGGACCACCCATGGCCTCCGAGGCGAGCGAGTACATTGACATGCGGTTAGCCATGTTGACGGCTAGTTGAACCGTCGAGGAGGCTCCTGTAAGACACAGAGAGCAGTCTGTTGGTGGGCTCTATTTCCTGGGAGGTCGTGGGAGACTCCCACTCGAACGAAGAATTTCCCAGGCTTGGCCGGCTTGCTCCGCACAAGGTCGAAGCTATCGTAGAGTTGCTTGGATCGCGGTGGAAGAGTCGTATGCAGTAGCAGCGAGCGTGAGATAGTGCCAACTTGAAGCAGAAGGCAGGTATCTGGATGCTGAGTTCGCAGACCAACGCGTGTGAAGGGTGAGACGGTATTCGTCCTTGATCCACGTCTACGCCGCACGAGTCGAGGTGGCCTACGGAACTCGAAGGGGATTAAAAGGGGATAATTGCAATTAGAAGAATAAACAAACCGCCAAAGCGAGTGAGGGCGGCTTGGGAAATCCAAGAATCACAAGGCAATGAAGGGACAAAACGCACAAAGCGGAGGATGAGGCATCAGGATGTTTGTCTGCCAGACAACAAGAACAGGAGATCTACGTACGGGCAGGCCATTGTCTAGCTAACTACATGGATGCAACCAACCAACTTCTCTGGCTCATCCACTGTAGACCCTTTTACCAGACACTTGACGGCCCACTAAGCCTGGGACATGGGGGGTTCACTGGCATTGCAAACACGGCGAAAAAGGTCGAATTCTGTCGGCGGCCAGGCACATGTTGGATGATACGGCGGGCCGGAATGAACCAGGAGTGCAAGATTCTCTCTCGCTGCAGCACGGATCGGACCCGTTGGGATCAGTGGATGGTTTCCAGGGAGGACACAGCGCTGGAAACCAACTACCGGTGTTCGGGGCTCTGAGCTCCAGGGGTTTTCAGGGACAAAACCCGCCTGACGGACTTTGCAACTGTCCAAGGTTGTTAGCTGAAGGGAAGTACCGGGGCAAGGCGATCCCAGCCCAGCAGGACGCGTGCCCGCTGGAACGGGAGTCCCTGATAGGCGTGACGGGGCTACAGCCGCTAGCCCGCCCACACCCGCCCACTAGGCTAAGGGAAACAGGGCCCGAGGGTACAACGCTAACGTTCCTAAATAAAGGGGCGATCCACCCCCGAGACAAGGAGTAGTGCAAAGCCAAAAAAGACAAGGAAGAGCGAGAGAGAAAAAAAACACAGACCTGCAGGCAAAGAAGAGAAAAAAAAATACGAGAAGTGGACAGGCAGATCAGGCCCTTCTGGAAGAGCCCGCCGACCCACCGCATGAGAAGGATGCCGTGGATCATGACATGCCCTGGACGGGCGCTGTCATTTCCAATCGAATTCCTGTTTGTCAGACGGATCTGCCGCCGCCCAGAGGGCCAGAGGGCCAGAGGACCAGAGGAGTGGCCGTGGGCTCGCAGCTTCTTCAAGGCGCAGCACGGTCGAGGTCCACGGTGAATCCTGTTGTGTACAGAATTAGATGCACCTCGGGTGCTCGAACACGAGATCCTGCCATCCATCCTGGGGGCAGCCGTCAGGAAGGAAAGTGAAATGCCAGTCAGCATGGCCTCCTCTGTCTTGTCTGTCTGCCAACGCCATCCATCATCGCCTGGACCTATCCTGCAGGCAATCTGGCTGCATTGAGGCACCCACCCCGATGTCAAAAACTTTTCCCTGCTGCTGCTGTTCTATTTTGGAAGCAAAGCGCTCTGGTTGGTTGGCGGACGAGGGTCTCTCGTGTGCACAGTCTCTCAACAGCTTCCATGCTCTCGCATCCTCGCCAGGGGCCCCTTTTTCCTGGTCCCAAGGCCACATTGATCAGATCCGCCCCATCGGCGCTACAAACCCAATAGCGCGTTGGATGCTGCGTCGTAGCGTCCAACAATCGCTGTTTTGGGAGGCTCTACTTGCCCACAGAACCATGTCTCAGCTGAGGTGGAGGCGGATTGTGAGCCGCCCCAAGCCTCTATTTTGCTTCATGTTGGGATCCTCGTCGAAGAATGTGCAGAGAACAGAGTACGGAGTACGGAGCACGGAGAACGGGAATGCAATCAATGTTCATTGCAGGCCGTCGTCTCCGGTCTGTTGCATTTCGGCTGCGTTTGTTCCAAGAAGCTCTGGATATTACTTGTGCAGCAGCAATGCAGGCCCGGATTCTGCTCTGTCAACCAAGGCAGGGCCCATGTCGACGCATGCACAATAAAGAGGACCAAAAGTACAAGTATGCCAGCAGGGATTTTTACCTGCAGTACTTCACAAGCTACAATACGAGTAGATGTCCCTACAAGTTACGCCCAACACTCTTCCCGACTCCCCCACCATCTCTTCCTCTTCTGCCCACCTTGACTAAGGCGAGACATTCTCGGTAGCGCCGTTCGTATCGCACCGTTTGCCACTACTCCATACCTCCCTCCATACCTCCATACCTACTCCGTATATATCTTCGTATGTGCTCCCAGCAAGTGTGGTGTAGGTAACTAACTTGCTAACTACTTCGTAGCTCTCGCCAAAGAAGGTTTCCCCCAGCATATCTGGCCCTACATCAGCATTCCAAACCCAGCTCTTCCGCCGGTGTTCTAGGCCGTGATACGTCAGCCCTCCACCGCTAGCGCGTCTAAGAGGCTGCTGTCTCAATTAGGTACACCACCATTATCATCATCATCATAGACACTGGCCATGCCGAGGTTGACGCTCGCCGGGTTCTAGGTACAAGTAGTTATCTGTGATACTCCTCAGGGCGCGTGTCTGAGCAGGCCAGGCTGTGTAGGTAAACCGGTGGCTGTCGAGTGCTACGTGCAGCAGTCTGGCAACTCCTCCCCCATTGCCCCGTGATATACGCCTGGTTTCCGGGTGCACGTTTTGTCAAACTCGGAACGGCCACCAGTGTAAACAAAGCTTCTGGTGTTACGGCGATAAGGATCCGTCAGCTTGGGTAGTGACGCGACGGGCACGAGGATAGGACTCGGCCAGCGAGCAGTCTTGTCTTGCCAATGCAGCAGCACAGGTAGTACGACAGCGTACACGCAGGCTCTTCTTCCGAGAAATATGCATAGTTGACTGCCCCTGGCATTGGCGACCCTTTGTGTTGTCATGATCAGCACCAATCATCCGGGGGTATCCGGGATATGGGGCGTGGCGTGTTTTCTTTTTTTTCTTCTTTCCCTCTGTTGATGGTGGCCGTTCCTGGCTCTGTCTGCCGTTCAGCACGGCCGAGTTGAGAATCCTGCATGTCATCCAAAACATGGAGGAACGGGCCAGGCAATCTTCAATAGACAGGGGCCTGTTCAGGATATCTACAGTACGGCCTCGTGAAGTTGGTACCGGAGCCAGGCCTCAACGGCCACCCACATCGATAGGATGGATCGTGGGCATCTTGGACCAAGGCCGCTGAGATCTCACACCACTCGTCCTGCTCTACGTAAGTATCTGAACCTGCTAGGGAATCGCGGTAGTGCCAGTGGATACGGAACACCATCGCCTGGTTTGGTGGGACAGCCCGGCGATACACACCCCCATCCCGGGACCATCTCCATGCGTCCCCTATGCTATGGCTGCGCTAATGGTCCATGCCGCCCGCCGTATGGAATCATCGTATCGGCCTACGTAGGTACCTGCTGGAGTGGAGGGTCCCTTTTTTTTTGCTTGTGTGTTAGTCGGTCCCAGTCCATGCCATGGGAGTTTGTGACGGCCCCTGCTGCCATTGTTACAGGGGACGACGCTCTTTTGGCATAGTTGCAATCATTGCCTGCTTTGATTCTTCGTCTCCTGGTGATTTTCTTTCCAGATTCGATTGCCCTTGTGTTGAATGTCGACACTCGTTTGTATAATCACGTTCGTTTTCTTTTTAGACGTCGTTTCAGCGGAGTGAAGTAGTCTTGGCTTGGTGTAATTCAACCGGCAAGCTCCTCTTGTGACAGGAGAGACAGAGAACACGCTCCCAGCAAGGACGTGGGCACCGTCCCCGAGTCCCAAGAACAACCAGACGTCGGCCTTCTCATCTGATTTCGGGAAGCCTTGGGGACAGCAGCCTGTTTCACACCTCTTTGTTTCTGACGCCAGTCGCTGGCTGTCTCGTCCTCCATCATGGCTCTCAACCTGCCTTCGTACGGCGGGAGCGGCGGCGCCCATACCCAACCGTCGCTTCCGTCCCTGCCCGCCCATCTCCAGTCCGATACGCACATCACGGCGCACCTGGCCAGTCGTTTCCACGTGTCGATACCTACCGCCCGGCTCTCCTCCCACGCCCTCATCTCCCTCAACACATACTCTTCCTCGTCCAAGGGCCTAGATGGTGGTAAGGAAGGCAGTGCCCAGGCCGGGGCCGAAGACATTGCCGAGAGGGCCTTCCTGCGCCTGGGCCACCGGTCGGAGAACCAGGCTGTCTTGTTCCTGTATGTCCGCTTTGCCTGGAACCGTCCTCTACCTGTCTCCGTTTGCATGCTGACTTGTCTGCTCAAGGGGTGAATCTGGCTCGGGAAAGACGACGATCCGGTCTCATCTGTTAACCGCCCTGCTCAACAAGTCCTCGACGCCTTTGTCCACCAAGGTTTCGTTGGCTGCATATGTCTTCGACACCCTCACCACCACCAAGACGGCCACCACGCCCACCGCCTCGAAAGCCGGTCTTTTCTACGAGCTGCAATATGACACGGCCTCCACCACCAACCCGATGCTCATTGGAGGCAAATTGCTCGACCATCGTCTCGAGCGCAGCAGGATTGCCGATGTGCCCACGGGAGAGCGAAACTTCCACGTGCTGTACTACCTTCTTGCCGGCACCAGCGCCGCCGAGAAGACCCATCTTGGCCTCGACGAGCCCCACGGAACCTCGCAGAGGCGGTGGAGGTATCTCGGCCACCCGACCCAGCTCAAGGTCGGCATCAACGACAGCGAGGGCTTCCAGCTCTTCAAGACGGCGCTGCGGAAGCTCGAGTTCCCCAGGAGCGAGATTGCCGAGATCTGCCAGGTCCTCGCGAGCATCCTGCACATCGGCCAGCTCGAGTTCGAGACGGCGTCCAGCACGACCGCCACCGCCGACGACAGCGGAGGCTTCTCCCACGAGGGTGGCCAGATGGTCACGGCCGTCAAGAACAAGGACGTCCTCGGCATCATCGCCGCCTTCCTCGGCGTCAGCGCCCAGGATCTGCAGACCACGCTCGGGTACAAGACCAAGATGATCCACAAGGAGAGGGTCACGGTCATGCTCGACCCCGCGGGCGCCCGAGGCAACGCCAACGAGCTCGCCCGGACTCTGTACTCTCTGCTCGTTGCCTTTGTCATCGAGAGCATCAACCAGAAGATCTGCGCGGCCGAGGAGTCCATCGCCAACACCATCTCCGTCATCGACTTCCCCGGCTTCTCTCAGATCTCGTCTACCCACTCCGCCCTGGACCAGCTGCTCAACAACGCCGCCACCGAGTCGCTGTACAACATCACCCTCCAGAACTTCTTCGACCGCAAGGCGGACATGCTCGAGACCGAGGAGGTCAGCGTCGCGGCCACCAGCTACTTTGACAACTCGGACGCCGTCAAGGGCCTGCTCAAGCCCGGCAACGGCCTGCTCAGCATCCTCGACGACCAGACGCGCCGCCACCGGACGGACATGCAGATGCTCGAGAGCCTGCGCAAGCGCTTCGAGGGCAAGAACCCGGCCATCGCCGTCAGCTCGGCCACCGCCAAGCTGCCCGGCAGCAACTTCCTGTCCGAGAACACCGCCGCGTCCTTCACCGTCAGGCACTTTGCCGGCGAGGTCGAGTACCCCGTCAAGGGCCTCGTCGAGGAGAACGGCGAGGTCATCTCGGGCGACCTGCTGAACCTGGTCAACTCGACCAAGAACGAGTTCATTGCCCGCCTCTTCGGCCAGGAGATCCTCCAGACGGTCGTCCACCCCCAGGAGAGGACGACGGTCATGCAGGCCTCCGTCAGCTCCAAGCCCATGCGTGCCCCCAGCGTCATGTCCAGGAAGGGCAGGGCGGGCGCCATGCGGCGGCGCCAGGAGTCGCTGGCCACCCGCCACGAAGTGATCGAGGATGTGGGCAGCGAGGCCGGCGACGCCACCGAGTCTCGCCGCGGCACTCGCCACACCGAGCAGGGCGCTTCGGGCCAGTTCCTGTCCGCTCTGGAGAACGTCACCAAGGCCTTCACCGCGCCCAACACAAACGCCTACTTCGTCTTTTGCCTGAAGCCCAACGACAGGCGGATCGCCAACCAGTTCGACAGCAAGTGCGTGCGGACGCAGGTGCAGACTTTTGGCATCGCCGAGATCAGCCAGAGGTTACGGTCTGCTGACTTCAGTCTGTTCCTCCCCTTCGGGGAATTCCTCGGCCTCACCGACAGCGAGACGCTGCTCGTCGGCAGCGAGCGCGAGAAGGTCGAGGGCGTCGTGGAGGAGAAGAGGTGGCCGAGCAACGAGATCCAGATCGGCTCCACCGGCGTGTTCCTCAGCGAGCGGTGCTGGATGGAGATTGCCCAGCTGGCCGACAGCGCCTCCGCGTCTGCCCGCTTCGGTCTGCCCTCGTCCGACGCCGGCGACGGCATGACCCCGCAGGATCCGTTCCTGGCGTCCAAGGAGAGGCTCGCCATGGGCAACTCGCCCTACAGCGACAAGGCCGGCGCGGGCTACTTTGGCAGCAAGGACGTGGACGCGCGCTCCGAGGCGGGCGTGTCCGCGTTCGGCGGCGGCGACATGTTCAAGAACCTGGATACGCGCGAGCAGATGGCCGAGCGCGGCAACGAGAAGTCGCTCGTCGAGGTGGAGGAGTACAAGGACAGCCCCAGCCGCAAGCGGTGGGTGTTTGTTGTTTACCTGCTCACCTGGTTCATTCCGGACTTCCTCATCCGGTGGGTCGGGCGCATGCCGCGCAAGGACGTCCGCATGGCCTGGCGCGAGAAGCTCGCCATCAACATCGTCATCTGGTTCAGCTGCCTGATCTCTGCCTTCTTCCTCATCGTCTTCCCCATGCTCATCTGCCCGACGCAGTACGTCTACACGGAGCAGGAGCTGTCCAAGTACAACGGCAAGCCGGGGAGCCCCGGCGCGCTCGCCGCCATCCGCGGCCAGGTGTTCGATCTAGGCGCCATCGCCAAGATTCACTACCCCAGGTACCTGCCCGAGAAGTCCATCCTGCAGTTCGGCGGTCTCGACATCACCGGCCTCTTCCCCGTCCAGGTCTCTGCTCTCTGCCAGGGCACGGGCGACGGCATCAACCCGGAGGTCACTCTGGACTTCAAGCCTGTCAACGTGACTGGCAGCGCCCCAAACCTTGTCAGCAACATCGATGCCAACGCGCACTATCATGATTTCCGATACTCGACAGATGACCCGCGTCCCGACTGGTTCTCCGAGATGATGATCATGCTCCGGTCCAACTACAAGAAGGGCAACGTCGGTTTCTCGCCGCAGACCGTCGCCAGCATGGCAAACAAGAAGTCGATGGCCATCCTCAGCGGCCACGTCTACGACTTGACGAATTACATCGCCGGTGGCCGACAGCTGGTGGCGCCGCCTGGACAGAAACCCACGGGCAGCGACTCTGACAAGGACTTCATGAACCAGCTCGTCGTCGACCTCTTCCAGCAGAAGGCCGGACAGGACGTCACCAAGTACTGGGAGGCGCTGGGCATCAGCCGTGACATGAAGAACCGGATGCAGCTCTGCCTCGACAACCTGTTTTACGTCGGCGACGTCGACACGCGCAACTCGGTCAAGTGCCAGTTCGCCAGCTACCTCATCCTCGCCGTGTCCGTCCTGCTCTGCTCCGTCATCGGCTTCAAGTTCTTCGCCGCCCTCCAGTTCGGCACCAAGAACATGCCCGAGAACCTGGACAAGTTCATCATGTGCCAGATCCCCGCCTACACCGAAGACGAGGACTCGCTGCGCCGCGCCATCGACTCGGCCGCCCGCATGCGCTACGACGACAAGCGCAAACTGCTGGTCATTGTCTGCGACGGTATGATTATCGGCCAGGGCAACGATCGGCCCACCCCGCGGATCGTGCTCGACATTCTCGGGGTGTCCGAGACCGTCGATCCGGAGCCGCTGAGCTTCGAGTCCCTGGGCGAGGGTCTGAAGCAGCACAACATGGGCAAGGTCTACTCTGGTCTCTACGAGGTGCAAGGCCACATCGTCCCCTTCCTGGTCATCGTCAAGGTCGGCAAGCCGTCCGAGGTCTCCCGCCCTGGCAACCGTGGCAAGCGCGACTCGCAGATGATCATCATGCGCTTCCTGAACCGCGTCCACTACAACCTGGCCATGAGCCCCCTCGAGCTGGAGATGTACCACCAGATCCGCAACATCATCGGCGTCAACCCGACCTTCTACGAGTTCATGCTGCAGATCGACGCCGACACGGTCGTCGCGCAGGACTCGGCCACGCGCATGGTCGCCGCGTTCCTGGACGACACGCGCATCATCGCGCTGTGCGGCGAGACGGCCCTGACCAACGGCAAGTCGTCCATCGTCACCATGATCCAGGTGTACGAGTACTACATCTCGCACAACCTGGCCAAGGCCTTCGAGTCGCTCTTCGGCTCCGTCACCTGCCTGCCCGGCTGCTTCTCCATGTACCGCATCCGCGCGGCCGAGACGGGCAAGCCCCTCTTCGTCTCGCGCGAGGTCGTCGAGGCCTACTCGACCATCCGCGTCGACACGCTGCACATGAAGAACCTGCTGCACCTGGGCGAGGACAGGTACCTGACGACGCTGCTGCTCAAGTTCCACAACAAGTACAAGACCAAGTACATCTTCAGCGCGCACGCGTGGACCATCGCGCCCGACTCGTGGGCCGTCTTCCTCTCGCAGCGCCGCCGGTGGATCAACTCGACGGTGCACAACCTCATGGAGCTCATCCCCATGGCCCAGCTCTGCGGCTTCTGCTGCTTCTCGATGCGCTTCGTCGTCTTCATCGACCTGCTGTCGACGGTCGTGCAGCCCGTGACCATCGCCTTCATCGTCTACCTCATCGTGCGCATGGTGCAGAACACGTCGTACATACCCGTCACGGCCTTCATCATGCTGGCCGCCATCTACGGCCTGCAGGCCATCATCTTCATCCTGCGCCGCAAGTGGGAGATGATCGGCTGGATGATCCTCTACATCCTCGCCATCCCCGTCTTCTCCTTCGCCCTCCCGCTCTACTCGTTCTGGCACATGGACGACTTCAACTGGGGCAACACCCGCGTGGTCGCCGGGGAGAAGGGCAAGAAGGTCGTCATCTCGGACGAGGGCAAGTTCGACCCCAGCTCGATCCCGCGCAAGAAGTGGGAGGAGTACCAGGCCGAGCTCTGGGACGCGCAGACGTCGCGCGGCGGCGACGACGCCCGGTCCGAGGTCTCGGGCTACTCGTACGCCACCAAGGCCGGGCCCCAGGTCGGCATCTCCGAGTACGGCTTCCCGGCCGGGTCGCGGCCCGGCAGCACGGCCGGCTTCCACAACATCAACAACCCGTACGAGGTCAGCCGGACGCCGCCCGTGCTGCTGCCGCACAACGCGAGCCGGATGAGCTTTGCCAACATGAGCGAGATGCCCGGGGGGAACAATCGGATGAGCCAGTTCGGCGGCAGCCAGTTCTTTGGCGGCAGCGAGATGGAGCTGGCGAACCTGGCGGGCCTGCCGAGCGACGACGCGCTGCTGGCCGAGATACGCGAGATCCTGCGCACGGCGGACCTCATGACGGTGACCAAGAAGGCCATCAAGCAGGAGCTCGAGAGGCGGTTCGGCGTGAACCTCGACGCGAGGAGGGCGTATATCAACAGTGGTATGTTTTTTTTGTTGCTTCCCTCTCGCTTCTCTCTCTCTCTCTCAAGAAGAAGAGAATGACTTTTTGCTGACATGGTGAAAAATAGCTACCGAGGCCTTGCTGTCTGGTCAGCTGTAGAACAACGGGTCCGATCTTTTGGTTCTTGGATGGATCTCTTTTGGATTACTTTCTTCATATTAACGATATATGATGAGCCCGAAATATCTTTCCCCCTACCTACTACTTGTCGACGGTATCACTACCATACCTCTTTCCCTACAAAATTTTAATCAATCAACACAAGCCTAGCATCGTTCGGGGTAGGGAGGAAGGGTTTCTGGTCAGGGCGAAGAGAGAGAGAGAGAGAGAGAGCTACACACAAAGTCTTGATCTCCGAAAAGATGTTCGGACGAGATAATGATCATTCCTTCCTTGTACATCTTGGGAATGGGGTATTCGAAGCATTAATAATGGGTGTGTGTTTGACCGAACAAAACAGAAAGCATATGTGTGAATTGGGACTTGTTTTCTTTTTCCTTCGTTCACTTATATATAGGCCGAGTGTGTATCTCGTTTTTTCTTGGGTCATCACGGGAGTTGGAAACGTGTTGCTTTGTTATTTACTTTGGACAAAAGCTACGATTATTAGCTATCATATGCTAGATAAGAATTTGAGCATCAAATATTTCAATCTCGTTCCGAGTCATCACAGTGGCCTTTTGAGATTGTAAGGTAGAGGTGATTGATACTCCATTGCTTTATTATTCTTCCTAAATAAAAAGAACTCAATAGGCAAGATCAATCATGATTTTGAAAATCGCACCAGTAAACCAATGAAGAGTTAAATTGCAAAATACAAGTCAAGAGATACCTCCGCAGCACACAGACACAGTGAAGACAACCCAAGAGCCAACCAGACCATACCACCCCTCCCTAGATACCGCACTATTGTTTCTCAGACCCAATGCCTACTTGCGAAGCGCGGGCGGCCTTGACGGCGGGGACCTCCTCGTCGAGGGGCAGGATATCGGGCAGGGGGCCGACGGGAGTGATGCTGAAGGGGTTGATCTGCGTGTGGCTCTTGGTGTAGTGCTTCTTGATGTGGACAAAGTTGGTCGTCTCGCGGAAGGCAGGCACACGCCAGTAGAGCTCGCGCATCCAGCGGTGCAGGTGCGGGTAGCCGGAGCGGATGTCGCGGATGTTGCACTTGAAGTGCTGTACGTAGACGGGCTGTTGACAGTTTTCTGTTAGTGATCGGAGAAGACTGCTTTTCCTTCGGGAAACAAGATGGTGTGGATCAACAGAAGACGCATGGGCCAGGGTACCAAGGGGAGCCAGGGGGGGTGAAGAGACGACAACCGGGTACTTGGAGTGAATCACGGAGCGGGATATGGCTGGCTGCATTGCCGTGGCATTCGGTGTGCAGAAAAGACGGCGAGGTGCAGTGGTTGCACAAAGTGGTCCGCATTCAAATGCAGAGGACCAGACAAAGGAGAGATTGGTAGCTTACATCGAAGCGGATCAGGGTCACGAAACTGCAACGAGAATACACAAAGTCAGCGGACGGGTGCCTTTCATGGTCAACCGAAAAGAGAAACACTCACAGCCTGATGTCGACCTCAGTGATATCCTTGCCATACCAGTAGGGCCCATCCTCAGGCTTGCGGGAGGCAAGGTGGGCTTCTGCTCTATCGAGGGCCTCGAAGAGGACCTTGACGTTGCGCTCGTAGGCATCCTGAGTGGTGGCAAAGCCAGACTTGTAGACGCCGTTGTTGATCTGGTCATAGACCCACTCGTGCGTCTCCTCGATGTCCTTGCGGAGCGCCTCTGGGTATAGGACGATCTTGCGGTACTTTTCCTCGACAAGGTCGTCGAACTTGAAAGCTTATTGTCAGTTCTGAGTTGCGAACTGGCTCTTTCTTGTCTTGGCCTACCTCGGTGCCCATCATGCGGAGGATCTCGCTGCTCTCGTTGCTCACGATGGTCTTCTGGATCTTGTCATAGAGCACGGGAACCGTGAAGCGGCCGTCATAGTTGGGCTCGGATTCAAAGTAGATATCCCGGAGGTGAGTGAACTTCTCGTGGCCCTCGATGGGGTCAGGGATGACGTTCTCGCCGTCCTTGTTGCTTTCATCGGCAGAGACAAAGCTCCATCCTAATGTGCGGAGTCAGTCCCGTCTCTCTTCGAAGGAGCCCCTCGATACGAAGAGGCGTGATGGACAAACGTACCCTTCTGGCCAAGGTGCCAGTGCACAGAGGAGAAGGTGATGATGTCCTCGAGGCCCTTGAGCTTCCTGGCAATCAGGGTGCGGTTGGCCTATTCAACAGCGGTGTGAGTAGACCATGGCCAGACCAAGGGGACAGTGGAACAAGACTCGTAACATACCCAGGGGCAAGCATAGCTGATATAGAGGTGATATCTGCCCTTCTCGGCGGGGAACTGGGCACCTTTCTCCTTGGAGACCCAGTTGCGGAAGGAGCTGACCTGGCGCTTGAATTCGCCAGTTTTGTCGTCAGTCTTCACCCAGTCGGTGATCCTCCTTCCATCGGGTGCCTTGTCGATGAGGATAGTGGTCAGCGAGCTGTCTTTGACGATGGGCATCTTGGTAGAATTTGAACGGGGTTTCAAAGAAGGGAGGATTGGGCCTGTCTGTTCTTGAATACCGTGCTCGTGCTTGTGCCTGTGCTCTCTTGTACGGCGAGCCTGGGAGTCATGGCAAGGCTTGTTGAAAACAGCCAGCATCCGAGCAGACTTATATAGAGCAGCAAAGCAGGAGCACCTTTGGCTACGGCACTAGACGCAGCAGGCCGTGTATCACGGCACCAGGATCAGAGCCCAACCCCTGCTAAGAACAACCGAGGGGAGCAACACCACCACCACTACCATGGACGGCACGGAGCTTACCTCCGACATGCTGAAGCGACGAGCAGATCCCGGTAGTTGGAGAGATGTGAAGGAGCTAGGGGGAGCTGAAGACAGAGGTGGTGTGTTCCGTGCGCCGGGCGATCCTATAGTCGATATCCGGGAGGTTAAGATGAAGTGGCCGATCGAGGGCTTGGCTGCGATGGACGAGGGGCGGCGACAAGCGAACCTGGTAGCTGGGATGAAGACGGTACGCTGGATGGGCGTAGTGAGACGGGCAGGGGTCATGGGATGCAACGACGAGGCGGCTCAGGACAGGAGGGTTCACGGAGAGAGAGGAGGGGTATTAATTGCGATAGAGGGGGTGATGTATCGCCGTGGCTGTATGGGGTGTTATAAGTGTCGGCGTATGAGAGTGAGAGATGTCGTAATTCTTAGTAGTCCCTTTCAAATCAAAAGTAGATCTGTTAGTGCGATCAAGAGTCGACGTTGTCTCGCGGGTTTCTCTCGCGGAGACTGACTAATGACGCTGGCAGAGCTATGTACGGAGTAGGCCCTCTAAGTCTCGGCCTCCTGCTAGCAGCGTCCTTGAGCATTAGTCAAGCACTACAAATCATCACCATTACTTTACTCATGGCTCGCTCAATCGCTCCTTCCCCACCAAAGCATGTTTCCCCCACCTTCCCTCTGAGCTGAGCTGGGCTGGCCAGATAAGTTCAGACTGCATTGTATTATTTGATTCTTGTCACTGCTTCATTTCGCCGCGTCTTTCGGGAGAAATCGCTCAGGCTGTGATATTCGAAAGTTCGAAGCCACTCGACAATCACAAGGCATCGGGACCATGTTGCTTTTCCTTGGCTGCAAAGAGGAATTCTCCGCGGCCAGCTGTGACGTAACGACTGTCTAGACCAGAGAAGGAGCTTGTGTGGAGCCTCTCACTGTTGAAGCTGGCCGATGCGATGATACAGCAAGACCAAACACCAAAACACCAAAGTCCCGTCTTCAGCAACATCGTGATACCGCTAGACCCGCCTGACCTTCACCAGAGTGGCCGTCTCTGTCTCCTGTCGCCCTGTCTATTGGCTATGGGCTTTGGGGGCTTTGCTTTTGCTCTCTTTACATTGCATTCCCGCGTCCGAAAATGTGCAAATATCCCCATTCCCTGCAGCCAGCGGCGTGATAGTCGGTCGAGTGACGCGTCAGTGCTATTGCAGCTTCAATGTCACCTTGCTCAACGTCTCCCGTGCGATCATTCGTTTGTTTGCCTAGTCTGAGCAACCCTCGAAGCCCTGTCATGCACGAGGACAGCCACACAGAACTGCAGTCATCAAGCAAACCTGCAGATCCAAGAAGCCGAGAACCCGGTTGCGGGCTACCAGCCAGAAAGGCCTCACCACGATGATGCCCAAGGCCAGACCAGGATAGTGTTTATTGAACCTTATTCCCTCCAAGCCTGGAGCTGCCAGGCATGGCCTGAGGTCTGCAATTCGCGAATGCTTCTTGGCCATCCTGGCGCAGAGATAAGCATCTCATTGGGCTGCCGGCCGGGCTCGCCCGCCAGCCACTTGCTTCCCGTCCCAGGAAACTCCCCATGGGCTTGCCCGCTAACAAGCTGAGTCTAGAATGTCAACTTGAAACTGCAGAGACTAACCTGAATCAAGCTTGTTTCCAATAAGCCTCAGACGGGCTGTCCCGCAGTCTCGATTGTGGCTCTGGAAAAACATGCCATCTTTCCTCTTGCTGGGTCGTTTCTGCCGCCACCGTCCAATAGGTCTGGGGAAAAAGCAACTTGCAGAGTTCACGACTAGCCCCCCGGCCCTTGTACTACACATAACCTCCCTCCCTGCTTGTACGCCTGCATGGCACGATGGCTGCATGGAGGTGCGCTCTCCCTCATGAGAGGCGCGCCGGACATGCCTTGCACGTGGTCCTATAGGTTGCACAGCTTGGAGCTAGACGTTGGGACGCTCTTTCAGACCATGTGCTCTCGGGCCGTCCCCCATGATCCTCGGTCTACGGCACTGACGGGGTCCGGTATATTTGGAAGCAGCAGGGGTTGATCATGTTTGGCTGCTTCCTCTTCCTTGTCGCACATGCAATGTCTATCTGATACCTGCACAACCGACCTCGAAAATCATGTTTATTCGCACCCCTTTCTAACCCTTGCTCTCAATTCGACATCTAGACACCACTCCCAAACTCACGAATCACGCTCTTGGGGTTCGTGTACTCGCCCACGCCGACAAACGGCATGTCGAGCTTGAAGTTCTCTGGGCCCCCGACCTTGAGGCCCTTCTCCATTTTCCAGAGCGGGTGCGCAGGCATGGCAATCACATTGACTCTGAGCCCGTACCGCAGCTCCTGAGACCCTATCGCCTCGCCGTCCTGGCCCAGGATTGAGATGAGGTCTGGCACTGTGCACGCCACCTCTCGGCCCTCGGCCGAGCCGTTCTCGTCGGTGAAGGCGGCGTAAAGATACTCGTTCTGGAAGGGAATGAACATGTGCTGCATCCTAGGATTGCTCGGTGCCAGGGCTGCGACCTTGCCTGCTCCGGCGCCCTCTCGCTCGTCGCTGCTGAGCGGTGCGATGAGAACGCTGCCCATGGTGTAGCCACGCCCGATGTCCCGCTGGACGTCGGCGATCTTGCCCGTGAAGAGCAATTTGCCGGGGTTAATGTCGAACTGGGGCACACGCAGTCAGTTGTCAGTCAGAGAACAGAAGAGGGTGTCCTCGTGCTTATCGGTCGGGGGTGCACTGGTCCGGGCTTACAATGGCATCGACGTAGCTCGTCTTGTTCTTGCGTGCTGCGTGCACGGCACGGCCCAAGTACCAAGCCTGAGAGACGGTGTTGGGAATGGCCAGCTCTTTGATCACCTTGCCGGGCAAGGGGCGCGCGCAGACGGCGCAGCTCAGGCCAAGCTCGACGGCGGTCGTCCGCAGCATCGTCTCGATGCGGGCTGGCGACTCGCCATTCTGCAGATCGAACCTATCAGCTTGTTGCTTTTCCTCATTCCTTTATATAGTGCATGTTATAAGAGATGCAATGCAACTCACCATCACAACTGAGCAGTTGTCTCGGCCGTCCGTCAATACGACGGGGCAGATCGGTTGGTCGTAGACGTACATGGTTGCTGTGTCACCCCCAATATCAGTCTATGAGCCTGGGGGGGTAGGGATTTTGTGCATACTATGATACATGGTAGGATACGCCCTGCCCATGCCGTCCGCGTCGACAACCGGGATGCCGTACTTGACGCTCGTCGGGAATGCACTCAGGCCGTTCTGCCCACCACTACAACACAGCCACCACCGTGTTAGTGACAAAAACTACTTGGTATGTACTCATGCAATACGAGTTCCATCCAGCACGTACATCTCATCCGACACGATCCCGGCCACGCTCTCGATGCCCATGATCTTGGTCAGCGTGTCGATGCCGAGGCTCATCTCGTTGCCGCCGGAGATGCGCTCGCTGCTGACGCTCGGCGCGCCGTACCACGCCCCAAAGGCCACGAGGTCCGCGTCCCGCAGCGCCGAGGGGTCGACGACGCGCATCTTGCCCGGCCCGGCCCGGCGCAGCGCGTCGACGCTCTTGAGGAACTCGTGGTGCGTCGGCCCGCCGCCCCCGGTGCCCAGGACGCCGGCGCCCGTGCCGATGAGCTCGAGGTCCACCTCGGACGGGTACCACACGCCGCCGCGCACCTCGGGCCGGTAGGCGTCGAGGTCGACCCTGAGCGAGGGCCGGCAGCTCGGCTCCAGGGCGTCCGGGACGGGGACCTTGTCGCCCTCGGGCTCGTCGTCGTCGTTCAGGTCCACAGCCGCAGACTCCCGGGCGTCTCCTGGCTGCTGCTGCTGCTGCCGCTGCCTCTCCGCGAGGCTAGCCGCGTCCGGCACGGCCAGCTTGCCCACGGCGCGCACCTGGATCCTCGTCGCGCGGTTGCTGACGTACTGCAGCGGCACCTTGGCCACGTCGACGATCTGCACCGTCCGCCGGTCCGCGCCCCGGGCGACCGCCCGCTCGACGGCCTCGGCGCACGCCTCGGCCAGCACGGCCCTCTCGTCCCGGCCCTCGAGGATCTCCATCCGGTCCACCTCGCCCGCCACTCTGGCGATGGCCGCGCCCACGGCGTTGGCGGCCCCGTGGTGCAGGGGGCGCACGCACCGCGCCACGCCCTCGAGCTCCTGCTCCCCGCCGTCGCCGTCGCCGTCGACGGCCGCGAGCAGGACGGACCCGCCGCCGACGAGGAGGACGTGCACGGGCGCCGCCGAGACCTTCATCTCGTCGACGACGGCCTCGAGCATCTTCTTGATGCGGAGGCGGGCCTTGCTCACGACCCGCGGCGGCAGGTCCGCGACGAGACTGGCGTCTCCGAGCTGCTCGGTCACTTTGCCCGTCGCGACGGCGATGTCGGTCGCCGTCAGGGTCGGCCCGCCGAACACGCGCGCCTGCGTCGTGAGGTAGTGGCCCACCGAGGCCGGGCCGACCTCGACCTCGACCTCGCCCGCAGCCTCGTCGGCGGCGACGACGACCTTGGACCCGCCCCCCAAGCCGATGGACTTGACCTCTGGCATCGAGAAGGCCGTCCGCACGCCGCCCACCTCGACGAATCCGGGCGCCTGCCGTGGGAACCCGGACGGCAGCAGGGCGCACACGTCGGTGGTCGTGCCGCCGATGTCGACGACCAGGACCTGCGGCGGCGGCTCCCCTCGCTCCCCTCCCCCCTCCTCCCCTTGTTTCTCCTGGCCACCACCACCACCACCACCTAGTGCTCCCTCCGCCACCACCACCGAGTGCGGCTTGTCCAGCCCGGCCAGGAACGCCGCGCCCGTCATGCTGTTCGTCGGCCCGCTGGCGAACGTCTTGATGGGGAACTCGGCCGCGGCGGCCGCCTCGATGAGCGTCCCGTCGTTCTGCGACAGGTACAGCGGGCAGGCCGCGAGGCCGAGCCGCGCCATGGCCCTCCGGAAGCCGGCGATGGCCCGCCGCGCCGTGCGCAGGACCGCCGCGTTGAGCACCGTCGCGTTCTCGCGCTCGAGGAGCCCCGGACCCCCGACCTCGCCCGAGCACACGACGTCGAACTCCTCGCCCGGCGCCAGCAGGCCCTCGGCCGCCACCGCCTCGAGCATGACCTCCCTGCACCGCCGCTCGTGCGCCCCCGCGTGGTCCATGCTCGCGAACACGCCGACCAGCGCCACGGCCCGCACGCCGGACCGCGCGATATCCCGCGCCGCGGCCCGCACGGCCTCCTCGTCCAGCGGCGCGATCTCGCGCCCGTCGATCTCGAGCCCGCCGCCGAGGTAGGTGACCCCGCCGTCGAGGACGCGCCTCAGGCCGACGGGAAAGTCGCTGAGGGGCGGGATCTCGCGCGTGAAGGGCCCGCAGAGGCGCACGACGGCGACGCGGGCCAGGCGCCGCGCGTCGGCCTCGACGAGCGCGTTGATAAAGTGCGTCGTGCCGACGGTGACGGACAGCAGGCGGCTCAGCTTGTCCTGGTCGGCGGCGACGCCCGACTGCCGGAGCACGGCGGCGATGGCGGCCTCGATGCCCGACGTGATGTCGGGCGTTGTGGACGACTTGTGCGAGGCGAGGACGCCCCGGCCGGGGGAGTCGAGGGCCGTGACGTCGAGCAGGGCGGCGTCGGTGTTTGTGCCGCCCACGTCTACGCCGATGCGGTACATGTTTGGGTCTGAACGGTTGGTGTCAATGCTCTGTGTGTTGTCGGTCTATATCTACTGTATCGATTTAAAGGGAAAGGACAGTAGTAATATCGTCGGCGTGAACGACGCAATTCCTATGTCAAGGGCAAGGAGACAATGGTCGAAGAGAGTTGTATGCATGAGTCCATGAGGGGTCTATCTCCCCCTGTCCCGGAGTGAGATGTCTGTTTTAAATAGTTACACGGAGACGTCCCTCTGAACAAATTCAAAGCCGACACCAGCCCGCTATCACGGCCTCTCATCTCCGCAAGCACTCCCCACCTCGCGTTGGGAAGCTCTCGTAGTCTCAGGTAATGATGGGATGTTGTTGGAGAGAGGTAGACTGGTTCATCATGATGGGTGACTGATCGGCCAACTTCAACCACGCCGATCGGCGGGGAGGCGATGCTGTGTTAGTGCCCCTCATTCATCTTCCACCAATATCTGATATGTTGGGGCACACGTGATGTTCACCTCTAAGCACCCTCGTGGCATCACTGCGAATAACCTCAAGTGTAGCCAAAGGGGTCATTTTGGCCCCCCCCCTCTCCTGGAGGTGCATTTTATGGCTTGTGATATAGCCCCTGTCCTAACAATGCCCGTACAAACCAATTAACTGTACTCCTGTAGAATTCTATTAATACCACACCGTCCCTTTTGATAACTGTACAAGTAATTCTGATTCTCTAACTACTCTTACTTATCATCTAAGTTATTAATATTAGCAGCCTCCAGTGGGTCAGTATGCTATAGCTCTGGACTATAGTGGTATGAGCTAGTGGAGAAAGTGCTGAGGATTTAGCTAGACAGTGAAGCTTGGTCTAACATCCCCTCTACTCCCGTTGCTATAGCTTCCCAAAGCTGTGATCCTTGCAAATAACCCATGGCTGTCCAGCATGCACTTTCCTTGACAACAGCTACTACTCTTCTATAGTCTATCGCAGTTGGTAGTTTCTTGATACTGGCTGTTCTTCATCGTAATCTGACGTTGTGTGTGGGGCTGAGACTGTGACTGAAATGCAAGATGCCCAACTCCCGCGACATGCGTCAACCGGCCAACCCGCAACATCAAGTCGCACGGAGTGTGTAGCACGCGAGGCTGACTCAAAAGCGGCATTGGGCCAGAAGATGCAGTCTTCATCAGGCATCTACGCGTTGATCTCATCTCCAACGGCAGCAGCTCGATAACTCTAGAGTCAAAGCAACATCCGGGTAGCTATTCACAAGCCTGCGTCCTTCATAGGCGTTCTCAGTAGGTTGTTCGACCTGACGGATAAACTCGAGCTAATAATGTCCTCAAAGACGACCAGATGGACCCTCTCAGCATTACTGCCAGCGTCATCGCTATCATCCAGCTATCATCCGAGGTCGTCGGGTTCATCGGAAGCGCCGCCGGGGCGTCAAAGACGCGAAGACTCCTCCGCGAGGAAATCCAAGCCTGCGATAAGATTCTTCAGGACATCAAGGACGAGGCGGATGATTCAGAAGAAGGAAAGGCATGGTCGGAGAAGATCAGAGTCCTCGAGTATCCAGATGGTCCACTTAGTCGGCTCTCGATCGCGTTGAGGCTGGTCAAAGCCAAACTCGAGCCTAAGGACGGTCAGAAGAAGGTACTCACAGCCTTGAAATGGCCATTCGAAGAGAAGGAAGTTCAAAAGATCATCGACGCAATCGAGCGCGAGAAGAAGCTGCTACTTTTGGCTCTGGAGAACAACCATCGAAAACTGGTCCAAAGCATTCAGAGGTCTGCCAAGGACCACCAGAAGCAGCTGCTTGAGTTGATCGAAGCTGTTAAGGACGGCTCCAAGAAGAGCCAGGATAGCCTTGCGAAGCTGGGCGATGAGATCACACAGGTCGTGGTTTCACAAGATGATTTGAAGGATGGCATCGATCGTCTGCGTCTTCATGATGATCATCGAGAAGCGACCGAAGCGTATCAGGAAATCTTAGAGTGGCTCACACCGGTCGACTATGCTGCTCAGCACAGCGACTTCATCAATCGACAACAACAAGGAACAGGCGGTTGGCTTATTGATTCAGAGGAATACCGCACGTGGGTACAAACGCCCAAGACGACGCTGTTCTGTCCTGGGATTCCTGGAGCAGGAAAGACTATCCTCACCGCAATTACCATCGATGATCTATTTGAACGGTTTCAGGGATCCGAAGATACTGCTATTGCATATGTCTACTGCAACTTCAGGCAGCAAAACGAACAGACCGTCGACAACATGCTTGCAAGCCTCCTGAAGCAGCTGAGTGAGAAGAGAGCATCCCCGCCAGCTAGCTTGACTGCTCTCTATGAACAGCACAAGGCCAAACACACGCGGCCATCATTCGATGAGATATCGAAGACGCTGCAGGTCGTCACTGCTATATATTCCAGGGTTTTTGTTGTAATCAACACCTTAGACAAGACTAGTGTGGTTGACGGCTGCCAGACGAGACTCCTGACAGAACTTTTCAAAGTTCAAGCGAGCTCGGAGGCCAACGTTTTTGTTACATCAAGGCACATCCCTAATATCACTAGCGAGTTCAACAAAAGGGCCGGATGCACCTCATTAGAGATTCACGCGAGAGAGGAAGACATGAGGCGATATCTTGATAGCCACATCGACCGGCTTCCAAGCTTTGCGCGCAACAATTCATTGCTACAGGAAGAGATCCTAAGTAAAATTGTCCAGTCGGTACAGGGGATGTACGTCAGTTCCTATCCGTATGCGAGGTTTAATATTTACACAGACTTAGGTTCCTTCTCGCCCAGCTCTACCTCAAGTCCTTAGGGGGCAAAAGGTCTCCAAAGGCCGTCCGCACAGCATTAGCAAACCTGCCCTCAGGCTCAGGAGCAAAGGCATACGACTTTGCGTATCAGGATGCAATGGCACGGATCGACGGCCAGCTAGAAGACCAAACAGTGCTCGCGAAGCAGGTCTTGGCCTGGATTACGCTTGCGAAGAGACCGCTCACTCCGCTAGAGCTTCAGAATGCACTCGCAGTAGAGTTTGGTACTTCCGAGCTGGATACGGAGAACTTGCCCCAGATCGAGGACATGATATCTGTCTGTGCTGGATTGGTGACAATTGACGAGGAAAGTCGCATCATCCGCTTGGTCCACTACACGACGCAAGAATACTTTGAGCGGCCTGGAACACAACAGCGCTGGTTTCCAGATGCCCAAGCTGAGATCACAACCGTTTGTGTCACTTATCTATCATACAACGCCTTCGAATCCGGATTCTGCAAAAGCGATGATGCATTTGAAAAGCGGTTGCTATTAAATCCGTTTTACGACTACGCAGCACATCACTGGGGAAGCCATGCTCGTGAAGCGGCGACTCTACCTGAAGGGGTAATGGAATTCTTAACGGATGTAGCAAAGGTCGAGGCATCAAGTCAGACATTACTGGCTTCTTCCATGAGACAGTGGGGCCCATCTTACAAGTACAGCCAAAGAGTTCCACAACAAGTAGTGGGACTTCATTTAGCAGCATATTTCGGCGTTCAAGAAGCAGGGCATATCCTTCTTCAAGCCTCAAAAAACGTAGATGTGTGTGATAGCTACAGCCGGACGCCGCTGTCGTGGGCTGCCGACAGCGGACACGAGGCTGTCGTGCGGCTGCTTCTTGACAGAGGCGCAGAGATCGAGGCTAAGGACAGTGACGGCCGGACGCCGCTGTTGTGGGCTGCTGACAGTAGAGATGAGGCTGTCATACAGCTACTTCTCGACAGAGGTGCAGATATCGAGGCTAAGGACATTGACGGCTGGACGCCGCTATTGTGGGCTGCTGACAGTGGAGATGAGGCTGTCATACGGCTGCTTCTTAATAGAGGTGCAGATATTGAGGCTAAGGACAGTATTAGCTGGACGCCACTATTACAGGCTACTAACAATAGAAACAAGGCTGTCATGCAGCTACTTCTCGACAGAGGCGCAGATATCGAGGCTAAGGACAGTGACGGCTGGACACCACTGTGGCAGGCTGCCTACCGCAGACATGAGGCTGTCATGCAGCTACTTCTCGACAGAGGCGCAGATGTCGAGGCTAAGGACAGTGACGGCTGGACACCGCTATTGTGGGCTGCCAGCAGAGGACACGAGGCTGTCGTGCAGCTACTTCTCGACAGAGGCGCAGATATCGAGGCTAAGGACAGTTGTGGCCGGACCCTACTCCAGTTAGCTGTTTTCAATGGCCATGATATCGCTGAAGAGATACTAGTCTCGAGGGGAGCATGTATCGAAGATTTTTATGGTCTCCGAGGACTGTTCTCAGCGAGCATTTGAGGAACCCAGGCTTGCATGGCGTTAGGTATTGGTAGAGGTTTGTAACGAGACAAATTTTAGGTACTTTGAGGATCGACTTGGCTGCAAAACCATAAAAATCACCATATGTGGCACGAAGGAACCGCAAAGTCGCAAGTGCAAAGGTGTCTACCGTTTTGGCAATTCTAATACCCTAGCTCTACCCCAGCAGACGAGGAACCCAACGTCTAAAACGCATATCGTAGGGCCCAGGTGATCCTGTGAGATGGTGTGTGCGCGTGAACGAGGCAGATAGTTAGATGATGTTTCATCCGCGCGAGAAATCAAAAAGACAAGGAAAATGATAAACCTTATGCATCCCATGACACGAACTTTCCTAAACCATGCATTTTTCGCATAGTAACTCTTATTTCCCCTCAGTGTAGGCCCCCTCATATCTACCTGATCTTGACCTTGATGTACGGAACCTCGACGTCCTCTCCGTCGACATCCTCCGTGACCACCTCAAAGATGACCTCCTTCTGGTGCTCCGGGATGGGCTTCTTGGAGATCGTCTCCACGAGCTGGCTCAGCTTGAGGCCGTATCGGTCCTTCAGCTTGGCCGGCGGGAAGAACGACGCGTACAGCAGGCTGACACCCGAGCTCAGCATGGAGATGCTGAGGCCGCGCTTCTCAAAGTCGTCGATGAGCTCCCGGAGAGTGATATCCGACAGTTCGAAGCGATCCCAGATCTTGTCGAGAGTGACCTTGCCGTTCGGGCCCTTGTACTCGACCTTGGGGCTGGCAATGGGCTCGCTGAACCCAAAGAAGGGCAGCGCCAGGTTGATGAAGCCGTTCTTGTACTGCTCGATATCGTCCTTGCCATCCACAATCTTGTGGTGCTCGAGAATGACCAGGCCAGTGACCAACGCAGTCGTTGTCGCGATGGCGGGGATAATCTTGCCAGCAATGAACTTGGTCTTGTGGCGATCCGCAGTCTCGATCTTGTAGTTCTCCGCGCGCAGGTTGCTGGCGGCAGTGATGAAGTCGATGTGGTGGTTGGTATCATCGTCCTTCTCAAACTCGACAGGGGTCAGCTTGAAGCCGGCGAGCGAGCTGGGCTCGGGGATCTCGTTCATGATCTGCTGCAGCTCGGCGTTGTCATCAAAGGAGCTGCCACCGGCGGCCGGAGCATTCGGGTCCTAGTACAATTAGCATCTCTCCTCGTCCGAGTGAGTCTAGCACAACTTACAGGATCCTTGTCGTCAGCCTGGATCTTGACACCCGGATCGGGCGAGAAGTCAGGAACGATGGTGTTCTCGAGGGCAGTCAGGTACGCCGCCTTGTCCTTGCCTTTAATGTTAATATTGTAGTTGAAGGCGTGCAGGTTGGTAGCAGCCACGAGGAAGCTGAAATGAGTCGGGTTGGAAGGGTCGAACTTGATCGGATCCGGGGCCCGCTTCGGGCCAGACCAGAACGGCGTTCCGGTGGAAGAGACAGAGTCTTTGGGAAAGTTGAACAGCAGCTGCTGGATGGCGTTGTTGTACTGCTTCTCGAAGAGCATGCGGGCCCAGCTGACGCAGTCCTCAAACGACAGGGGCCGGTCGTTCTTGAGGTAGTCTCGAAGCATCTCGAGAGTGGCCTTCTCGTTCCCACCCTGCTTGAGAGTGCTCTCCATGTAGTTGGGCAGCGTCAGGTATAGATTGACCGTCTCGGCAGGCTTGACGAAACACGTGTCAAAGAGCTCACGAGCCCATGCGATGGTGTGCTCAATCTTGTTGGGGAAGCTGCGGAGAGTGCACATGGGGAACGATTGCTCGGGGGGATCCTGAGAGGACGAGTAGGACTCGGTGAGGTTAGGCAAGACGACTTGAGTGTTTCCCTTGGTCCCGAGAGTTCCACTCTCGAGCAGAGGTTTGTGGAAGAAGACACAGCGTCGGTCGACGTACGTCCTCGCCTCAACGTTGTCAAGGGCATTGGTGACACCATCCAGGCCCTCCCAAAACTCCTCGTTGAAGATGTGCTCGGTCTCGGGGCTAACGCGATCCTTGAGACACACGATATGTCCCTTGAGGTCAGGGTTCATCAGCTGCACCGCCGCCGCCGCACAGTCGCTCTTCATCTTTCCGACGTCCTTGGCGCGGAACAGGAATTGACGGTTCAGGTTGCTCTTCTCAATGGAGTCCATATCGGTGATGATGATCTTGCCTTTGGGGCCGGTACCAAGACCAATCATCGCGAAATTCTTCAGCATCTCGCAGCCGATGGCGCCGGCACCGACAAGGAACTGCTTCAGATTGGACAGCTTCTCCTGGTACTCCTTGCCAAAAACGACAATCTGGCCGTCATAGCGTGTTCCCTGGGGCTTGCAAAGCTCCTCGGAGCGCGCAAAGTTGGTCGGGAGTGACTCAAGAGAGTCAAAGTACATCCACTGCTTGACGGGGTGGAACTTTCCAGAGACGGCCTTCAGCACCTCTTGTGCGGTCACACCTCCGAAGAACGCAGCCATGGCGTTCAGGTCGCCCATTGCTTGGTAGCTCAGCTCGGTGAGCAGCTCTTCGTCGATCTCGACCTCAATGCCTTCGGCCTTGCTGAACGCCTTGGCCGAGTTCACGAGCACGGCAGCATCCTCGGCATTCATCGGACGAGGGAGGCGGCCGTGCGTCTGCACGTATGCGTGAAGGGCTTGGAATCCAACATGGAGCTGCTGAGGCCGATCAAACTTGGCAAAGTCAGATATCACAAACTCGGGGTCCTTGAGCGCCTCCGAGATGGACTTGAAGTCGACAAACTTGGGCATCTTGACCTGCTGGTACAATCCGCCACGCTTATACTGGCCGAGTCCAGAGACGTCGCCGATTGAAAAGGTGTAGGGCCCCTTGACCGTGACCTTCCTCGGCTCGCAACCGTTCAGCGCCTCCATACCCTCGACCTCGGAGAATGTAACGTAGTCTCCATCCTCAAGGCCGTGCCGAGTCTCGTCCAGTGCCGAGACTAGGCCCTCCTCGTCGATACCAGCAACGATACCGTTGACGGGGTTCTCGCCAGTCGAGTCGATGACGGTAAACTTCTTGCCAAAGTCGCAGAATAGAGAGCCGAAAAGACCAAAGGTATCAGCGACAATGACGTAGATGCCCTTGCTGTGACAGTAGTCGCCAACAGCAATTTGGTCTTTGAGGGGGGTGTTGGTCAGAACAACGACCTGGTACTTGTCGAACTGGGAGAGATTCTCGTCGAGTCTAGTGGACTCGTGAATGTGTACAGGGGTGTACGCGTTCAACTCGGCAACGCGCGGGGCAGTGACCTGGTCTCGGGGCTTGCCAACATCTTCGGGTCGCAGGAAGAACTGGGAGGACAGGTCGGCGAGGGCAACAGGGTTGGGGTCGTGGAGCGTCAAGCTCTTGACGCCAGCGAGGGCGATGTTCTTGGCGACCTCGACACCGAGGCCCTTGAGACCGACAATGAGAACATTGGAAGCACTCATGCGCTTCATGGCCTCGTGGCCCAGGACATAGAGCTGGCGACTGTACAGGGACTCGTCGATCTCGCCACCGCCAACAACAGACTCGTCGACCTGCATCCGCGTCACCAGGTCAACCTCCGGAAGCCTCTGATTGTCCTGCATAAAGCAACAGCCGGTCAGTATATCTATTGTTGCTCTCAAACTCAATCACGGACACAGCACATGCACGGTAGTCTGCTTGCTGTGTAGGAAGAACAGATGCTCCGCACGGGGATAGTTACTCACAGCCATGATGCGCTTCTGGTTCAGAGGCAGGTCGCCGCTGGACAGTTTGCGCTTCCCCAGCTTGACGGCTTTTACTTAGAGGTGTTCTCGAAAAGGCGAGAACCCGGTCCAAAAAGGCGTTTGAACAAAAGGCAAAGGTGTCGCAAAGGTCGGTAACCTCGTTCGTATTTCCCCCCCACTACAACTACTGACGTCGCTTGCGGGGTCGCTGTGTTCTACGCTCTCACAGAGATGCAGTAAAAGGAAGGTGGCCTGGTAGAGACGCGAAGAGAGAAGTGAGAGGTAGGAGACCGATGGATTGTGGTTCTTGGTCTCCTAGAGTGTACGAGATGGCGATGTGTTGGGGAAGAGTCAGGTCCATTCAGTGGTAGGAGAGGTCGGCTGAGTGGGAAGCTTGTCAGGCTGGATTTCTAAACATGCCGTCAATGCAGCAAGGCAGGGCCACAATTGGCCCCACCACCCAGCAACCACCGCCTGTCAACTCGCCTAGGCAGACCTGCCTGCCTGCCTGCCTGCCTAGCTGGCCGACCAGAAGCTTCTGCAGTAGCCACAACCCCGCCACAAGTATAGGCGCACCTTCCCACTAGGGAGAAGTACCTTTCACTGCACAAGCGATACATCAGCTGCCCTTACTCGTGCTGTTGACTCGATCAGTTCGAGATTCGAGATGGCAAGAGGTGCTCACGAAATGATTTCTAATGGCGACAGAGAAAGATGACAGATTCAGCGGTTGCACTCTATTTCTTGGCCAGGTTTGGCAAACAGCCAATCATTCCCTGGACCGAGCAGAGGAGGATGGTAATCCCGAGATGCCGTTCCACGATGGGTGATGCTCAATGAGACGAGCAGAAGCGTTTTCTGAAAAGCCACAGAGATAGCCGAGCCGAGGGCACACAAAAGGGTTCTCACGAGACCAAAACTTGCCATGAATCCCATCAACAGCTAGATTAGAGAGTGTGTATCTTGGGAAGAGCGCCTGACAGACACACACGAGACCCGTGCAACCGGGACAGATCTTGGTTCGGCTGCCGGCCTCGATCTAGGCGTACGGTGCGTGTCCTGTGCGAGACGACGGTCGACAAATACTCCCGGGCAGCCCATCAGATAACACCCTTTCATGCCGAGTGCCTGTCTCTTGTGCTGCTCCAGGCTCTCGGCTACGGGCAAGCATAAAGTTACTACTCGGGAGTCTGCCACTGTGAGTCGCCAGTCGTCTAATGGTGCGACAGACCGCCCCTTTTGATGCTGTGCAACCGTAAGACACCCATCTATGGTACATACGCGGGCGATTCAACGTGCGGCAAGCATTCCTCGACGACCGTTCAAGCCGTCCTTGGTGATAGCTGCCATGGATCCCGAAGAGGTGCGTTTTCAATAGACAGAGAGTCCGTCATGGTAGGTTCACAGGCACAATGGGCGCAGGTATGGTTTCAGTACAAAATCTTGTTGCGATTTGTAGTATTCATGATAACATCAAATCGCCCAAGAAACCCCTCAATCGCCAGCCAGTTTCGAAACGGTGTCTTCCGTCGTGCATGGCTGATGCCTCTATTTGACGCCCTTGAGATGCACATCGCTACGGCAGGGGGGTCAGTATCCATGGGTGAGAGTAACACTTGTGAAGTTGGTAGAGGACACTTACAAGATCAGGTCAGCATTCGGAGGGATGTGGCCAGTGAAACCCCTGAGACCATTGTTAGTACAGCAGTCCTCTCTCTCTCTCTCTCTCTTTTACTCAGGGGAATAAACTGGGCATGAGTGGACGATGTGCCAGTGCCCGCCCAAGAGTGAGATTTAGAGGGGCAAAGATAGAGCTTACCGAGCGCCGTAGCCGTAGTCGCTGGACAATGTTAGCAAATGATGCTCGAGATCTTCTCGCGGACGGCAGTGAAATCTTACCTGGTGATGTCGAGAGTGGCCTTCTCGCCAACCTTCATCTGGGTGACTCCCTCGTCCCAACCTGAGAAAAGACCTAGGAGTCAGCATCTGTTCGTTGTCACAGCTCAATGCCGGACCATATTACCCTTGATGACCTGGCCAACGCCGATCTGGACGACGAAGTCGCCACGGCCGACAGAAGAGTCGAACCTAATACCCAGTGGTTTAGCAAGGAGTAGAACGGTCCAGAGAGTCTGAGCAGCTTACTTCTTGCCCTTGTTGTCGGGCTTGGAGGCATCCTTGAGGTACCCAGTGTACTCAATGGTCACGGTCTGGCCCTTGGTGGGAGTAGGACCGCTGCCCTCAGCATTCGTGTGAACAGTAACGCCCATTTTGTCTGTGTTTGAGGCAGGTGAGTCTTTGAGGAAAGAAGATCGCTAGAGTGATAAGTCTCTGGGGAAAGTATCCGAACGAAGAGAGGATGAAAAAGTCAAAGTTTCCAAGTGTGAACGGGCGAGAGCTTGAAGATCCAAGGTGAAGTTAGGTGAAGATAGTGTGGAGCTTTTAGTGGGGGGACAGCAAGAGCTTCAAATGAGGGGCAGACACAGTAGAGTTCGATTCGGGGAGATGGGAAGAAACCACGGAACGGACCTGTTTAAATCTCTCAAGTGTGTGAAAGGACCAACGGGTTTGGGGTTTCTCTCGGCAGCTGCTGGCACAGTTGGATTGGTGACTGGAAGTGATGGGAAGACTCTCTCCTGGATGGGCGAAGGGAGGGGGCAGCTTCGGGGGTATTTGAAGGCGCTGGACCGTAAGACAGAACAGGACCAGATCAACTGCCAGAGAGTTGATGGGAAAGGCTTTCCCAGAAACAACTGGGGCCAGCAGAGCCGATGTCAAGACTAAGACTGCAATAGCCTGCAACGTACTTTCAAGAGGTACACGAGCGTGACGAGGTACCTACACACAAGCTACATTGGCCTCTCTGCAGCTCCTCCAGTCGACAAGTACTTCCTCGCCTACTCTGCCAGGCAGCCTCTTGCCAGCCCGACTTGAACCTTAGCTACATTGACTCGCTCATATCCTTTCCCCAAACGGCGGAGGTGAGGTGGTCAAATGGAGGTCTAGGAGATCCAAGTATAGCCGTGGATGGCTCTTCCAATACCCACCAACCCCACCGGCCCTGCAGTCGAATGGGGTTGGGAAAGCCACTTACATTCAGTACCAGAAGGGGGAGTGCGGCAAGTTCCAACAAGACAAACCCCTTTGCATCGAGGAGAAATCACGAAAAAAAAAAGGAAAAAAAGCAAGGTCTATCGCCGTCCGCATCCCACCAAACAGGAGTCGGTACGTAAGGTAGATGACCTTGGGCCTTGGAGCCACCCACACATCCAAGCCACTCGGGCACCTCCTTGTGCTGTGCCTTACCTCAGTGCCGGGACTTTCGACGGCCTGTCCGTCCCGTTTCAATGTCGATCTAGCTGGGGGAACCGTGGGGGGTTGTACTATGCGCTCGCCGCCTCTGCTCCTCGAGCCAGGGGTCTTTCCCTTGGGCCCCGTCAAACCGTCGACCGGGAGTGTCAGCCAGCCTTCCCTGCATACGTCTGGCTGCGCTCTCCTGATCCAGAGTGCGTAGGTGGCTTTTGTCATGATCAGCGTGACATCGTGGGGTGCAAGGGAGACGGGACTGTCAAAGAATGGCGGCAGTGTCACTCCCTGCTGAGCGAGCCTGCCTCTGTCTGCCCCGGGCTTGTCGTCAGCAAGTGTGAAGGGGAGGGACCCTTGACGAATGACAACTCGGTGATGTATTGTGGGAAATCCCCTCTCATGCAGAGCTTCGATCACAGGTACGTTAGTCGGGAACCAGGTGTGACGTGCTCATGTACGGTGATACCACCACCCTTGCCAGAGCCCAATCGCCATCCAGACGGCGACCTGCCTTGCGTCCCTTGTTCGTTTTGTCAGGGAAAAGCGTTGAGGTCCACCCCCGCTTCCAATTGCATTGCCACCCCGTCCAATTAATCAACTTATGCCAGGGCAACGAAGGGCAATATCGCAGCCATCTCCAGAGCGGGGGGGCTGGACTCTGGCACTCTGATGACTTGTCCTTATGCGCCAAATGCTAGGCCTGGTGTTGTCGGTACATACCTTATACATAACTACTTGTACACACAAACCCGCAGACATACACACATGCGTACGTACCATGATGCCCTGAGACGTGGCGTGAAGGCCGACGAGTTTCGGGTAGATCTACCGCCTGCTAAGTCCAGGCCTGGCCCATGCATGCTCTTAGGGTGTTGCCGGCAGCTAGCGATCGACAAGGGAACGGCGTTGGGCGAGCGGATAGCCTTCGGCACGTTCTCGTGACTGACGTACTGCAGAATTTTCCTGACACTTTGTACTCACGTTGTGAGCGGCGGACTTGGGGGCTTCTGCTGGCTTCCGTATCCTCAAGAGATCATCCATCCGCCAGACACCCACTCCCCTCGAGGCTGCGTTACGTGCTTTGGTGCTGTACGTGCTCAAAGGTGCTTGTCCTGACGGTGGGGTCGCAGGAAGCAGATCATGACGTCGTGGGCCAATCGTCAGGGTCCCGGAGCTCCGCGCCCCACCGCAACCTCTACGGCGGCGTCTCGTCGTGAAGAAAGCTCCTCCAGGGCTGGCAGTTGAAGTGAGGGGTCGCCCCCGATTGCAGAGTTTGCACGTAGAGAGCAGAGCTGCAGGCCGTCTCGACTCGTTTACTCCAAACAGGCGACAAGTCTTCTGCATGTTGACCTGTTGCTCGTCACCGCCATGTCCCGTTCGGGAATCGTTTCTTTCCATTGCTTTCGATCTGCACCCGGTGGGACTCGGACCGCTGATCGATCTGGTTTATCACAATCGGTGTATGCAAGATAGCATCCCTGCTTTTCCTGGCCAAAGATGCTCGTATCATCATCATCAGAGCAACATGCATATACGCGCCTGCCAAACCCTGGATTGCGTCCTGCCGCTCATCGGTCCCGAGTTCCGAATGCTCTCCACCGACCGGGGGGGTCTTATCCCCCAAGATCACAGGATGCAAAGTGAACGTACTCCGTAAGTTCAGAGCCTTGTGATCGACAGTGGCGGCAGCCTCTTCGAGGTGAGCTCGCTCATGGGCTCCCCTGCCCGGAGGCGCACCGAGAAAAGCTGAACTGCAATAGCGGCAACGTGCGTCTGCATCCTGTGTCTTGCCGCCCAACGGAATGCCGCCTTTCCTTGTCATGCCTACCTCCAGCTTGGAAGAAGCCAGGAGCTGCTGAATACCCAAAGCAAAGGGGACAAGAGTTGCCGTCCCGTTGAACCCAACCCCCGACTTACCAAATGTCGCTCTGACGGCGAGCGTTTCGCTAGGGTCATTGGCAGTCACTCCTGGTCCAAGGGTGATGACATCGCGTTGCATTATCAGCCAGCCACAAGACCGGCGCTCCTGCCGGCAAAGAGGCCATCGTTGGGTTTGGATGTTCGACGGACACTGGTCACTGGCATCGCTGCTGAGATTTCGGGAGGTGGAGCCTCGAAAAGCGATGCCAGACCTGAGACCGGCACATAGATGCGTATATGGAAAAGACCGCAAATTCTGTCTGAGCGCCGAAGCCCGGAGCATATTCTTTTTTTACCTGAAGGAAGGAAAGGTCTTTTGAAACAGCCGAGACTGGCCGTAGTGAAAGTTTCATCTCGCGCGGCCTGAAACGAAACACCCTTCTACCGGTAGCGGCTCGGAGGCCACGGCTCGCGGAACCCCACGGCCTCTATCGCGACCCTGGCTGCCACTGCCCTCCGAAGACGTCAACGCTTGTCCAGCAAGTGTGAGGATGGGTTGGCGATTCTGGCGCGGGAGATGAGACTCATCGTGGGTAATCCCTGTGACGGCCGGAACAACACACTGCAAATACCCGTACAACGATATCTGCGATTCAGGGTATTTTGCGCAAGGGAGACTGGATCTCTCAAGAGCACAACAGGTGTTCTTCCGGCCGTCGAAGGGGTAGAAGAACTCCGTGCCGATCGGCGCCTGCAGCATGCTAGGTTGTATCTTGAGGCTCGTACTCCGGGTGTCAACACCACTTGGTAAGTTGACAAATGGTATGATATATATGGCAGAAAGACGACCCCAAGACTCTCTGTTGGTGCATCGCGGGACTATGAAGAACCGTCCAGTGACTGCACGATTGAGAATTTTGGAAGAGGCGACCTACTGCATACAGCCTGGAGGGCAGTTCATGTTTCATCAAGTGATCGCAAGGCTCTCTCTGTTCGGGGTGACAGGAGGCAGTGCTGGTGGCCAAAGTGATATAAAACACCAGCCACCAGACGCGCTCGAGTGTCCAGAGAATTCTCAGCCCAGGCAAGGCCCAAGATCGGCCGCGTCAAGGATGCAGATCTTTACGCACGGGGTGGACCGGAATACGATCAGCAGCTTTGCGGCTCTGGATCAGCAGCCTCGCGTGGGGAGCCTCATCGAAGCATACCATCGCCAGCGAGACCTACCTTATCTCAGCCACCGTCAATATCGCAACAGACCAGAATCAGGGGGCCCGGGCCGGGACCCAAGGTAGAGCAGAGCAAGAGCGCCGGGTCAACCTAACCAGGAATAGACGAGCAGAAATTCCGCTCCCTCATGACATGCGGAACCAGTGACGACATTGCAGGACGCTGTTATGATGGCGCTGGAATGCACGAGGTTTCACGAGCCGGGCCACATGGGCGAGGAGCGCCGCCCTTACCAGGAGAGAAACGCCACGCCACCACGTCAGTTCCATGCCAGTCAGTTCATGATCTGGGTGACAAGAAGGGAGGGAGATAGAAACGGTGGAGAATGCTGTCAAAGCTGTCTACTTGTAAACCTCCCCTTGCGTTCCACCGCAAGGCTCTCTCTTTCTCCCTTCCCTCCAGGTGTGCCGGGGACCCTTGGAGATTCCAAAACATCCCACCGCCCACTAGGCAGATTTTCGCTCCGTTTTATTATTGGAATGCCGAAAAAGTTTACAGGAAGAGAAAAGAAAAACGCCAACTGATTGTGGGAAAGGGCTTTGCATGGAATGCCAGCCGGAGAGGGAGGGGCTTTCTGGACCCTCCTGGGTTCTTGAGGACGTTTGCCATTCCAGTCGAGCACGCGACTTGTTTGAGAGTGAGACATGGCGTTCTCCCTCCTTCTCTCTTTTAGTTTCCCTAGGTAGGTTGGTACTGTGTTGTGATTGTATTCGAGCCCCGAATAGCCTCATCTTGGCTATTGCTAGTTTCGAGATTGCGTTTTCTGTGACTGACTCGACGACAGCACACCGTCCCGGCATTACGGCGGCATTGCTTGTAATTGCAAGGTGGTATGGATCCTTGAGTGGCCGGCCCGTCTGTACCCAAAAACGGACGGTGACAACTGCTGGGGTGAGGTTACATCCAGCGCAGCTGTTTATTGCTTATGCGCCGCATGTCGATCCCAGTGCCATATCGGCCGCACATAAGATTTGAGTTCCTTCTTGATCCCTTTTCACCGCCTTGGTCTGGCATCTGTAGAACCCGTCCAAGAGGTGACAATATCGAGGCAACACGCACGCACACCCAGGTAGGACGTGATCCCTGGTAAACCACTTACAGAGCACCTACGGAGTAGGTATTGCAGGAATGTTCCGAGCCGGATACAGATCCGTTTATGGGGCAAACGGGCAAAGATCGGCACCAAGACTGGGCTTCCCTGTGGCTCGGCGCAGGCAATATTGCATGCGCTCAACTTGCGACGGAAAGGCCCATGCCCAGCAATGCGCGCCAGTGGCAGGGTTCAGCAATACCAGTACTTGTACTTGTTCGAACGCACACAATGTGACAATCAATTGATGTGATTACCTCGACCAGGAGGCGCGTTCCTTCCGAGATTCTGGACTGACCTGCACGAGATATTTCCTGATCAAGCACGCTGAAATTACCTTCAACACCAAACTGGTCATTTCCGGCGCAGGCTTTCACGATCTATCGAGGAGCACCCGGGTGTCGGTTCCAAATGATATTGTCAACGCCTAGTCGTGCGTGTCAGCAGCAATTCGCCGCCGTGTTGCCATATGCGGGTGCATTGCTTCTCGTTGCTACCTTACCCAGGAGGGACGACGTTTAATCTAAATTATACTCGATGGTCTTTGATAGCGGGCATAAAATTGCAGAAGGATGGCGTACCTGTACTGTAATCGACAGGCAGTGGCTAAAACGGCATCAATGCTGGCCATGACACCGCCGATCTTCAACCAGCCAACGGACTCTGTACCTAGGCACTTGCAAGAAGCTCTTTTCGCGGGCGATAAGTGCGTATGTACAAAGTACAGATCGAGCCTACAGGTAGAAAACGAGTTTCGAGATCTCGTCGTTGGAATGTTTCTGAATATTCCTAGGCGTGGCTGTGTCCCTGTCAGACTGCCCCATTGGCGCGCGGGTGCCCCAACTGTCGGGTGCTCGGTGTTTGTTCCATCAGCACGAGAGAGAAAGCCCTAGTGAGCATCAGTCGAGGGGCAGCTGGTCCCGGCGGCCAATGGAAGGGAGACGGTGTCGACGAGCGGACCGAGGGCTGCATGGTGCGTGCGTGATCGATTCACGCTTGCACCTGAGCGACGCTGGAGAAACGAAGATTACCGATTGCCTTCGCGCCGTCCGTCATCTGTGGGTTGTGTTGATCTCTCGGAGCCCACCTGCGTGTTCTTGTCCAGAGAGATGAGGGCATGTTTCCGAGATTACATGCATTCATGATAGCAGCTCGACATGAGATGCTATGACGGGGTGCTTCAAGCGCAGACGGACCGCCGTTAGTGATCATGTCTTACCCGTTATCTGGGGCCTTTCCCGAAGTTTGGTCGAACAACATCCAGCCAGCCAGCCAGCTTGCTTGCACGACACATGGGCAGCAGTGTTGGGCCAACGATTGCACTCCACCACGTGTGGTTTGAGGAGTTTCTGGGAAGCTCGAGAGCGCCCTAGCGCTGTGTCAGGGGGAGCACGGCACATGCTGGTGGAGATCTCGTCGAGATTGTTGATCCGTCAAGGGCAGAGAGGGCAGACTTGGCAGAGAGTACTCCGTTAGGTACTTGTAGAGGTGGTCGGCCAGGTTCCTGTTCCTGACTTGCTGACTTCTTTAGCTCGCCATCTGGACGATCCCTCTGGCTCTGGCACACAAGAGAGCGTGGTCAGGATTGGGTCTCGACAGGTCGAAACAGATCTTTACTTGTTTAGGCGGCGCGCACTATGGAGAGTCCAGCAAACGCAAGGCACGCAGAGGGAAAAGCAAAGGGTGGCGCCGAACGGGCGGCCCAATGAGGAAGGGGACGTGGAGACCTGGCAAGCCCAGAAAAGCGGAGATTGTGCCAAGGCAGACGAGCGCGGGCTTCCTGTTCGCCCAAACCCCTGAAAAATGAAAAGAGGGCAGATTAGTGGGGAGATGGAAGCAGGGCGGGCCCCACCCATTCTATTGATTTCCCGCAGCATGGACTTGCCGTCCTGCTGCTAGTGACTTGGCTAATGCTGTGATTCAGGCGGGAAGCCCGGCGAGAACGGGAGGGCAGCGCGGGTACCTGGCCACGGTCCAACAAGTAGCCCCATTTTTAGGCCGGACAGAGCCCTGCCGCCAGCGCGCCACCATTCACACCCCACCCACTGCGGTCCTGATGGCACCTTACCCCTTTGGAGAGACGCGCAATTTCACCTGCCCTTGCTGGCTGAACCTGCTGGCTTGGGGGAGCACCCCCTCCATTACGAGAGATGAGAGAACGAGCGAGTGTTTTGTTTGACGAGCGAGCCAGCGCGGAATGGGAAGAAGCACAGACACAGCATGGCAGGGTGGGGATGAGATGGGGGATGGGAGGACACGACGGGCTGAGCCTGTGCAGTTGGCTGCAGTTTATTCGCTCGCTTTCTCTTGGTGACAGGTGGGACATGGCGAAGTTGAGGACAAAGAAAAAAAAAGGGAGGCCATGACTCCGTGCTGAGCTAGGTAGGTAAGGAATCGTCTGGTCTGATCTGGTTCCTGTTCCTGTTCCTGGATCGAATGGAAAATTGGGATGGGAAAGCAATGAGAGGGACGGTTCCGTGCGGCATGGCTTCTAGCTCGACATTAGCGCGAGCGCGCAAGCAAAGTGCAAACGGCGAGAGTGAGAAGAAAACAGCATCTCCCTTCTTGGTGGTGCTGGCTGTCCGGAATAGGGCGCTTCTCACGCTCCTCGACGCTGTAAAACAACGGACAGCCCCCAAAATCTCACGGGCTCAGGCACCGCACGCGCTCGCACAACCCAGGCCCTTCGTAGCGCTATCCACACGCCCACATTGGGGAGGGGAGGGGGGAGGGCCTTTGTCATTTCTGCCTCTTTGCTTTCCCCTGGCAGGACTTAGCCGGCATCTTCCCCGTCCTGTGGAAGGAAAGTAGAAGCCAGTTGGCTGTCTGTGTCTCTCAGTCTGTCCACCGCAGCCATCGGCATTGCTGTCGGGCAAGCAAGGGAAGGAAGCTGAAGGCCAGGATCGAGATACCTAACTATACGCAGATTGCTAGCAAGCAATGCCCTGCTCGCAAGACTGGGGCCGGCGTCCCTGGTCTGACTGAAGTAATCAACTAAAGTAGTAGTTCAGTCTGGTCTTTGTTGGCCGCCGTTTTGATTGTTTCTGGCGCCCCTCCTGCAGTGCGAAACGGGCCCATCCCCCCGCCCCCCGTCATTCCACCACGCTTCCTCGCCCGGTACGTACCTACTCTTTCCAAGTACATCCACACCCACTCACGCTCGCGCTCACGCTCACACTCACTCACGCACGCTTGCCATCCTTGGCCCTCCACGGCCCTTCCTCCCTTTCGCGCCTCTACTTGTCTTTCCACGTAAAAATCGGACCCCTGGCTTCCTGCTAAAGTCCTGGCTGGCTCTTTTCCCAAACCGGGCTCCCTGTCGCCTGCATTCTGCCTGCACTCTCCAGTCTCTTTCTCTCTCTGTCGTGTTTCCCGCCGCCCAGTCCCAGGTACCTTGCTTGCTTGCTGCTCTGCAGTCCCCAGTCCACTCCTTTCCCATATCCGCGCCTCACCTCCCCATTCGCCTCTCCTTTCTACTCCTTCCCTCCTCCTCCCCTCCCTCCGCCAACCTCTCGACATCGACAATTCCTTTCCTTCGACGACGTCGTGCCTTTCAACGTCCCTCTTACGACCGAGTCGGAGCCAGTCTGTCTGCTTCTTCCCAACTGACGAGCTTGGAAGGGCCTCCGGTGCTCTCTCGCCGATTGCAAATGCCTGTCTTTTGAACTCCTCAGACGCGCAAGCCGGACAATCCCACACAACTCGCCCAAGATTACCTGACCGATCCTTCTCGATCACCCCTTTTTGACGATTTTTCGTCAAGTCGCTCATTTAACAAAACGCAATAAACGCCACAGGCAAATCCAACTATTCTGCAACGCTTCTCCGTGTTGCCTAGACTGTGTGTGCCTTCTCGCCTGTCTCCGCAAAGGGTCCGACGCATGAATTTCCACGAGCAGATCCGGCCCACGCCCACGGGCAGTGACCCCGTCCAGGTCACGCAGCCTGCCTTCCGCCTTTTAAAGCCGATCGTATTGGGGATCATTCATGCCGAGGACCCTCTGCAAATCCTGTTCAGTAGCTAACATGAAATCGTGACTAGATTACACTCGTTGACAATATATCGTCAAGTACATTCGTTATACAACTATCCCTGACAACGTGAGTCGACTGGCCTTGGTCTGTCTGCCATGATACTGACGGACTGAAGCTCTCTCTCTCCGGATCATCTTCTCTATTACCTCCCCCTTCTCGTCAAATCTAGCCGAAGAACGTTCGAAAACAAGGATAGTTCGAGAACCAGAGAAAGATGCATACCAGCTCCCTCCTCGTTGCCGCCTTCGTTGCGGCGGCGTCCGTGGTCAGCGCCGAGCCTGCGCGGCCGAAGATCTACTTCCCTCGCCAGATCAAGCGCCAATATGTGAACGCCACCATCACCCAGGCCGACCCTCACCCGCCCCCGAGCCCGACGACGCTTGCCGACCTGACAGACTCGACCGACTCGGAAACGACGAAACGCGAGACCACGTCCTTCTCTCGCCTTTTCCAGGGTCTTCCCGATCCCTTCGCTTCCCTGAAGCCCTCATCCAACTCCGGGTCGTCTTCCGGGTCGTCTGGCTCATCTGGCAGCGGCGTCACCACTGTTGTCCGAGTAAGCACCGTCGTGGTCTCTCCCTCGACGGGCACGCCCACGTCAGGCGACTCTACGTCGTCTGGCTCGTCGGACTCGTCTGAGTCTGGCGACGCGACGGTGCCCGTCAACACGACAGCAAAGCCTACGGCCTCGTCATCGGATATCGTGATTGCTCCCACCGGTATCGTCACCTCTTCGTCGAAAGCATCCTTGGACCCGCTGGCACCGATCCAAACCGCTGTCAGCGGCATTATCTCGGGCGTTAGCAGCGTTCTCGCTCCTTCCCAGAATGCCACGGAGCCCAGTGAGACGAGCACTCCGGTCGTCGTCGTTACCACTGCGCCGGGATCAGTCACCTCCTCTGCCGCGGTTACCGAGACTCCCTCGCCGACCGACACTCCACTGATCAGTCTGTCCGTTTCTGTTCCTCTGACGATCAGCACTCCGATTGTCACGGTGTCGGAGCCCACTGCCAACTCTACGGCCCCGACCGAGGAGCCTACCCAGCCTACCCAGGAGCCGACGAGTCCCACCGATCTCCCTACGGGTCCCACCCCTACTGATCCGCCGGTTATCACCAACGGTACGACTGAGGTCCCTCCGCCGACGACGACAGAGCCGCCTACCTCGGTCCCTACCACGGTGCTGCCTCCTCCGACCACCGAGCCTACGGTGCCTGCCAATTCCACCGAGCCCGCCCCGACCTCGATCCCTGAGACCACTCTCCCGCCGACGGACACGGTCCTGCCCGAGCCCACGTCGGTCCCTACCAACAACGGCACGACCAACGGCACGGTTCCCGAGCCCACTCTCAACCCGCCCGAGACGACGGCGCCGCCCGAGACCAGCACTCCGCTGACGAGCATCCCGGCCACCGGTACTATCAGCGACTCCCAGCCCTGGATTCCGACCACCATCATCGTGCAGGCCCCGACGACGACGCCTACCAACTCTGGTTTGGCCCCGACGGCGACCGCTGGAATCCCGACTGGTCTGCCCAAGGCTATCACTCCTGACAGCGGCAACCAGCCGATTCCCGACGACACGATGGAGATCCAGATCGCGTTTGGCCACGGTCTGAACTACGACTTCGTTGCCAAGACCCCCAGGGCTGCCGCTCAGGTGCTGAAGCTCGTCCCGCCCATGCTCAGCTACTCGTCTGGCTTTGATGAGAGCAAGGTTGTCGTCCGCAAGCTGGTGCCGCTTGACACGATCGAGCAGAACGGCTATGTCACGACGCTGGCCATTACCACCTACCCCAAGTCGCAGGTGGAGCAGCTGCGCCTGGACATGCACGCGCCCAACGCCGGTATCTGGCAGAACCCCGACCAGCTGGTCTACAACATGTCCCAGCAGGTCAACCCTGCTATCGACATCATCCTCGGCTCGACTCTCGACTGGAACGCACCCGGCGCGGGCAGTGGCTCAGGCTCGTCGAACAACGGCCCCAGCGACGGGCTCAACAATGACGACCCGGCGAACAAGCAGACGGCATCCCAGAAGGGCACGTCGGCTGCTATTGCCGTCGGTGCCGTCGGTGTTGCTGCTGCGTACGGTGCGGCCATGTTCATCATCGCCCGGAGATACAAGAAGAAGAAGGCTTCTCACCGCCGCGCCAGCTCGCTCAGCAGCCCATCCGAGATGCGTGAGGCGGCCGGCAGCCCGCCCCTGATGGGTGGCGCTCTTCTGAGCCGAGACTTTACGTCGAGCTACGGAGGAGTCGCTGGTGGCGCTGCTCCCGGTGGCCGCGACAGCCACGGCAGCCATGGCAGCAACGGCAGCGGGCGTAGCGCGGGCAACAACTCGGGACGCACGGCCATGATCTCGGCGCCCGTTGCTGCCGAGAACTCGCTGGGGTGGAACTGAGCTTCCCAATCTACGACCGCCATTTGTACACGCCACGCCTCCATCACGTGAAAAGAATCTCATTTTCTTGCCTTCTATTTCGATACCCTTCGGGAGGACTCAGTTAGCCTGACTGCATTGCATCTCCTCGGTTTTTACCGATTGGAATCATAGAGGACAGGGGCTGGCTTTGACGAGCCGCCTACATGTTCTTGTTTTCATTTCGTGTCATCTACGATTTTCGTGCGGTTTTGGATCAAATATTTTTGTACTCGCCGTCTCGCACATCTTAGAGCCAAAACTCCCTCCCGGTCGGCCGCATCGGACTGGGCGCCCACCTTTGTTTGCTGGTGCCCTGTCTGGTCGGCCGGGTTCTTTACTTCACTGCTAATCTATTTATTCTTTTTTATTTTTTTTTTCCCTCGTCTCCAACTCGGGATTTCTCTGGGTGGCAGGATAGGCGCGGGAGTTTGAGGCATTGAACGCCGGGCCATGATCATGTCGAGCAGAAAGAGGGTCATGACCAGTGCGCGAGAGGGCGAGAGAGAAAGGACAAGCAGTGTCGATGTGGAGGAGTGCGGGAGGAAAGGGCAACACGATGCAACATGGGAACAAAGGTCCAGTCGCCTTTTGATGGACCCAGCCCCCCGTGGTGCTGCCCTTTTCCTCTTGCGCGAATTGTGACTATATACGTAAAAAGTTGGAGAAATCCAAATCAAATTATAGACAATCAATCCCAGCTACTGGATGAACGAATTGAACGGAAGCTGCCATATAATCACTATCAGTGACCAACTTGACTTTGTCGTTTGAAGAACGTGGTGTGTAGTATTCTCATCAACGCTCAAGCCTTGTTGCTCTTGAACACGTTACTGACCCCATTGATCCTTGCGCCTTGTTTGAGTTGTTGTCAATTTGATATCCCGAGAGAGCATGTAACTAGGCCTATTACTATCAGATGGGTTCATTTGTACCAGTCAAAGCTGAGTTGTGCACGGGAGGCCAGTCTTGGCATCTCATTGGCCAGCCCCTGGCGTTAACTTCAGACAGCCTGCTGCTTTAGTACCAAAGACGCTTCATCTCGGTACTTGGGCCATAAATCATACAGTGCACACACACCTCTTTTCCCCCAACATCGCCATCCGCTCGGCCTTGTTCTTGTGGCCGCCCTTTGTGTGTGCTCATTCGTCTGTGTCTTATCCCGGATTACCCGCCAGACCGCCGGGGGGGCGACGAAAATAGCTTTTCTTTGCCCGTCTGTACAACAAAAGTTAAATGAGACGAGCCGAATCGAGTCGAGTCGTCGGGCGGACCCCACACTGCTGGCCCGTTGGTCTGGCCAAGGCCTAGGAGCTGCTCTCTCTCTCATCTCAGGGCAGGGCTCATACGATCGATCGCTTGGGTAGTTGGTGTATTGTCTGGACGCTGTTGGTCGTCAGGTGCACCCTGCAGCTCCGTTCAGCTGCCCCCTTTTAGGTTTCATTTTGGTGCCGATCACGGGTGCTTTCTTCTTCGTCCGAGTGAGCAGTGAGAAGACAAGACGGCAATGGCCGGCGTCCACAGGCCCGGCAGCCCCGTCTCGGCGTCGGACTCGAGCACGCGGTTCACGCCCGCCGCCAGCAGCGGCAGCCCGGACATGCGGCCCGAGGACTACGGGCCCGGGGCCCACGGCGGCGGCGCGATACGGCGGTGGCAGGATGGCCAGGCCGGGCACGAGGAGTACGAGATGGACGAGTTCCGGCCCGAGGATGAGGAGGACGATGATGATGTAGCTGTGACTGACGACGAGGATGATGAGTCCGATGACGATGGTCATGATCACCATGGGAGGAGTGGCGGCAGCAGCAGCAGAGGGATGATGACGCGCGGCCGCCGGAAGGGCGGGAGGAGCGTCGCTGCGGCGTCTGTCGCGACGGCTGAGAGCTTCGAGCTGTACACGCCGGACATGGAGAGAGCGGTCGTGCGCAAGTTTGACCGGCGGCTGGTTGTCTTTGTGGCGCTGCTGTATATGCTGAGCTTTTTGGACCGGTCGAGTATGTCTTGTCGTCTCTTTCTATGTTGTTGTTCATTGTTCATCGTGAGCCGTCTGGTGTGAACAGATACACAAATGCTGACCGGAGTACACGCACGCTAGACATCGGCAACGCCCGCATCGCCGGCATGGACGAGGACCTGCAGACCACGCCCGCCTGGCCCTCGTGGTACGACTGGTCCCTGACGTCCTTCTACATCGCCTACATCGCCTTTGAGTGGATGTCGCTGCTGTGGCGGCTCATCCCGGCCCACATCTACGTCTCCATGATCGTGCTGTCCTGGGGCATCACCGCCTCCCTGCAGGCCATCGCCTCGTCGTACCCCATGCTCGTCGCCCTGCGGTTCCTCCTCGGCATCGGCGAGGCCGGGTTCACGGGCATCCCGTTCTACCTGTCCTTCTTCTTCAAGAGACACGAGCTGGCCCTTCGGACGGCCATCTTCATATCAGGTATGGCGGCCCAACCCCCCTTTCAGAGTATCAGCTTCCTCTGCAGAATCAAAAACTGACATACATATACAGCCGCGCCACTAGCCACGACCTTCGCCTCCTCCCTGGCCTGGCTCATCATCAAGCTCGGCCAGGACGGGCCCATCGCCCCCTGGCGCCTGCTCTTCCTCGTCGAGGGCTTCCCCTCGGTCGTCGTCGCCGCCATAGCGTGGAACGTCATCCCGGACTCCCCAGAGACGGCGCGCTACCTGACCAAGGAGGAGCGCAGGGTCGCCCGCCTGCGCATGCGCCACGAGAAGCCCCCTTCCTCATCCGCTGCCGCCTCCAAAAGGACCAGCAAGTCGTCCGGCGGCGGCAGCCGCCGCCGCCCGACCGCCGGGGCCGCGCTCCGCGACGCCCTCGCCGTCCTCGCCGACCCGGTGGCCTGGCTCACGGCCGCCATGTTCTTCCTGACCAACATGGCCTACGCCTCGCTGCCCGTCTTCCTGCCCACCATCCTCACGCAGATGGGCCACTCGGCCCTCACGGCCCAGGCCATGGCCGCGCCCCCGTACCTGTCGGCCTTCCTCATCGTCCTCGCCACGGCCCACGCCTCGGACCGCATCCGGTCCCGGTCCCCGCTCGTCGCCGCCCACGCCCTCGCCTCGGCGGCGGGGTACGCCCTGCTCGCCTTCCTCCCCCCCTCGGCGGGCGGCGCGTACGACATGGCGCGCTACCTGGCCGTGTACCCGGCCGCCGTGGGCTTCTTCAACGTCGTCGTCCTGCTCATCGCCTGGACCATCAACAACCAGGCCGGCGAGGGCCGCCGCGGCGGCGCCTTCGCCCTCTTCCAGCTCGTGGGCCAGTGCGGGCCCCTCGTCGGCACGAGGCTGTACCCGCTGTCCGAGGGGCCCCTGTACCTGCGCGGCATGCGCGTCATGGCGGGCGCCATGCTGGGCGTCGCGCTGCTCGCCGGCGCGCTGCGGCTCTACCTCGTCCGGCTGAACGGGAAGCTCGACGACGCCGCGGCCGGGGGGTCGGGCAGCGGGCGCCCCGGCGAAGTGGGCGAGGCGGAGGAGGAGGAAGGGCTGGTGGGGAGGGGGAGGAAGAGGAGACGAGGAGAGGAGGAGGCGTTTCGGTACATGCTCTGAGGGAAGGGGCTGGTTGGAAAATGCGGCCCGGTGATTTTATCATATGCTTAGTTAGACATCAACTAGCATTCCACATGAATAGAAGGAGCCTGGAAGCTCCATCCGAGTTTTTGGGTAATGCCCTGACATTTACTGCAGTGCTTCGTCTATACAAATGATGCTTGTCTGTGTGCTACAACTCTTTCCTTCACTTATCCGTTTCGAGGAACTCCCTCATCATAATGAAAACTGCGCTCACTCACTCCTGCGCGGCCGGACTATCATGCGTCTCGTCATCAGGCGCAGACTTCGGGTCGAGATGTGTTAACCTTAGCGGTAGCGGGAGAGCAATCAACCCTCGCTGGAGGAGTAACGTCCCCTCGGGGGGGAGTGCAGACGGCACGGGCAGGCCCGCAGCGTACGGGGGCTTGGATCGGCCCCACGACCTTGAGCGCCAGCTTGCGCGGGAGCACAAAGTGCCCGACCTGGCGCGCCCGGTACCGCAGCCGCTTGCGCCGGCTCGAGCCCCGCAGTGAACCCTGCTCCCTCTCCGCGTCGCCCTCCCCCTCCCCGTCAAGCCTTCGGTGGGCGGCGCTGTGCGCGTTGACCTTGCGGTCCAGCCACGAGCCGAGGCGGGTCTGCACAAACTTTCGCCGGATCTTGGCGCCCAGCGACTGATGGTCGGCCCCTCCCCTCGTCCCCGGGACGTAGACGTTGTCCGTGTAGTTCTGTCCTCCGATGTGGAGGGGACTGTGCTGTGTGGCTATGTGTGAGGGGAGGCATGATGTCGAAGCGCGGGAATGCAGCTCGAAGGGGAGGGTGGAGCGGCTCTGCGCGGTCTCGAGGCCACGGAAGATACTGCTGTGTAGGCTGCTGGCGTCGTAACAGTGTGTAGCGTCGAGATTCCGCATGTCGAAGATGCCATGGGGACATATCCAGGTCCATGGAGCCTTGATAGCCTGCGGCTGCTCGATCACAGTGTGCTCGCTGTGGGAGTGGATTGGGTGCTTTTCGATGGAGATGGCTGGAGAGAGCTCAACGCAGATCTCGGCGTTTTCTTCAGGCGTTCCTTCCTGATTGTGAACGCGGGGTGGCTCTAAAGAGTCCGTCGACTGTAAGTATGAGAGTCGCGGCTGGAGTTCGGGAATCTGAACTAAGATGCTCGGATGAATATGTCCAGCACTAGGCGGAGGTGACCCGATCAGCTCTGGTGATCGCATGCCTTCCGTTGGATACGATGACGATGAGCTTCGAGCACGAACGAAAGAGTGATTGCCCTCTGCCTGGCATGGGGACGGGGCGTTGTCCTTCTCTTTGCCCTCGGCAGGCAACGCGTTTGCATCACCACCAGCTTTGCTGGTGTTATCGCGAGGGACCAGGGGATCACGGGCTTTGCTGGTCTCGATGTATGGCGTATCGCCATCTTTGTGTCGCACAGATGGAGGAGATGGAGCCTTGAAGGCATCGTTGGCCCGAGTCAGGCCGTGATTGTAATCGGCGAACACATCGTCGGAATGGGCTGTGCTCACGGACTCGACTGAGCCCTTGCAAGGATAACCCAGATCAGGAAGCCAGACAGGAGCTGTCCTCCAGGACTCGGATTGCTCGCTGACGCCTCGAGGGCCATGTCTCGAGGCGAGCTTGCCATTGTTTGAGGGGTTGAGATTTAGACGTGCGGCCGAAGAAGTGGACGGAGGCCGGTTCTCCCTTGTGGTGAAGCGCTCGTCATCGTGCTCACTAGAGCCCTCCTCAGTGATGCGCTCTCCACGGTTCTCCTAAGAGTCTGTGAAGGAGCACGGGATTGCCAGGCGTCGGTGGCCGGTATGCTCCCGCTCCGTCTTCGGAGCTGTTGGACTGCCTCGGAAGAGGTCGTGCTCGAGAGGAACACGGCGGACTGGTGTGCCAGGCAGAGAGGAGAACATGACCGTGGCTTGGTGCGACTATACGGAATACAGTATGGCTTGAGAAAGTAAGAAGAATCGATACGAGCTATGCAGAGCTATCCATGCGATGTACCGAGACAGAGATTGAACGATGATGTTTTGTGTTGATGATATGTCAGTCCGTGTGTCGGCTTCACGAAAGACGAGGCACAATATCGCACCCTTATTGTACCTGCCTCAGCGAGATCTGTGAGGCCATAGGGAAGCTGAGGCCGAGGCAATTGCAAGTTTGCATGATCAGATCATGCTTGCGCGATTGCTTCCTCGTCCTTGCAATGAGTGCTCTGAGTACCTAGGTATGTATTTCGAGTCGAGGTTGCCTTCTACACAGAGAAACAGCGATTGATGGCAGTGGAGTCGGCACCCCCCAGCTCCACCAAAGGACGCTACATCTCACTGACTAAAGCGCTGAGCCGGATTGGACGGACACTGCCCTTCTCAGCCAATCTGTACAAGTATCTGTCGCCACGATCAACCGTCCGCTTTTGTTGCATGTCTCGACTGGCGTAGGCCACTCAGTCACAGCCATGCGTCCATTCACACCGAGACTCCTCAGGAGGAAACCGCCGATACGCATGCAACCGGCGGCACAATGGCGGCGTTCGTTGCACCTGGCACCGCCCTTCCTCCTCGACGACTACATGCCTCGGTACATGATGATGTCCTCGGTCGATTCCGCCATGAAACGTTCCAGAGCCTACGCGCATCTCCGTAATTGTAACTTGTGCCCCCGTGAATGCGGCGTCAACCGTTATGAGACGACGGGGATGTGCTTGATTGGCGACACGGCCAAGGTCAATGTCATTGCTCCCCATTTCGGAGAGGGTATGTCCAAGTCGTTGCAGCTGTCGGGCTGGGGGAAGGAGGCCGGATTGGAAGCTGACCAATTGATTAGAACCATGTGTTCAGGGACATAATGGAAGCGGTTCTGTATTCTTCAGGTATGTGTTTTGTACCCCAATGTGTTTCATATCGCTGGCCACTGATTGTACTTCGAAGCATGTGCAACCTGCGCTGCTCTTTCTGCCAAAACCATGACATCTCGCATCAGAGAAACGGCATGGACCTGACGCCAGAGGAGCTCGGAGACTGGTTCATCAAGCTCCAGCAGGTGGGCAGCGTCCACAACATCAACCTCATCACGCCAGAGCACGTCGTGCCCCAGGTCGCCCTGGCCATCCTCCACGCCAAGGACAACGGGCTCAGGGTGCCCGTCATCTACAACACGTCGGCGTACGACTCGCTGGCATCGCTGGAGCTCCTTGACGGCTTGGTCGACATCTACCTGCCGGACTTCAAGCTGTGGGAGCCCGCATCCACAAAGCGCCTCCTCAAGGCCGAGGACTACGCCGCCACGGCTCGCGAGAGCATCAAAGCCATGCAGGCCCAGGTGGGCGACCTGTGCTTCACCCCTGATGGGATCGCCAAGAAGGGTCTCTTGGTGAGGCATCTGGTCATGCCCGGCTACGAAGCCGAGGGCGAGATCATTATGCGGTTCCTCGCCGAGGAGGTTTCGAAGGACTGCTTCGTCAACATCATGGAGCAGTACCATCCGGATGCCCACGTCGGAAAGCCGAAGCGGAGGTCGAAGAAGGGCTCAGAGGCCGAGGAAATCACAGACGATGTCCGGTATGCGGATATCAACCGGGCAGTGACGCAAGAGGAGATCTCGACCGTGAGGAAAGCGGCGGAAAAAGCAGGACTATGGCGGTTCTGCGATCCACCCAAGCACGACGGCTTCAATCTATGAAAGAGTGCAAGATCTTTCAACCAACTTCAACTAGCTATACCCAAGACGTTTTCCAGAGATCCGATGAGCGTCCTCGGCCTGGCTATAGCGGAACAATTTCCGCCTTACAACAAGCTTCTGTAGCATCCAGAAGACGTCATGGGGCTGGCTGCCCATGTCTCTCATCGTATTATTCGACAATCGAGCCGAATTTTACACCTGCAAGCCATCAATCTGCACACAGCCTTTACAAGGATCCCTTGCAGTGGGTTGAGCAGTGTCTTTGTGATGCGCGCCCACTAGACAAACACATTCCACCCTCTCGGTACACATCAACCGATCGGGCCAAGCGAGAGCACGTTGGTCGATCTGGACTCCCTTCCCTTGCATACGGCTGTTTTCACAAGTGAAGATTCCTTTGTCGGTCAGCCCCATATTCCGCGTGTGTTAGGCGCGGTCTACCTGGGTCGCTGCAGGAAACCGTCCGGGGACGGCTTGCAACCCTCCCTTTGACTCTCCTAGTCCCTTTGTCCCCCAGCTCCCTTCGGCCGTCGACCCGGGCCCCAAGCAGCACCATATGCATATGGGAGGCTATCTATAAGTGAAACACGATTTGCATTCTCTTTGAACCCCTTTCGGCTTTTCTAATAACCCATGCTCTCGGTAGTGCAAATCGCAAGAAATCATCGTGCCCACCATGGACGAGCCAAGCTGCAGTACAGCCAACGCGTCTCCTCATGTACCACCCACGGCGGCGGACTCCGTGCAGCTCTCTGCGGAGCATCCCGAGCCAAGGAGTAAGCAGCCGCCCCGACGTCACCCCAAGCGTGCGTCCCTCACCGGTGCCCTACCACCATCAGCGGCACCGGCACCGCAGCAGCGCCCCGGGCACCAGCGCCGCTCCCTCTCCAGCCAATCTACATTCACGCACCGGCACCGACGGCAGGCTGCGTCGTTGCCGCACCAGCCGCCGCAGCGCACCCTGCAGGACATGCAGAACGAGCAGTCGTACCTGCTGCAGAACCTCCAGCGGCACGACGAGCGCGCGCGCGCCCTGATGGCGGGGCTGGCGGGCGCGCAGGACCGGCTGTTGCGTCGGGACACCGCCGCCGCCGCCGCTTCCGCCGGGGGGGACGACGACGGCAGGAGGGGGGCGCAGAAGGAGGCGCGGTTGCTGCGGAACAAGATGCAGTACAACGAGCAGCAGGAGCGGGCGACGCTCGGCCGCCTGGGGGATTTGTACGTCGAGATGCAGGCGAGGGAGAGGTGGTGTTGCGTCTTGCAGCAGAAACAGCAGCAGCAGCAGCAGCAACAACAACAACAACAACAACAACAACAACAACAACAACAACAACAACAACAACAACAACAACAACAACAACAACAACAACAACATCAACACCAGAATCAGGGGACATTTGAAAGAGGTGGAGGGGCGGAAATGTTTGGCTGGCCTCTGGGAAGTCCCCTGGGATGGGTGTGCGACGGGTGGCCTGTTGTGCTGAGCCCGGCGTCGCCTGGAATGGATGCGGTGCCGCTGACGCCTTTGAGCCCGCTGAGTCCGTGTTTCGTGCCGGGGATGTACTTTGATGAGGGTGTCAGAGAGGAGGATGCATGTGACGAGGCAGATGCCGGAGGTGACTTTGGTGGTGAGCTTGAAGGCGGCGATGATGTCGGTCAGTCGCCAACCGATCAGGTTGTGTCTGAAGATGTCGAGCAAGCGGCGCCAGTCAGGGGCCGCACCCGAAGCTTGTCTCTGTCGACGCCTTCACCTGGCCCTTCGTCCAGGCGCTTAAGCCTACAATTCTGACGGACAACAGAGACCTCTGCCATGTGTCAACTACTTTGTTGCTCGTCGGACTAGATCAAAAGAGGGATATCATTTGGTCTTATCTGCTATATGGTATGAGACGGGGACCCCTTCCTTCCCATGTAAAATTATTAGATAGTATCAGATCTCATCGTGTCGGTATCATAAACGTTTTGTCATATAGTCGTTCTAAGATTAGAGGAGCCTTGATCACGGCCCGACCCCGTAGGAAATAAAATGAGACAGCAAACCTCAGGCGAACTCTCCAAACTGACCGTCATCAAAGCCCAGCTCTTGCACAGATCTTCTCTTGGACCTCACATCGGAAGCGCTCGGCGGAGGTGGCAAGAACGGGCCGCCCTTTGCCGGCCCTGCCGACGGCGGGGGAGGCAGGGCAAACGACGACAAGTTGCCAGACTCGGCCCCTGAAGAGGACTCCTGCGACGGCCTGTTCCTGCGGCCGAACTTCCCTCCGAGGTTGACCGTGATGGTCTCGCCCTCCTTGAGGCTGTAGTCGCGCCTCTCCTCCTCGGCCTTGGCCCTGGCCTCGGCCTTGGCCCTCGACGACGGTCCTCCTCCTCCCGCCGCCGCCGCCGCCGCCGCCGCTCCGCCGGGGCCGAAGCCGAGGCCCTTCTGCGCCTCCTGGAGCGCGACGCCAAAGTCAAACGCCTCGCTGCGCTCCTCGTACCCGATGCCCAGCACGGCCTTGCGGCCCGAGGGGTCCCGGACCCGCAGGGCGAAGAAGCGGGAGCTGTCGAGCGCGGCCTCGACGACCCCCGGGTCGGTGTAGGGCGCCGCGGCGAACAGCTGGCCCGTCGAGGGGTCCTCGAGCACGATGTCCGTCTTGACCTCGTCCTGGTCCTCCTCGCCGCCGCCGCCGCCGCCGCCGCCGCACGGGACGGCCGTCTCCATGATGCGCAGGCGCACGGTGAAGATGTGGCGCTTGGGGTCCTCGGTCCAGGCGGCGGCGGTGTAGCCCCTCGTGGAGGCGAGGGGCGGGATGTTGTAGACGTGGACCTTGTTGGCGATGTAGAGCACGCGCTGGATGGCGTCTGCGGGCAGCTGCTGGCCCGTGGCCGGGTCGATTGTCTCCATGGTTTTCTTGTTTTTATGGTTTTATAGTGTTTTATGGTGTAGGAAGTTTTTGTTTTGGAGTGTGTGATGGGATGGGATGGGATGGGATGGGATTGGGGAGGTCGTCGCTAGGAGCTTTTGAGGCCAAGCTTCATGTAAAGCGTGATATATGTAGCGACCAACTGAGTGACTGTCGGGTTTGCCTCGGCCAAGCTATATCCAGTGGCTAGCTAAACCTCGACAAACAAGAGCCGCCTTTGAGAAACTTCTCCAGGTGGTGCATGTATGAACTAATATATAGGTAGAGCAGATATTAGGTTGCATAAAATACGATGTGCTGAAATATGCTCGTATTTGGCCACCCCTTTTATGAGATGTTCCCAAGGTTCCAAGGTTGCTGCTATTGTCGCATCTTCCTCCACTGAGACGACAAGCCGGCAGCGCTGGAAAGGGACCAGAAATGGACCAATCCACCGCGTGTGGGTCACACCACGGCAGCTACCCCGCCGCAAAATCCCAAATTTTGGCGGTCTATCACGGCACAACCCGCTGGCTGTGATCCTGACTCCTGGTAGGCTCTGAATTGAGTCACTCGTCCCGGCGAACCCTTTTGGCATTGTGCTGGACACGAGAAAGAGTCGAAAGACTGACTACCTGCGGCTCCGTCCACTCTTGGATTACGACTGCAAGCAACTTTATCACATCAACTACTATCAACCACGTTCCCATTCTCCCGGACTCCCACCCTCACACTGCCCCCAGCGCCGCAAAATGGCGACCGACGACCTTGTCTGTATGTTACCACAGCCTCAAGCGACTGCCGATGCGCCCGCTGGGCGATTGGAGGCACCCGCTGACCTTCACACTCAAAGCAACCTCCACAAGCGGGAGCACAGGAGCATCTGCCGAGCTGCCTATACGGAGCAGCTCCGCTACAGCTATCAGTCCTCCCGAACCACAAGCAGACTCGGCTGGCGACTTCGAGTACGTAGCTGCACCGCCCAATATCAAACCCGAGGCGAGAACAGCAAAGAAGCTAATTGCATACCCTCTTTGAAGTATCGTCGCCACCTACCACCGCCTACTAGCCGACGACCCCGAACTCACGATGCCCGTCGCCGCCATCGAGGCCATGATCGCCGTCCTGGGCCACACCTCGTCCTCGACCGTCATGGAGACCATGAAGATCGTGCGGGAGCAGGCCGAGCGCCTGCGCAACGGCGTGGCCAACCCCATGCCCCTCACCGCCGGCACCGAGCTCTTCCAGACGTACCTCCTCCGGTCGCTTAAGCAGCAGACCAGCCACTCTCACGACGGCGGCAGCAGCACACCTACGACGACGGCGACGACGACGACAGCCTCCCCGCTCGACTCCTTCGAGCAGACCCGCCAGCACCTGCTCAAGAACGGCAAGCTGTTCGCCGCCCGCGCCAAGGCGGCCCGCGACACCATCGCCGACAAGGGCGCGCGGTACGTGCGCGACGGCGGCGTCGTCCTCACGGCCGGCGGCTCGCGCACCGTCCGGGCCCTGCTCCTGCGCGCCGCGGACCGCCACATCGCCGAGACGGGCCACCCGCGCTTCGAGGTGCTCTACGTGCGCGACGAGCGCTTCCCGCGCGAGTGCGAGGGCGCCGTCGCGGCGCTGCGCGGGCGCGGCGTGCCCGTGACGGAGCTGTCGGAGCGCGCCGTCGCGTACGCCATGCAGGCCGGCGGCGTCGACACCGTCTTCGTCGGCACCGAGGTCGTCGTCCAGAACGGCGGGCTCATCTCGCGCATGGGCAGCCTGCAGCTGGCGGCGCTCGCCAGCGTCTACAAGCGTAAGTTTTACGTCGTCGCCGAGACGCACAAGTTCATGCGGGGCATGGTCCTGGGCCAGGACGACCTGCCGCGCCTCGGCATCAAGCAGAACGTCCTCGGCCGCCCGAGGCGGGGCGAGCGCGAGCCCGCCGCCGCCGCCGCCCGGGAGGGGAGCGAGTCCCTGGAGCTGTCTGTGCAGGAGCATGTCGATTACACCGTGAGTGGTCCATCCGTCTTGTCTGTCTGTCTGATTTGAATATCGGGGAATTGTACTCGGCTGACTGGTCACAAATGATAATAACACAGCCTCCCAACTTGATTACGGGCATCCTGACTGAGCAAGGCTCCAAGCTCCCCAGTCAGGTCTACGAAATGATCCTTGACATGCATACGTGAGCCGGGGGGTTCTTCTGTTGTTGAGTAGATAGTTCATGAGAGGAGTAAGTCTTCGTTGCAGCAGGAAACTTTGGCATGGTTAAGGGGGGGGTACAGGAGCACTTGACCGGCGTGTATTTTGGAGTTGGGTGTAATTCATTACCAGCGTGTACTACTATTGCTAGAACCCGGCGGGTGCATCGGGTGTCGCCCTCTTGGAGCGGCAGTGAGCTCCTATGCAAACTTTTGTCCTCTGAAAAGAATGAATACAAGAGAACATCGCATGTCGTCAAGAGTCGTGTTACAAAACCCCGGCCCTCGGCCTCCTTATATCAAACGACCGATCCATCGCTGAGGTTCCTCCCACGTGCAGCCCAACTATGTCCTGGGAACAACGAATGTTGAATTCGTGTTTGTTTGTACTGGACAACCGAGAAGAGAGGGTGTTGAGGCCCGATGTTGAAAAGTCTGGCCCCCCTCCGTCCGTTCCCTTTTTTACCACCTACCGAGGCTTGATCAAAAACAAGCAAGCATCAAGGCACGTGTTGTTTTCCTGACCGCTCTCTTGTTGCCTTCGACGTCGGTCGGTCGGCCGTCCTTTCTTCCCCCCCTTTCAGTTACAGGTCGCGGACGATCCTGGCGCCGGCCCAGGCGTAAGGGTAGTTGCGCTGGTACCAGTTCACACTTTGCGCGCCCAATGACTCCAAGTCAGTTCAGTTCTCCTCTCTGGGTTTTCTCGGACAAAGAGTTTCTCCCATCCCCTCTCTCGCGGGGGATAGTATATGATGGTGGTGTTGGTCAGTTTACTTACAACGACTTCCTCCCCGCGATGCGCGGGTGCGTCGCCCACGACCCGCCCTGGACGATGTTGTGCTTGCCGTCGAAGAAGTCGGCTGGTGGTCGGGGGGATGAGCCCGTAAGTCAGTACAGATTCCTACTCTTGCCCGTCATGCCCTCTCGCTCACGGTGGGGGGGGGAGATAGAGAATCACCACGAGACAAAAGGAACGTACCAGTATACCCGGGGTACAGCGCCATGGGCTCGAACCCCTCGTGCTGGGCCAGCGTCGTGCTGGTCCACTCCCACACGCCGCCCATCTCACCCTGGCCGGCGAGCCGGTCGCCCCGCGCGGTCACGGCGACGGGGTGCCAGTGCTGGAAGCCGACGTTGGCGCCCTCGAGGTCGAGGAAGAGCCGGTCCTTGCCGTCGTCGTCGTCGACCCCGCTGTCCTCGTCGCCGCGGCGGTCCGGTGGCGTCTCCTCTACGCCGTCGTTGGAGAGATGTCTACACACATATCAGAAACCACGATATCAGTCAAAGCTTTCAACCAAAACAATGAAACGCGTCTTTAGAAGGGGGGGGGGGGGGGGTGAATGAGAGAAACTCACCCGTTGACGGCCGGCACCGTCTTGCCGAGCGTCTTCTCGGCCTGCTCGCCCTTGAGGAAGTCGACGTGCTCGTAGATGCTGCGCGTCTCCTCGAAGGAAGGGATGCGCCCGCCCATCCACGCCGCGCAGCCCGCGAGCTCGTCGTACGACGCGAAGACGGGCCAGTCGAGCGCCAGCCCGAGCGGGACCAGCCCGTAGACGGTGCGCACCGCCTTGTCCTCGAGGAAGGACGGGCTGAGGGGCTCGCCGTCGCTGCTATGGCCGTTGGCCGCCGACACACCGTTGGAGTGGTAGCCGTTGGTGCCGCTGTGGTGGCCGCCGTTGAGCAAGAGCGCGTTCTTCTTCTTGGGCGGGCTGTCCGACTCGGCCCAGGAGGCGGGCAGCTTTGTGATGTGCTTCTCTTGCATGTACAGGCCGTACTTGGAGGTGGTCGTCAGGATATTGTTACAAAACCCGGGTGGTCAGGAGTATGCTCATTACCTCTTCATTGGTGATCGGCCTGCCTTGGGCTTGGAAGGCGTGCACCTTGACTCTCCGCGACGGTTTCTCATTGTCCCTAATGCGCGCATGTCAGTAATTCGATGAACAAAAGCCCACCCTTCCTCCTGCTGCAAGCTGCAAACCCACCATCCAAAGTGAACAGACGGATCCTGAGAATCCTCCGGGTCATCAAGACCAACCGTGATCTCCCGGGCCGGTACGTCGAACCAGGAGTTGGGGACGCGCTCCCTGCGCGCCCTGGCGGCAAGCTTCTCAAAGTCCGGGCGCGCAGTGTACGCCGGGGCCACCGTCTTGTCGCTCTGGAGCATCATGTACAGCAGCGTCTCGAGGTGCATCAGCTCGTGCTCGAAGCCGACCCAGACGGCCCTGCAGACGTCGCGGGGCAGCTTCTCCGCGCCGCGCGAGTAGAGCTCGGCCAGCCGGGCGCGCACGCCGGCCTGGTAGGCCAGGATCTGGTCCAGCGGCGGCCACTCGTCCGGGATCTCGGAGTGGGCATGGCACAGCTCCGGGTTGTCGACGTCCGGGTCGATGCCCCGCTCAAAGATGGAGCTGAAGTAGGCCGGCTCCGTCGGGCTCTCCTTGGTCGTCTTGGTCAGCTGGATGTCCAAGAACGTCGGGATGTGTCCCAGGTAGAAGATGCAGGCGTTGCGGAGCTTGATGGGCTTGTCCAGGAGCTCCTCTTTCGGGAGCATCTGCCGCGTGACGGTATCCCAGGCGGCCCATACACCCTTCCAGTCCTCCAAGGTCGGAAGGACGGAGCCGGCGTAGACGGCTGGGATCAGACTGAATGGCATGTTCCACCTCGAGAGCAAGTGAAGCCCTGTGTGTGTTAGTAAATATCATGAATTTGAAGTAGTGGTAGCAGCATAGTCAATCAAACGCGGAGTACATATGCAGGTAGATACCACATGGCATAATCGATCGGCCAAGGCGTGGGGGGCCGCTGCAATGACACCAAGGGATTGGACGGGGACTGGAGCTCGACACCTCCCACAACCACTGTCCCTTGAGAAGGATGGTGCAACGGGCGAGAGCTGATTGGTGTGTACAGGTGAGGGGGGCGGCCATATCGGACCATGTCCAAGCAGGTCATACGTAATGTGGGAGCACGTACCGTATTCATCGCCCAGCTTCCAATGGCCAATCTCCCTCAGGCCGGAAGAGCTCCAGAGCCTGTTCGCTTCCTCCCTAGAGTACTTCAGACTCTGCTCGACCTGGATGCGCTCGTGTGGCTTGATCAGCTCACCCAGAACGCTTGTGGTGCGAACAGGCGAGTAAAAAGCTTGGTGACGACCGCCCTCTGCATCGTACACATACTCGCCGATAACCCTCCAGTCCTCAAGCTTGAACGCCTCCTCGCCGAGGATGTTGTTTGCGTTGATGAGACCGTTGAGGATGAATCTGCCAGGAGTGTCAAAATCAAACTTTGTTTCTCCAATGAAGAAATAAACCGGACTGCTTACTGGTGCGTCACGTCCTCGCGGTCTGTACAAGGTGTCAAGCTAGAGTTAGCTGCGTTCACATCCCAGGACCGAAACAAGATCTAACCGTTGTATGCGTGGCTAACATCGTGTTAGTTTTCATGATGGTGACCCCGAGATGAGACGGACCAACTCACTAGACTTTGGCCGGCCCGTCGCAGGAGTCAAGTCCGACTAGCATCGAGTCACCAGGCTGAAGAACATCGGCGAAGCCCTTGAGGAAGTCACAAGCCTCGTCTCGGTGAAAGTTTCCTGATTGGCACGGTCAGCCTCGAGCTTTTTTCTTTTTTTCACCAATGAAAGACGCCTCAGTGCAGTCGAGTCTTACCAATGCTTGAGCCGAGAGTCAAAATACACTTCTGTCGGTGCAGGTTGGACGAGTTCTTCAGCCACTCGCGGCCATCGTCATAAGTACCCAGCAGGCCGTGGCAGCTGACGTGGCTGTACTGCGGAAGCTGGGCCAGCGTACGCTCGAGCTCCTGCTTGGAGAGATCCAGCGCATAATAGTCGACGGTCTTTTGGGCGTTCTCCAGAGCTCGCAGAAGCAAGTTCACCTTCCGGAGGTTGCTTGAGCGAGAACAAACGAGTTAGTGCAAGTGGGTTCCACGCCGAGTTCAAGCAGCTCTTGCCAGACACATACCCGCTGCCAAGCTCAATGATCATGGAGCCATTGGGGATCTTCTGCACGAGTTCCGCAGCAGACCGGGTCAAGACCTCGATCTCATCGTTGGTGAGGTAGTACTCGTCGAGGTAGGTGATCTGAGAGACAGCCGGTTAGAAGCGGGGCCGGACAAGAGAGCGCGTGTCCCAAAGGATGACGGGGCATCCGTCTCAATGGCTCTCTCTCTCTCACCTTTTCGAAAAGCTGCAGGCCGCGCTCGTCATACAGCAGCAAGGTAGGGAGCTTGCGGGGTCCGTCTGCCGGACGGAACATGGAGAGGATTTCCTCCTTGAGGTTGAGCTCGACGGCGGCGCGGCGGATATCGATGATGTCAACATGGCGCTTGGGAGCTTTGACAGGCGCCGGGCCGGGACTTGGCCTGAGATGAGCGGCCGTTCCCAACGGAACGGGCTGGGGCTCTGCGGTGCTAAGCATCGTGTAGACCAGTTGATGGACAGAGTGGAGAGCTTGGGAAATCACGAAAGAGGTCGAGATGATGGTGTCACTTAAATACAAGCTTTTTGATAACAGCAGGTAGAATATGGTCAAGAGTGTACGGAGTATGTTAGTAGCGGCTCGAGAGACTTGAATCCAGCCGGGATGATGCAGGAGAAAGGTACACCTAGTCGTTGCTAGAGAGAGCACTAATATAGGTACCCACAGATGAGCTTACCCGTGCCTGTTTCTGCAGATAGAGGCAGAGGTATTTGGTGCACAAGGGAGCAATTCACATGGTTCGAGGAGGGGGACGCCAGTGCATGCATGGCCACCTAGTGGCTGGCGGGCTATTCCACTTGGACGAGCTTGGATTGGGTGCGGGATCAGGTAATCAATCTTGGGTATTCCCAGCAGGCAGGGCGAGGAATGAGAGAGAGAATATACCTGCTGGAGCCATAGCAGACGGCTGCGTTCGGCATGTAGCTCCGCTGAGGGCTCCGCGATCTCCAGGGGATTTGTCATGAAGCAAGGCAGGAAAGCTAGTGCCCGTAGTCTCGCGGAGAGACACGCACGCCTTTCGCGCAAAACAAGGGCGGCCTCGCCTGGGCGTGAAGAAGCACTTGCCGAGCAGCTCCACGTCATGACCCGGGGCAGGCCTGTACGCCTCACGTACAACAAGTGCTGAGTGAGGTCAACGGGTTTTGTCATATCCCGCGGTCCTTGATGCTCGATTCGGATGGAGTGTGGCAGAGAGGGAGGTGCAAGAGCAAATCAAGTCGCGACGTGGTCACGGCCTCGCTGCAAGCCCCACGCCCGGCCCTGTGGCCCAAGCTCTTAGTGGACGCAGCGAGGCCATCGGGCCCCTCTGGTCGCCCCCCTCAGGCCCCGCCTGTACCTCCTGTAGGTACCTAGGTAGTTACCTGGTACTTGATTCCTGCCGAAGCTCCCTGTAGGCTCCCCCAGCGTCGCCTTTTCTCCGCATTTTTTGGCCTAGGATTGGTTCCTGGACCAAGGATCTACCACTCCATCCACCCACCCACCATCTCACCAACCAGGAATTTGTATCTGCACCTTCCAACCCCAGATCTCGGGATATACGATCGGTCAATGACTGATCTCAGAGAAATCGACCCAGGTGCAACCTGGAAAGGAGATCAAATCTTGTGGGATTCTGGGTTTCAGCTGCCAGACGGTCGAGAACACTTGAGGCTTCGGGTCTCGGAAGTTTCAGAGGCACTCAGAGCAGGGGGAGAATAGATGGATTGTAAGGGTAGGATGCTCCGGTACAAGGTACTTCATGCTCGTCCGTTACCTTTCTTTTGAGCTCACCCGCCCGACGCGCTGTGGACTCGGCGAAGCGTGAATGACGTGCATATGATTCCAGTAACGGGTACGAGATTTCCACGGCCACAACGGTCTGCAGGATGATGTTGCGGATACACACATCATGTGACACCTCTTCACGGATCGCCGCCACGCAACCTCAACCATCCATTGCAGGAACAGGGTCCGCCACTCCTGAGGAGAACAACGGGTGCAGATTGATGATGGCGGCGGATGTCGGCAGCTCCACACATCCCAAGGTAATCCCGAGTCCATCAACGAAACGAGGCTACAGATGTATCAATCTAGCAGCAGTGCAGTAATAATCTGGAGACGTTGCCGCTTACCTCCGCCATCCACTTCAACCACAGTTTCAGTTGCGAGTTGGTCCGAACATGGACTACTTCCCACATGCTTGCATTTTGTTCGAGAAATCCTACCGCTTTTGAGGTGAGTCATGCCGGCGAGGGAGGTCTTACTTTTAAGTTAGACCGTTTGAGGAAATCGTGTTGAAATAATCATAAGCACGATACTCGCCTGTATATTAATATGTGCGACTATACAGGCGCACGTCGTGACACTATACCACCGCCTGGCGCTGTGAATATTTGCCCTCGTAACCGGAACATCCAGACTAGTCCTAAGGCAAGTGATGGATTCATGGATCAAGAATCTGAATACAACCCTGAATCCTGTTTTGACTGATTACTGAAGGAAGCGTGTGATACTTGCCTGGGTTCTCTGGCCCGGTAGAGGTGAGCGACAACCCCGAGCAGGAGATACAAGCACGGCCAGGTGTGAGGAACTGAGTCCATGTAGGTAAGCAACATCTGGCATATTGGCGAGGAGATGCCTTTTCATATTATGAACCTGGTGCAAGCGCGCCGCGATCTCGAAAGACGAGAGCTGGCAACCTTGATCAAAGCCGGTGCATATTTGGGATTCTGAAAGAGGGCTGAGAACAGTTGTAGAGGGTCCCTGCACCCAGGAGGGACGCCCGGACCCCCCTTCCAAAGCCCTTATAGGTGAGGTTAACGCAGTCAGTCGTCGGGGAGGAAAAGACCGCTATGGTCAAGCAGGAAGAACGCGAGTTTGTTCCGAGGTGGTTCGGGTTTCGATTCCCTGACGAAGTATTACCTTCCGATAAAAAATGGGTTTGGATCCCCTGACGGAAGTATTACCTTTCGAATAAAAAGACCGAACGACAACACGCCACCACCTCGTCGAGCACGGCAGGAAAATTTCTATTCAGCGATTTTCGCAGCAGACTCCCCTCCGGGTGAGTCTGTGAGCTTTTTGCTCCTTTTTTTTTTTTTTTTTTTTTTTTTTTTTTTTTTTTTTTTTTTTGGTATGTGTTTCTACATGCTGGTGAATCGACAGCTTGCTATGCTGAAACTCAAGGCTGAGAATAAAAGAAAGCAAATGCTAGAGCGCTTTTGGGAGAGGACTTTGGCTGCTGCGGTAACTTGTCTGGTTTCTTGACAACGACCCTGGGCATTCCTGTGGCAATAACGCCTAGCAATGGCCGAACATCGACAGTCTCAGATGTTCAGGCTTTCTCTAACAGCAGTCACGAGGATAGTGTCAGTGGTCGTGTCACAGCCAGGAACATTTGGGAGTTGATGTACCTGCACATGAACTACCAGCTTAGTTACCATAATCAAGCTCCATATAGAATAGTCCAAAGTTTCATTATGATCATCATCATATGAGGTCCCCGAGACATAAGGAGCGTTAGGTAGTCATGTCTCATCTGGCAAAGAAAAAGCCAACCGCCCCCTACGAACCGTTAAACATATCCCACAAGCTGGGGAACATCATGTCGATCTCGGCAAACTCGGAAAACACAGACTGCGGCAGCTCGGGGATCACCTCGGACGCCTCGACGTCGGGCGTCATCAGCCTCTCCACCACGTCCGCGTACTGCGCGATGCAGATGCTGCCCAGGTCCCAGTTGGCGCGCTCCTGGTGCGCCCGCAGCGCCCGCACCATGTCCCCCGCGAGCCGGAGGCTCCGGTCCCGCGCCGGCTGCTGGCCCGCCGCCCGCTGTCGTCCTCCCACCGCCACCGCCGCCGCCTCCAGGGCGCTGCGCAGGAGGAACGCGACCGTGCTGGAGAGGACGAAGGCGTTGAACGAGAGCCAGAAGTCGCGCAGCGCCGCGTCGCGCAGCTCCTGCACGAAGTGCACGATGTCCTGCGCCGCCTGGCGCGCGCAGATCTTCCTCTGCGTCGCGGCCGCCGGCTCCGGGGCCTGCCGGGCGTGTCTCTCGCTGTCGTCGATGCCGAGCTTCTGGGCGAGCAGCCGGATGTATAGATAGCTCAGGCGCAGGTTCGAGGATCCGGGGGCGTCGAGGTTGACCCCCCTGATGATGGACGCCCGCAGGTGGGCGGGCAGCGAGTCTTCCCACTGTGCCAGCCGATTTTGGATGTCCACACTCACATCCTCGCAGCGGTCGTTGGTGTCCCGCCGAAGGTCGTAGATGTGATCGAGGTAGACGTCGAGCACCTGGGCCAAGGTCGCAAAGGCTACGAAGACCGACGCTGCATCTGCGTTGTACAGTTCTTCGTTGGGCTCGAAGAAGTGGGCGAGGCTGGGCTCGGGAACATCATGCGCAGTTGTTCTCAGATGCGGCGGGGTTCCGTAAGTGAGGCTAGACCTATAGAACGAGGATGTCAACAATGCACATCCATCAGCCAGCGATGTTGCTCGCAAACCAACTCACCACTTGTCATGTATTACAATCGACCACCACAGTCTCGTCCTCAAGCACTTTTCTCCCGGGGATATATCCCAGCCGAGACAATTGCGGTTGAGGCCAAACGAATGAGCAAGGGATATCGCAGAGCTCAAAAGAACGCCGTTGCCAATCATGGATGTGAGCGGCCGTCCGGATATGTTGAGCAGAAGGGAGCTTATAGTCGAGACAGACGGGGTCATATGTAGGTCCGAGTATAGAGAATGGGAGTTCTGGCGCCATATATAGCGGAGGTCCGGACAATACTGGCCTCGCCGTCGCGTGTGCCGCCAGTAGACGATCGTGTGCGCGTACAGCGATGAGAGCAGGGTCGGCGAGATCTTGTTCTTCTCGGCCTTGTACTGAGCTTTGAAAGCACGCTCATCCAAGAGGGGGAAGCATTGATGCACTTTCCGAAAATACCTGCCACGACTGTTGTTAGCTCCCCAACCACCAAGGATACGTCGTCGAGGCAGGCAAACATACACGTCGATCAGCTCATCCTTGATAGGCTCGACAAGCTTCCCTATCACTTCGCAGCTCGAAGACCCCGCGGTGCCGCTTTCCGTGTACCCCATAGGGTACTTTCGGATGCTGTGGAAGAGCACGCTCCGCCCCGGCTGGTACTGCTCCTGCTGCGCCACGATCATGTGCCGGGCCCGGGGGCCACTGCCGGGGTCGGCCGACAGGTAGTCGGCGATGAACTGGGCATCGGGGCTCTGCACCGGCCCTATGACGTGCGTCTCCTCTCTGGCGGCGGCGCCCGGCAAAGTGGCGACCGAGTCGGTAAACGGGGTCTCCTGGGCTAGCGACGGGTCGGGCGATCCGACATCGCCAACGCTCCCGCTCTCGGAGCCCTTCGCAGCCTGCCTCAGCCTTTGCCGCTTCGGCGCCGGAGACTTGCCGCCGCCACCGCCGCCGCCGACCTCGTTCGCCGACGACGGAAAGACGCAGTCGCTGCCGTGGAGCTTGCACATGAGGCAGGGCTTCTCGCCCGAGGTCTCGTCGAGCTTGCATCGCGCCTTTCTCTTGCGGCACGGGATGCACGCGGGCTGCGAGTGGGAACGGTAGGGCCTCCCCGCGGACGACGAGGAGGCGGGCATGTTGTGTGATTGCCTGGCAATTGACCCAAGCAAATGAAACGCTCGGTCTTTGTCCTCGGCCAGCGCACGCGTGGTTTGGAGATGTTCTCGTTATCAGCGTTGGCCGCGGGGAAAAGAACAAGTTCCCCGCGGAAAGCTACCTCGTCTCCACCACACACTATCTATCTATCAACCCTCCCACCACCAACGAGTTCTTTGGTCGTCGCCATGCAACATGCAATCAGTAGGCGAGATCCGCCACCTATCAGCAAAGCATAAAAAGCAGCGGAGATGCACTTCTGTGCAGTCTGCCCGTTCCCGTCATGTTTTCAATCCCAACTCTGTTGTTCCGTGCTGGAGGAGCCCAAGGCGCCGCCACACCTGACCATTCACCATGGCTGCCATCAGCGACCATGAATTCCTGGCGAGAGCCAACAAGCACCTGATGTCCACCGGCGTGCCCTACTCGCCCGTCGTCATCCGCCGGGCCAAGGGCACCAAGCTCTACGACGGCGCCGGCCGCGAGATCCTGGACTTCACGTCCGGGCAGATGAGCTCCCTGCTCGGGCACTCGCACCCGGAGATCGTCGAGGTCGTGCAGAGGCACGTGGCCGAGCTGGACCACCTCCTCAGCAGCATGATCACGGAGCCGGTGGTCCGGCTGGCGGAGCGGCTGGCCCGCTTCCTGCCCGCGCCGCTGGACAAGTCCTTCTTCCTCAGCACGGGCTCCGAGACGACCGAGGCGGCCATCAAGATGGCCAAGTGCTACACGGGCAAGTTCGAGATCGTGGCCTTCACGGCGAGCTACCACGGCCTGACGTCGGGCGCCGGGTCCGCGACGTACTCGGCGGGCCGCAGGAACGGCGGGCCCGCGGCGCCGGGGTCGCTCGCGTTCCCGGCGCCGTACGCCTACCGGTCTCCCTTCCGGCGGGCGGACGGGTCGTACGACTGGGAGACGGAGCTCGAGTTCGGGTGGTCCATGGTCGACCGCCAGAGCGTCGGGTCGCTGGCGGCGTTCATCATGGAGCCCATCCTGTCGACGGGGGGCATCCTCGTGCCGCCCGCGGGCTACCTGGGGCGCATGGCCGAGGAGTGCCGGCGGCGCGGCATGCTGCTGATCATGGACGAGGCGCAGACGGGCGTGGGCCGCACGGGCCGGATGTTCGCCTTCGAGCACGAGGAGGGCGGCGTCGTGCCGGACATCCTGTGCCTGTCCAAGACGCTCGGCTGCGGCCTGCCGCTGGGCTCCGTCAGCACCACGGCCGAGATCGAGCGCGGGTGCGCCGCCGCCGGCTTCCTCTGGCTGACGACGCACCTCAACGACCCGCTGGCGGCGGCCGTGGGCGACAAGGTCCTCGAGATCGTGGAGCGCGACCGCGCGGCCGAGCGCGCCGGGGAGAGGGGCGAGCAGCTCCGGGCGGGCCTGGCGAGGCTGCAGGAGAAGTACTGGTGCATCGGCGACGTGCGCGGCCGCGGCCTCTTCCAGGCCGTCGAGGTCATCTCCGACGCCGCTACCAAGGCCCCCGGGCCCGACCTGGGCCATGCCGTGTCGGACCGTGCCCTCGAGCTGGGCCTCTCGTGCAATATCGTCAACCTGCCCGGCATGGGTGGGGTCTTCCGGCTCGCTCCGCCGGTGACGGTGTCGGCCGAGGAGATCGAGGATGGACTGCGGATCCTGGACCGAGCTTTTGGATCTGTGCTTGAAGCCCGCGGTATAAGAGAAGGGTGTCAGTGAAAGGGCGTGTCTTGACGTCCAATGATGAGCTGTATAAGCATTCTACTTTGATGGTGATAGCTATCCATCTATCCATCTATACTTGAAAACGCCGTCTTCCCTTTCGCAGTGTATGTGTGCACAACCTAAGAGAGATTCTTGACTCGATATTGGCATGACAGACACCTGTTCCAACAGGTTTTTCTCCCTTTTGGATATTTGCTAGATGAGCTCTGATTTTACGTGCTATTGGCCAAAGTCTCGGCCGAGTTTCACACAAGCAGACCGGTTAGTTAGCAACCATTATGTTGGGCCAGAAGAAGATAACCCCCTGTCCTCCGGTTCCGGATACCTTACGTTATTTAATCCGCTAATATATAAAAGGATAGAGAATCTTCAGCTTGAACAGGAGATGGACTGTTGAGGCATCGCATGCAGCATGGTAGTTGGTGAAATGTGGCTCGTTGGGATGTTAGTTCCATGAGAGGCTTCTCATTAGCTCAACACCCAGCTGTCCCCATCACTCCTCAACAAGCACATAGTTACATCACAAAACAAAAAAGTGCATAGAGGGACTATGGATTCTAGGATTATGTGATCGGAGCAATCATATACCCCTGCCAAGAAGCTTACCCGCCATCATTAAATGAGTCACCTGATAGCGCGTACGCTTGGCGATGTCGAGGGTGGGGATGGATGAGCGACAAGGAGGCACCGGAACGCGTGTTTCTCGAAATGTCCGTTGCGCCGGTCAGCACTTGCGGACCCATTCGAGACAATCTAGAGACGCGACTAGGCAATACGCGGAACGAACTTTTAGGCATCAACGCCGTCGAGAATCCGAAGTGCATATGCTGACCCGAGGGCGGCCAATCCGGGGCCAACAAATGCGCCAGGTGTGCCGGGTAAGCTTTGTTCTTTTCTTTTTGAGCTGGACCGGGACAAGCCACACCTGATTGATTGTGCCCGCACCATGTTCCGTGTTGCACTTTGTCGAGAGGGGCTGCTGCAGCAACATGGGCCCGGCCTGCATTCGAGGGCGGGCAAGGGAGGTAAGACGGTGAGATATGAGGAAGGGGGACACAACATCACAAAAGCACCGACTGCCGCTCGGTTCGCCCACGTAGTCTGCCTCGGGCAGCCGTGACAGCAGGGCAGTTGAAACAAGTTCGACGGCAAAGTCGCCCATCATAAAAGGACGCCGCTCTCCCCCCGGGAACGGAGCTAGATACTTGGACCTTTTCCACATCAATTCACTTCATTTTGGTCAAACAGCCTCGTCTCCAATTGACCTCTTTTCTACTCTCCCTATCATTCCCCGTGCCAAAAAAAATAAAAAAAATGGCCGACACAGCTCCCAAGCCCCTCAAGCAGCACCGCGGCAACTGCCACTGCGGCGCCTACGTCTACGAGGTCAAGCTGCCCGACCCCATCGCCGCCTCCGAGTGCAACTGCAGCGTGTGCGTCCGGAAGGGCTACGTCTGGGTCCGGCTGACCCCGGAGTCCGACTTCAAGGTCGTCAAGGGCGACGACGGCGCCCTGACCAAGTACTCCAAGAACAACGTCTTCTTCCACAAGGTCTGCTGCTCCAGACGAAACTCTACGCCATTCACATGATACTGACCACCCTGACCGCAGTTCTGCACAAACTGCAGCACGCCCCTCATGGCCTCCAACGACAAGGAGGGCAGCGACAACATGACCGTTCTCAACGTGAGTGGAGACCAACGCAATGCCTGCCTGGTAGACCCAGCATATTCGCTGACCTCTGTCACCCTCAAGATCCGCGCAATTCAAGGGCCTCTTGATGTCTGGAACATGGAGAAGCCGGTGTAAGTTGTCCCCCCCCCCTCCCCCCTCCCCCTTCTCTCTCGAAAAAAGCTTTTACTTCCTCTTCTTG